TGCACTCCTTGTACTGGTTGTCGGTCATCTCGAGCTTGAGCTGCTGCGCCCGCGACTTGATCGCATTCCAGCCAGTCAGACGCGATGCGAAGTGCACGTAGCGAGTCATGCCAAAGTCGGCCGGGTTGATGATCTCGTAGGTGCTGGGGTTGTTGAGGATGGCCTTGGCGTGGATACCGGCCTTGTGGGTGAAGGCGCAGAAGCCCGTGATGGGGTTGTTGAAGGGGATGTTGACCTCCACGGCCTCGGCGACCAGGTCCTCAATGTCCTTGATCTTCTCCAGGCGGTACTTGCTCTTGACATACTCGGGGTCGGCGACGATCATACGGGCCATCAGACCGCCCAGAGGGGTGATACCGTTACGCTCGCCGATACCCAGGACAGAGGTGTCGATGTGAGTAGCACCAGCCTCCAGAGCACAGTAAGCGTTGGCAATAGCGCAGCCGGTGTCGTTGTGGAAGTGGGTCTCGATATCACAGCCCACAACACCCCGAAGCACACGGACAAGCTCGTAAACCTGGCGGGGAGAAGCGCAGCCAACGGTATCGGCAATACCGACACGGTTCACGCCAACCCGGTCGACGGCAGAGTAGATGGACAGCAGGTCAACGAGATCGGACCGGAACGAGTCCTCGCTGGAGAACCGGATCTCGATGCCCTTGGACTTGACGTACTCGATGACTTCAATGGCAGCGTTCTTGATGTAGGTCATATCCTTGCCGTGAGAGTGTTCACGGAGATAAGACGAGGTACCGATAACGACATCGCTGCACGCAGTAGTCAGAATCAATGGACCGGAAACTTTCGGGATGTCTGCAAGGACTCACACTCCATCAACACCAGTCTCGACCGCAACGCGGGCATCATCCATGTGGCACCGGATGTGAGTGAGAATCTACATTCGCAGTTAGAATTTTTGTCTTTCTTTCAGGGAAGACAAAACGCACCTTGGCCTTCAGGCCGAGCTTGCAGATGGCCTCGCAGTCCAGCCGGGACTGCTCGGAAGCGCAGGGGCTGGTGAGCTCAATCTATAGCCACAGACACTCCATATCAGTCCACTACTCTTGCACCGATCAATGTCTATGATCACTCACGTAGTCGGCACCAAATTCATCCAGAGCCTTGGCGATCTCAATCTTCTTCTCGGTATCAAAAAAGGCGTTGGCAAACTGCTCGCCCTCGCGCAGAGTGCTCTCAATAATCTGGAAGCGGGAAACATTGCTGAGGAAGTCGGTGACGCCGACGTTGTGGCCGTAGGGGTTGCGGGTTGTTGTTGGGTGCGGGTTCTGACGGGTCTCAATGCCAGTGAAGCCGGGGTGGTCGCCTGGATTGGGTGTCAGTTGGGAGAGTCGACGGCCAGAGATGGCACTACAGCATACCATTTCCATTAGAATTGCCGTTCACGCCGTTGGCTGGCGCATTAGGCTCGGGGTCGCAGCCGGGGCACATTGTGGGTGGATGGTGGGGGGATGATTGAGGGGCAGAATGATGCTGGGGCAAGTGAAGATGCAGGAATTGGACAGTGCAGGACTCGAGAGACTGAAGATGGAGCAGAAAGACCGTCCGGGGAGAGCAGATTGGAGTTTCTTTAAAGGAAAGAAAAGTGATGTGGAGGGGAAGAAAGAGTCATCGGGCGGTGTGCACTACTAGGAATCATCGGCGTTCGTCTCGGCGGCAAAAAATGTGAAATTTTTCCCTTGGCCGGATCAGCCAGTAGACAGCCGGCTGACTCAGGACGGGGGGTTGGGTCGATCTACAGAGGCATTGCCGGATTCTCGAGACGCCCTATGCAGGCCTACGACTGTAATGTGCTGATCCTGGATGGGCAGCGCGAGAATGCCCGGTGGTGCGTGTGCCCGACATCGGACTTGGCGGATGACATCGTGCGGCATCGTTCACAAGAACCAACCCGAAGAGAATTGGGTATAGACTGGATATCCTTCGAGCCATCGAACACCAATGGCTGTAGTTCAGACGGACTGCTTTAAAATATGCTTGGCTTTAGGCACCTACGGTGGAGTGCCGGAGTACAAGGCACGGGTCTTGGGTGCAGATATATATCTCTAGCACCACGTCTACATAGATGATGGGAAAAATAAATCCTGACAAGCCATCAGTCCAGTCGTAGATGATCCAATACTGAATCATGACTGAGAAAGAAATCACTAGAAGCTCCTCCTAGCACGAGAATCCGTCGTCGTTAAAAATCTCCCAGAATCCAACCACATTGGGTAAGCACCCGATCTGGTTGGCCCGGCGCTCAGGCCAGCTGTCGTAAACAATTCTTCCTCCCTCACTGCTCATCCATCCATCCTTGTGTCAATTCTTCTGGTGTCTAGTATCGCTCTTTTGTATTCTGATCACAGGTCCGTTCCTCCCCTTTCGCTTCCAACCCTACTCTTGCGACCCTCCCTTCTCCACCACCCCCTATCTGCGACTGACCCCAGACTAACTCCACCGTAGCCCGCAAGATGCGCTTCACCTCCATCGTCGCCCTCCTTCCGGCCCTGGCCCTGGCCCAGGAGCAGGTCCCTCTTGCCGACCGCGTGCAGGGATGGTTCAACAAGGCCAAGTCCTTCGTGCCGTCGGCTCCCCAGGCTGCCAATGCCCCTATCGAGAAGATGGCCGAGAAGGTCAGCGAGAGTCACGTCACGACGGTCGATATGAGCAACTGGCAGGACCTCCTCGCCCCCGGGCTTACGGAGGAGGATTGGATGGTCTACATCACGGGTGGGAACAAGAGCTGCTTCGGTCGCTGCGAACTGGCCGACAAGGCCTTCCAGGTGAGTCGTGCTGACAGGCCGGAGATGAACGGCTCGATCACTAACCATTCTCCTTCCATCAGGAATCCACTCTCCTGTTCGCTGCGGACCCCACCTCGCCGCATCTCGGTTTCGTGGACTGCGAGTCGAACTCCATCCTGTGCTCCATCTGGTCCGCCGGCGCTCCCTCCATCTTCTACTTTCATGTTCCCAAGGCTCCCCAGGCCGGCGAGGCCCGGCCGTCCACTCCTCTCCACATCTTCTACCTCAACACGACGACCGTCACCCCCAATGAGATCTACCAGATCCACGGAAAGCAGTTGTATAATGAGATCGCCCCCTATGAGGGTGCCCTGCACCCCATCGATGGCTGGCTCGCCCAGTACAAGCTGAACATTCCCCTGGGCTACCTCATCTGGGCTCTCGGTGCCATCCCTAGCTGGATGTTCATGATCGGTATCTCCTTCTTCAGCCGTACCTTCATGTGAGTTTTCGTCCTGTCTTATTTTTTGTTGTCGCCCGTTCTAATATCAACCACAGGAGCCGCCGCATGGGCAATGTTGGCGCCCCGCAGCAACGGCCTACCCCGGCTGGGAGCGCGAACTAGATTGCGTTTGTATGGTTGTACATATAGGACGGTTCTGTGTACGGGTTGGGTTGGTTGGTCGGTGGGATGTACTACAGTGTCAGCGAAAAGGGATCTACTGCTGTCTTTGATAGTTCTAATTTAATCCACTTTTTCCTAATTGCGTCTCTCCATACATGTATCACCATCAATTTTAACAACTCTAGTACCCGATTTCACGGCCCTTCCAGTTCCGGTTTAGGTGCCGCGATCATCCCGCGGTGATACTTCCTGTACCCTGTCCAAGGCGGTGGACCCGACTCACTCCCCCAGATAAACTTTCCTCTCATCCCTCCCAACCCCAACTTGGTCCTTCCAGCAAGCTTGTACAACATGGCAGCACCGGTCTCACTAGACCGCCTCCCTCCCACCACCACCGCCTACGTGATCGCCACGGCCATCATCGCCGGCGTGACGGGGTACTTCATCGGCCAAGGCGCGTCGCTGAACTTTCTCAAAGAAAAAGAGGGCTGGCCGAATAGCTACAACGTGCGCGTCCACCGGGACTCTTCCGATGAAGAATACGAGGACGACGACGCTAGCGATGAAGAGGACGAAGGCAATGGCGAGGAACTGGCCAATTTCAAGGAGAACGCCGAGGAGGTCAAGCTCGTGCTGGTTGTCCGGATGGATCTGGGCATGACCAAGGGTATGGATTTTCTCCGTCTCCTTCCCAGGCACATTATTGTGTTACTTATTGCTCACTATTTTATTTGCGGGTAGGTAAAATCGCCGCTCAGTGCTCCCACGCCACCCTCGCCTGCTACAAATACTTCCTCGCACACTCGCCAGACTCGCCGATTCTGCGCCGCTGGGAGCAAGGCGGACAGGCCAAGATCGCATTGCAGGTCAAGTCGGAGGAGGAATTGCTGGTCATGCAGGCGCAGGCTATGAGTCTGGGTCTTTGCGCGCGCGTTATCCAGGATGCTGGGCGGACGCAGATTGCGAGTGGCAGTCGGACGGTGTTGGGTGTTTTGGGACCGAAGAGTGTGGTCGACCAGGTGACGGGGCACTTGAAGTTGCTGTAGATATGCATAGCCATAGCATAGACCATAATGATCATGACGTCCATATCACAAGTTCTACAACAGGCAAGCCCGACTACACTATGTAAATAGGAAATATAAGAATGTAGGCTAGTCATGGTTTTTCTCTAGCCTCACAAGCCAACGGCCAGTCGGCGAAGAGAAGAGGAATATGACGCCGTCTACGCGCAGGGCTCAGGACGAGCTCACCCCCCGAAAGGGGGAGCTCAAGACCCGAGTTCACATCCTGGCGCAAACATTTAATCTGAGATCTGTCGACCGGACCGTATAAAATGCCACACAGATGGGGATTGATGGCTCCATTAGTCGTCGAACTGTCCAGCGCTGCGACCGATACACGGTGGCTCCGAAGAGCTCGTGGACGGGAACACTGGACACAGATCTGTGGATGTGATGTTCGGTAGAGAAGAAGAAGAAGAAAAGAAAAAGAAAATTTTGGTTTTGGGGCTGGCTTAGCGTGGTGGCGCTAACCTTTTTGGGTGGGCACGTGATATCCTGTATCAGTTGGTCGTCGTCTCTCTGATTCATTCACTCACTCACCCTCCCACTCCCACCACACCCCTCGCCATGGCGGACGCTCTCTCCATCGAGCAGAACAACAAAATCCGCGCGGCTCTCGGGCTGAAGCCCCTCCCCGTCCCCGGCGCCGGTCCTGTGTTCAAAGAGGACGGCGATAGTTCATCCGGCGAAGAAGAGGAGCCTGCCAGCACAGTTGAGACCCGACAAGCGCAAGGCTACGATAACTGGAAAAAGCTACAAGATGACGCCGAGGCCAAGAAGCGACGCGAAGAGAAGAATGCCGCCATCAAGCGGGCCCGCGACATCGCCCAGCGAAACAAGAAACTAGGGGGGCGACGCTGGGCGAGTCCGCTGGTGACGAGATGGATACCAAAACCTGGCTGACGCAATCGAAGAAACGACAAAAGAAAATCGAGAAAGAGCGCGCGCGCAAACTCGCGGAGGAACTGGAGGAGCGAGAGCGCGCTGCGGAGTACACGGCTGCGGATCTGGCGGGCATCAAGGTCGGGCATAATGTGGTGGACTTTGAGGGCGAAGAGGACCACATCCTTACGCTTAAGGATGTGGCGGTGGATGATGAGGAGGAGGCCGATGAGCTACAGGATATCAACCTGGTGGAGAAGGAGAAGACACAGGAGAAGCTCGACCTGAAGAAGCGCAAGCCGGTCTACGATCCAACGGCGGAGAATACGGGGATCCTTTCGCAGTACGATGAGGAGATCGAGGGCAAGAAGCGGAAGCGGTTCACCCTCGATGCCCAGGGCTCGTCTGTGGAGGAACGAGAAGCCAAGCGGCAGGAGGTGTCTGATCGCCTGAAGAATAATATCATCAGCCTTGACTTCGAGCCTGAGGTGCCTGCTTCTGATTATATGGATATCAGCGAGGTCAAAATCAAAAAGCCCAAGAAGAAGAAGGCCAAGTCAACCCGGCAAAGGACCATCATCGACGACGAAGATATTGTCACTCCGGCTGAATCGGAGGGTACCCCCAACGGAGGACCCTCGGAGATGGAGATGGACTCGACGCCCGTGGAGGCTGCACCTCGGAAAAAGTTCAACGAGGACGTTTCGTTTGTAGACGACGACGATCTCCAAGCATCCCTCGCTGCCCAGCGGCGGATGGCCTTCAAGAAACGCAAGAAGATGCGCCCAGAGGACCTCGCCCGGCAATTGCGAGAAGAGGAATCGCAGACCCCCATGGAGGTGGAAACCCCCGAGGAGAACGCAGAGGAGCCAGGACTAGTGATCGACGAAACCTCGGAGTTTGTCTCCAATCTACAGAAACCTACGATGCCCGAACGGGAACAGAGACGACGGACTTCTACTGAAGAGCCTACCAACGAGGAAGCTGCTGTCAAGCCCGAGCCCGAGGAAGAGACAGCAGATGGGGACGTGGTGATGGCTGCCATCGATGACGAGGAGGATCTCACAGCCCTCAAAGAGCGCATCAAGCGCGAGGAGTCTCAATCCCAACCGGAGATTACCGGTACCGGACTCGAGGAAGAAGCCACCCTGGATCAGGGTCTGGGAGCTACCTTGTCCATGCTGAAGCAGCGCGGTCTGGTGAAAGGAACAGACAGCGCCGACCATGTGTCGCTCATGCGCGACCGACAGCGCTTCCTGCAGGAGAAGGCCAACCGCGAGACAGAAGGCGAGAAGCGGGCTCGCCAGCAGCGCGAGCGAGACCGCGCGTCCGGCAAACTGGACCGCATGTCCGCCCGCGAGCGCGAGGAGTATGCCCGCGGCGTCAACAAGCAGCGCGACCAGCAGGACGCGCGCCAGTCGGCCGAGATGTTCAACCGCGACTACAAGCCCGACGTCCAGCTGCGGTACGTGGATGAGTTCGGCCGCGCGATGAACCAGAAGGAGGCCTTTAAGCACCTTAGCCACCAGTTCCACGGCAAGGGCAGCGGCAAGATGAAGACGGAGAAGCGGCTCAAGAAGATCGAGGAAGAGAAGAAGCGCGAGGCCATGAGCGCTCTGGATAGCAGCCAGCATACCGGCATGAACAATGCCATGGGGGCGACGGCGCGCAAGAAGGGCCAGGCCGGTGTGCGCCTGGGCTAGACCGATTATTATTATTGTGTACATAACTAGAGTGACCTATCCACGATATGACAGCCCTAAAGCCTTGCTGTTTCGGTCATGTCCTCCCGAGTTGCGTTTTAGATTATGTATTTTGCCCCGAGTCGACCCGGGTTCATCAGTCTCCGCGTGTGGGGGATATTCCCTCAAAAATCCCCCCAAAGTCGGGCAGGGCACTCAACTTCCGGCCCCTTTCCTGGTGCCCGGGTTGGTGTTTTGTTGCTGCGCATTTTAGGCCCAGGTTTTATTGGCATGTTGGCAATCCTACCGGTCTGCTCCCATGCCGATTGCGAACAGGACAATCAGCAAAAACATTGTCTCCATCTCTCCATGTGCATGTCATACGTCTGTATTTACCCCAACTCGGTGTGAGGAGAGAGTGGAGCCAGCCTAGTTCAGCTCACCGGGAGGCGTCGCCCGATGTCGCGCGATCGGAGAGGGCCGTCAGGGAACGAGGCATCGGTAGTATCAGGATGATGAAGATGGTGATGATGATGACTATTTGAGGTATGAATTCTTTGAAGAGAATTGTATATGCTATCCAAACCGAATGGTTGTGGTCGGTAACATTTTGTAGTGGAAAGTCCATCTCCAGCTCATACTTCTGGTATTTACCGGCGTATGCAATTTACCCGGTGCAATCAGCCAATCCCGCTCGGGCGCTGTTCTCGCCGGGCACGATGTACCGGTACTTAGTTCGTAGTATAAATGTCTATGACGGGAGAAGTACTCCTACACCCACATGAGTCAGGCCTGTCCACCGCAGCATCTCCGACCATTTATTGTTCGCCCTTCCCGGTTCTTCCCTTGCCCCTTGGTTTTCCATCTTCCATTCCCTATTGTTTCCAGCTCAATTTTTGGTTCTTTCTTTTCTGTATCTGCCCATCCACCATGCTCTCCACTCTGAGAGTCGCCAGCCGCTCGGCTGCCTCCCGTGAGGCCAACTTGCGCACCGTCGTCATCGGTGCCAGACATGCTTCGGCCTGGGCCAATGTTCCCCAGGGTCCTCCTGTGAGTCAAGCTCGCGGTGGTCAATTCCACTACTGGCTCAATGCTAATTCTCTGGTCGCGTGCTAGGATGCCATTCTCGGAATCACCGAAGCATTCAAGGCCGACTCCTTCAAGGAGAAGATTAACCTGGGTGTGGGCGCGTACCGTAAGCTTTTCCACAGTACACACATTTGTTCCAGGCTTGCTAATGGGATTGGATTTCATCAGGCGATGACAAGGGCAAGCCATACGTTCTGCCCTCTGTTCGCACCGCCGAGGACAAGGTCGTTGCGTCGCGCTTCGACAAGGAGTACGCCGGCATCACCGGTGTGCCCGCCTTCACCAACGCCGCTGCCGAGCTGGCCTACGGCTCCGACTCCCCCGTGATCAAGGACAACCGCCTGGTCATCACCCAGACCATCTCCGGCACCGGTGCGCTGCGCATTGGCGGCGCGTTCCTGCAGCGCTTCTACCCGAACGCGAAGAAGGTCTACCTGCCTAACCCCAGCTGGGCCAACCACAACGCCGTCTTCAAGGATGCCGGTCTCGAAGTTGAGAAGTACCGCTACTACAACAAGGACACCATCGGCCTGGACTTTGAGGGTCTGATCGCCGATATCAAGGCCGCTCCGAACAACAGCATCATCCTTCTCCACGCCTGCGCGCACAACCCTACCGGTGTCGACCCCACCGAGGCCCAGTGGCGCCAGATCAGCGACGTGATGAAGGAGAAGGGCCACTTCGCCTTCTTCGACATGGCCTACCAGGGCTTTGCCAGCGGCAACGCCGACAAGGACGCCTTTGCGCCGCGCCACTTCGTCAAGGAGGGCCACAACATCGCTCTGTGCCAGAGTTTCGCCAAGAACATGGGTCTGTACGGCGAGCGGGTCGGCGCCTTCTCGCTGGTCTGCGAGTCTGCCGAGGAGAAGAAGCGCGTCGAATCGCAGATCAAGATCCTCATCCGGCCCTTCTACTCCAACCCGCCCATCCACGGCGCCCGCGTTGCTTCCACCATCATGAACGACCCGGAGCTGAACCAGCAGTGGCTCGGGGAGGTCAAGGGCATGGCGGACCGCATCATCGAGATGCGCTCGCTTCTGCGCACCAACCTTGAGCAGCTCGGCAGCAAGCACGACTGGTCCCACATCACCAGCCAGATCGGCATGTTCGCCTACACCGGTCTCAAGCCCGAGCAGATGGATGTCCTTGCCAAGGAGCATTCCGTGTACGCTACCAAGGACGGCCGTATCTCCGTCGCTGGTATCACCTCCGGCAACGTGAAGAGACTTGCCGAGGCGATCTTCAAGGTGACCGGTTAAATTTATAGAAATAGCTTGGATTGGGGGTTGAAGAAGGGGAAAAACAAGACAGTATCGAGAAGAAAAAACCAGAGCGGAAAACGGGGGGGGATTCGAGAATCATCTATATCTCATGGTGGTGCGGTCTGTCCCATTGTACTCATATCTAATGGCTCTCTGTTTTTATACTATTTAGCATGGCTCGGCTTTGTGTCCGTCTGAGCAGGAATTGATTTGTTCTTTTGTCACCCTCCTCTCCTCGTACTTGGATCCGGGTTGGGTCAATCTCTTCCATGGTCCCCAACTTCAGCAGTCCACCCACTCACCAACCTACTTCGATTCCACCAGCCCCTTCACAATAACAGAGGCTTCATCCAGCGCCTTCTCAAACCGAGCAACCTGCCCCGTGGGTCCTACGACCGAGAACCGAGCCCTAGAAACCGAGTCAGCATCCCTTATAGCACAGAGTAACGCAGAGAAAAACAAAGACTTACTCCTCTTCCCAGATAGAATAGCACACCCACACACCCTCGGGATCAATCAACGCAAACGCCGAATCCAAAGACCCGCCATCCGTCAACCCAGACATAATAAACCGGGGATACGTCCTCAGCCAAACGGGATCCGTAAACAGCGGCGCCAACGGCTGTCCAGCCGGCCACATCGTCTCCAGTACAGTCAGAAGCCGGAAGTAATTGCTCCCCTTTCCACAAACCTGCAGACCAGCCGTGTATTCGTTCGCAGCGTGGATGAGCATCTCGCGCTTGTCGAGAGTGGAAATGTTGTCGTCGACTGCTGTGGCGCAGAACTGTCCCACGGATGCTAGCACGCCTTGGAAGATCTCTGTTCGGCCCTTGTGGAAGTGAGCCATGGACATCGGCTCCCATGAGGCTGGGTTGTGGCCGAAATACAGCTTGCTGGCTAGTTGGATTGTCACATCGAAGACGGATTTGATCGGGCACCCGTGTGCGGCGAGAAGGTTTTTGCCAAAGTGCTTTAGGGTTGTGTAGCCGTATTCCCGGGCCGATGTCACTTGGATGTGCTCTTGTCGCAGTGTCTGCATGTGCGTGTCAATCTCGGGGGTTGTGGTGAGAGTGTATTCGGTCAGTTGGATAGCTGGCAATGCCCCGTTTGAGCCGTTGGCCTGGGTTTCGGGGGTATGTCCGCGGATGGCTTCGTGAATCCACTCGTTCATGCGGTGCACGGTTAGTCCGTCGATCTTGGAGTGCTCAACGATGTAGCCAGAGGAGCCGTTTTCACAGACTGTAAATTGCAGGCCCTTGTCGAACCAGCGGTTGAACCCATCGCCTAGGAACGCCTTGCGAACATGCTCTGGTCCGGTGGTTGGGGCGCCTTCGTCGAGGCAGAGCACAAATGCGGCTTGTTCGATTACACGGATATACTCTGCGTTCGCGCTGTTCATGGAGATGAGCCTCTCGCGGATCTATATGTGTGCATTAGTTAGGAGCATTGGTTGACGGGAAAAGAACCTACCGTGGCCCAGGAATCCCGATTGTCGTTGGTCAAGATACCAGTCCACACGCCTTCATCCTGGACTTTCTCCAAGATGCCATCGAATGTGGCCTTGATTCTCGCGTACGGCACCACTTCATTCCCTGCCTTGAGAGGCACACTGAAGACATGGCCCCGTCTCAGAACAACGCAGTAGTCGTTACCGGGGTACTTCTTCATCTGGTCGATATCCAGGTGCGGCTCGCGGATTGTGTTGAAGAGCCAATCCCATGAGGACGTGCAGGACGGGATATGGAAATACCAGTGCGGTTCGAGCGAGCCTGCCTCAACGGCTTCCTTGAACCGGAAGGCCGTCGTCGCAATCAGCGCTGCTCTTTCTGCTTGGCCCTGCGGCGTGGGATTGTCGTGGTGCGAGGCGAAGAAGCTCGACATCGGGACCAGGGGGAATCGTTTCTTGAGGAACAGCGCGTCTGTGACCAAGTCAGCGATCCAGCTCTCGACTGCTGGATCGTTTGCCTGGGCTTGAAGTTGGGCGTAAAGCTGGCGTCCTGTGCTTGCAGGATCCCGGAAGTTGAGAACTGCTTGCTTGATGTTGTCGTATTCAACGCCTGAGGCGAAGTGCCGCGTGCTTGAAAGGACCATGTCGAGCGCCTCGTCTAGATCCATCAGAGGCTGTCTGGGGAGATCCTTTGCATACCGGCAGCACTCAAAGGAGTGGTTTGGCTGAATCTTCTCCTCTTCTGTTGATCGCTCCTCTGTCTGCATAGGTACGTCTTCCGGCTGCTCAGACTCGGTCGTGATACCGCGCAGCTTATCGCTGATCAGTTTGGACCGGGAAGTGATTGTCTTTGCAAGTGCCACGACGCTCAGTGCATCGGCAATTTCCGATGTCTGCAGCGTCACCTGGAAGGTGCGGACCATCCAGTTCTTCAACTCGATCGAGACGAGCGAGTCAAGACCAAAGGCGGCGAGAGACTGGTCCAGGTTGACATCCTCCAGGGCTCGGTCCATGAACAGCGCAAACTTCTCAGCGATGGCGTGCGTGATAATCTCCTCGGCCTCGGAGATTGACGCTGCATTACGGATGGCCTTTTCAGTGTCCACCTTGTCTGAAGACCCATCTCCTGAGTTTTGCTGCTCTGAAAGGTACGGAACCTGACTGAACAGAGGGTTACTGAGCCCGAATGTGTCCTGAACCGTTTCCATAGATTGCCGGTCGAAGCCCGTGATGGTCTGAACACAATTGTCCCGACGAGCCTGAGGCCCCATTGAGTACTCCAGCAACTTGAACAGCTCTTCGAATTTCACCAAGATAGCACCTTGGCGCATCAGTTCCTGCTGCCGGACTGGCAGGGATGTAATGGCTTCTGATCCGTCTATGGCTCCCAGATTGAGCGAGATATATTGAGTGTGGGATTTGCCAGCATGCGCATGAGCAAATGCATCTTGGAATGCGTTTCCTGCGGAATAGTTGGCCTGGCCGGTTTTGCCGATGATGCAGGTGATGGAAGAGAGTGTGATAAAGAAGTCAAGGTCTGGACTTTGTAAGCTCGAGTGCAAGTTGATTGTACCCTGTGTCTTGGGCTTAGTCGCTTGTGTGTAGTCCTCGGGTGTCATGAGTTCGATTGGGTGGTCCTGGAAGTATCTAGGTCAGCATCTTACGCACAAAATAATTACAAAGGTTCTTACTCGCAAAACCATGCCTGCATGGATGACTCCCTTGACAGGCGGCAGGTTTTCTCTGCAGTATCCCTCTGCTTGCTGAACTGAGGTCTTGTCCGTAATGTCACACTTGACGATGTGCAGCATGCATCCGAGCTCATTGATCTCATTCTCAAACACCTGTCTGTCATCTTGAGACAATTCCCGACGGGAAAGGGTCACCACATGCTTGGCTCCATGGGTTGCCAGCAGCCGACAGATCCTCTTACCAAGATCTCCCAGACCACCAGCAACAACATAGCTTCCTGCGGGATCCAGCTGTAGCGGTGCTGGTCTGCCCAAGACGGCCTTGACCGTAGCACCAGGCTCCGCCTCCACCACGACCTTTCCGGTATGTTTGCGCGATGCAATCAGGCGGAAGGCCTCCTCGATCTTGGAAACAGGATAGGTCGTTACCGGAGACACAGGTGCAAGGATGCCCGTCTCAAACATAGACATCACCTTCTTGAACTCTTCATTCATCCGCTCCATCTGAGTCTCGAAGAGAACAACCAGATCCACAGCTGCAAAGGTCACACTGCGGTCGAAGGGCACCATGCTCAAGTGACTTCGCTTGTAGATATCACTCTTACCGATTTCCACAAATGTGCCGAGCGGAGCAACACATTCCCAGGAATCATTCAGCCATTCTCCAGAGAGGGAGTTGAGAACCACATCCACGCCCTTGTTTTTGGTGAGACGCAGAACACCATGCTTGAAGGTCCTTGACCTGGTCGAGAAGACATGGCTCTCGGGGATGTTGTATTCGTCGATCAGTAACTGCTTCTTAGCGGTGCTGCCCACAGTCGCAAAGATTTCTGCTCCAATATGTTGTGCGAATTGGATTGCCGCTTGACCAACACCTCCTGATCCAGCATGAATCAGAATAGTTTGCCCTTTCTGAAGTCTTGCGACTTCAAATATGCAGTGGTAGGCCGTCATGAAGATAATGGGAATGGATGCGCCAGACGCAAATGAAATAGAGTCAGGGAGCGAGCAGGCCATCAAGCCCTTGACCCGGGCCCGACTGGTGAATGGCTGCGCTCCGACACCCGCGACTCGGTCTCCAACCTTGTACCGCGACTGCATTGATGATCCCACGGCGGTGACGACGCCAGCCACCTCACCGACCATGTTGATACCAGGGAGCATCTGGCCCAGAGCGATGAAGACGTCCTTGAAGTTGATGCCATACGCCCTGGCCTCGATTTCCACCTCCTCTGGAGACAGATCGGCCGTGATGGAGTCATCGTCCACAAATCTGAGACTGCTCAGGAGACCCGGTGTCTCGACATGAAGCTTCAGCGCGCGACCCTCCTCTTGATATGGGCAGATATCAAGCCGGTCGCTGCCAACAGCCTGGTCAATCCATTCGTTGAACTTGGTATCGGGCTGTACTCGAGGAATATGGACGAGACCATTGCAGATAGCATATTCATGCTCATTGGACCTTTGCGATTCAGACGTGGGCCAGAAGCAAGCAGTAGCAATCTCCAGAACTGTCTTGATAAGTTCTGGCCCAAAGTCGACAATGCCCTCCTGTACATCTAAGGTGATGAACTTGATGCCCTCGTTTTCACGTCGTGCTACGCGGGCCATTCCATTCACCAGACCCTTCGCCGCAGTTCCCTCTGTAGATACAGATGATTGTGCGTTGATCCAGAGGAGGGATCTGCTGCTGATGAAGAGCGTTTTGAGTTGTTCGAACTCTTCGGGCGACGGGTCAAGTAACAATGGATGGTCCATATCATCCAATACCACATACGTAGTGTCCAGGTCGAAGGACTCTTGGAAGTTCCACGCAGATATGATGCTCTCGATGCCCAGCTCTTGGAGTGCCGTCGACAATTCCTCTGCAAGTCTTTGAAACAAGGGCGACGCAGATTCCGAGGCCAGGATGTGCACGCGCGCAGAAGGCGCATCGTGTTCAATGGATTCCGAGTCCAAAGATGTTGACACAATCATGGAAGTTCTTGATTTTGGCCCATCGAGTTCATTGGTCGCAATGTCAACACCGCTGAAAGCATTCTGAACCAGAGCACTATGCCACTGTGTCTCGGAGAGTAGAGGACCATCCTGGCGCTCATCCTCAGCAGCCCACCATCTGGGATATGGTTAGCTGATTTTGGTCAACAAAACATCGACTCATTTACTTACCCTGGCAATGTACCGAGAACTGTTGTAAGGGCTGCTGTTGCACGGGTCAATTCAATGGAGACAAGCTTTCCACTTGGTTTCAACAGTTTATGGATATAACTCAATGTCGTTGACGTGCTGCTGGTGCAAGAGAGGGAATTGGTTGCAATGATGAGATCATATGTCCCTGCTGAGAACTCCTGGTCTGTCGGATCAAGGTCAAGGTCCAGAGTTTTGAAGTCCAAGCGGCTTGACCATTCTTGGAGCAGAGGCTTAGCCTGCTCAAACAACTTCGACGTAACATCGGTGAACTCATAGCGGCCTACCATCAATCCCTCTGGCCGATCGAGCGCCCGCAGCAGTGGAAGTGTTAGCTCTCCCAAGCCGGCACCGACTTCAAGGATCTTCATATGAGGCTTCTTGAAGGCAAGAGACTTGACGTATTCAATCGTGTGTTGGTAGTTTTGAGCAAAAAGGCCTTCTGTATAGAACTTGGAAAGCAAGCCATCCTCATGCATGAGTTCGCTTGCCTCGATCTGGTTGTTGATAATAGCAGGAAGGTTAAGCCCAATGCGAGACAGCATCAGACCCTCAATTCCCGCTAGCAGGGCCTTCTGGAGAACTATGTCCTCGTCGACAGTGGTAAGACCCTTGAGCATCTCGTTGCTGATCTCTGATTTGTGGAATACTCTCATCCATTCCAACAGCTTGGTAAGATGTGGTGCGGGCTTCCCTGCAAAATCTTCGGGTAATTGCGACAAAGCGTCTCGCAGATATATTGCTGCCGCTCGCTCAAGCAGCGCAAGTTTCTGCTCCACAGTCTGTTTCTCGACCACACCGAGTTCCTCAGAAACGACAGCAAGGGGCTGCTGCATGGCTGTACGAGACTGCGTGGTGGAGGTGAGGATGTCTTGAAGCTGAGTCTGGGACATCAGGTCAACATCAGGCTGCCACTGCATTCTGTAGCTCATCTTGCGATGGAATGGAGTCTGCTCGTCCTCAGACAAGGCTTCACCCACGGCCTTCAATTGCAAGCCTGTGGCATGTAGCACCAGAGACAAGTCCGAATCTTCCTTTTTCTGGAAAACAAAGGTGCTTCCAGATGCGGAGCGCCTACCCTCGGGTTCAATGTTCAGAGCGACGAGCAGTTCATCTGCGGGAGTCGATGTAATTTCCGCCGAGATGATGATCTCCTTGAAAAAGGTGGCCATTAGGGGCGCATTGATGCATTCTTTCTTGAAGAGCACGACAGACAGTTGGTTTATCGCGTCCAAAGTTGCCGGGTGGATGACGTGTGGCTGCAGGAACTGGCGAGGCATGCAGGCTGGGATATCTGGAACGGCCACCTTTGCACAGCCTTCACGTTTTCCCAGCTGAATCTCAGTGATGGCAGAAAATGTGGGACCGAAATTGTTTCCTGTCTCCTTCAGGTCATCGTAGAACTTCTTGGGGTCAAGTTCGGTATTGGAGGCCTGCCGAATCGCGTCAAAGGTTTCCCGGTACGACGAAGCGAGGAATTCTTCCTCTCTTGTTCCTTCGACCTCATCTACTTTGGACGCCATTTCCACAGAAACAAGCCCGGAGCAGTGCTCGTGCCAAGTTCCGGACCCCTCTGGAGAATAGGAGAAGATTCGGAATGATTCCCATCGACTCCCGTCGGAGGTCCTCATGCGGCTCAGGGTGATTTGAACTTCAACATCAGGGGTGAAACTATCGGGTCGTTGATCAGGCACGATAATAGGCTTGGATAGCACCACATTCCTCAGGATGTAGTTTGATATGTCTCCCGGAACCTTGCGGAGTTGAACAAGCTGCTTCATGGCTTCGATCGCCATGCACAGATACCCTGCGCCGGGGAAAATCATAAAGCCATCAACGACATGATCCCTCAGCCAGGGCGAAGAATCGACATTGATATGGTACCGCCATCTGGGCTCGTGTATTGAACTCGCAACATCCAAAAGTCCGAGAAGGTCATGATAGGGAAACTCCCGCAAGCGATGATCGCGGCTCATGCGCGATTCGTACCAGTATGACAGCGAATGATCCCACGGGTAGGGACTCAGATCGCTAATGGTTTTCCACTGTTCATCGGAGCCGTTCAAAACAAGAACATTCTCAAACTGAACGGGGCATCCACACTCGACAAACTTTCCACTCAGTTCCAGAACAGACTGAACAGCGTGCTTGTTTCGGGACAGAGCGGAAACATAGGAAAACTTGAATGAGCGGGTGTTAAGCTTGCTCAAGATTTGCCGGATGGGTCCCGACAATGCCCCATGAGGCCCTATCTCGGCAAATATATTGGCCACATTGGTAGACTGTTTTGATCTAGCAATATCCTCGGCGAGGAGCTGCAAAGCCTCACTGAATCTAACCTTTGAAACCAGGTTCTCTGTCCAGTACGCTGGCCCAAAGTCAGATGTCTTCTTGTGGGCAGTTACCGACGAGTAAAAAGTGACACCAGGTTGAGGGACGCCCGTGACAACGTGCTGAATCGATTGAACATATTGATCCGCAATCTTCTTCATGTGATGGGAGTGGTAAGCTGTGTCGACCTTGAGCTTCCTGTTGAAGATGCCGAGACCGGTCAGAACCTCAGACAGTTCGTCAATTGCGGCTTCGTCGCCCGAAATGGTAGTGCTTTCGGGGCTGTTGACACATGCAACGGTAACCAAGCCCTTAGTGGTCTGCTGCACATAGGGCAAAACTTCTTTCTCGCCAATACCAACTGCCAGCATGGAGCCTTTAACCGAGTTGGCCTTCTTGGCTGCCGTTGAACACAAGCCTCTTCGATAGGCACTGCGACTACTGTTAGCTCATATTCAATGTCAGTAAGGTAATAAAGGAAACTAACATTTCAATTGCAGCTTCATGAGTGAGAGCACCGGCTGCGTATGCCGCTCCAATCTCACCAGAACTGTGGCCACAGACGCATTGAGGTGCAATTCCAAAGGTAGCAAGCAGATCGACAAGAGCGATTTGAATAGCTGTGGTCAGGGGTTGAGACAGTTCACTGTCTGCGACTCTAGTTGTTTGTTCGTCTTTATAAAGCTCCTCAATCAAGCTCCATTGGCATCCGAAGCTCTGAATGAGTCGGTCTGACTTTGAAATCGAGTCTTTGAATCTGCCTGGCAGTTTAATCAACTCGCGACCCATAGCATGCCATTGTGCACCTTGTCCAGTGAACACGAAGACAACTGAAACTGAGTGAGGGAGCTTGGTAGCTCGAATATTGCTGGGTTGTAAGGCAGACATGAGCTCATCCTTGGTCGACGCAACTAGGCTCGTTTTGAACGGCAAGAGTGACCGCCGAACATTCAATGTGTAGGAGAGATCAGCGAGTTGGTACTTATCCAACCCGCCGTTTGAGATCCAGTCCTGTATATTTTTGGCAGACTCCAGGAGTGACTTCTCGGATGCTGCATTGAGGACGAATAATTGCGGAAGACCGGCCTGAATAGCGCCATTTGTAACCAATTCATCGCTTGAAGTCCCATTGCGATGCTCGTTGACTCCATTAATCAAGCCATTATCTTCTAAATTGCCATTGATATGATTTGATGTGGCCTGAGGTGTTGAGTATTCGGTACTGCTTCCAGATGGTTCAAGAATAACATGTGCGTTGGTCCCACCGTACCCAAAGCTGTTCAGGGACACTCGGCTTGGACCAGGTTGCTCGGGTTCTGGCAACGGAGTGAGTTGAAGCGGAATCTGTGTGGAACCCGTTAGTTTTGCGCTCCAGAAATTGATTTTTTGTATTGACCTTGATCTTGCGCTCATCCAGTTTTAGACTAGGCTTTGGGGTCTCAAGATCGATATTGGGTGGGATCAATCCTTTCTTGACAATCATAATACCCTTGATGATGCCCGCAATACCGCTTGAGGCCTCCAAGTGTCCAATGTTAGACTTGATTGAGCCAACATAAATATCGGACTTTCTCTTTGCCTCTTCACAAAAGACTTCGTTGATTGATGAGATCTCTGCATTGTCACCTGTTTCAGACTTGGTAAGCGTTTGTTTCTGAGATGAGCTTAAGGTCCAGCCTACCAGCCTGAGTTCCCTATACAATATGTCAGAATCAGCAAATAAATATACAAGAACAGCCAGTCTTACTGTGCCATGGGCCTCGACGTAAACGGTGTTTCGAGGGTCGACATCGGCAGTCGAATACACCCATCTCATCAGCGCCGCCTGGGCATCTGGACTCGGGAGAGATATTCCCGCTGTCTTGCCGTCCTGGTTTAACCCAGAATTACGGATCACTGCATGGATTGGATCGCCCGCTGCAATAGCGTCGTCCAGACGCTTGAGGATAATTGTCCCGACACCTTCTCCTCGAGCATAGCCCGAACCCCGACTGTCAAAGACATAGCATCGGCCATGAGGATTCACCATGCTAACGATTTTGTCAGCTTAGTCTCTCAATCCTAGATCCTGCTATGCTCACCCAACCATGCTCATGGCCACTGCCTGATCAGGATGCAAAAGCAGTTGAGTTCCTCCCACGATGGCCATGCTGGACTCTCCAGTCCTCAGGTTTTGACACGCCTGATGCAAGGCAACCATGCTACCAGACTAAAGAAGACAGGGTTAGCTAGTGTATGATGGAAATGAAGGATGTCACTCACACAACCAGTATCAACAGTGACCGAGGCGCCCTTAAGATCAAATAAATACGAGATCCGGTTCGAGACAACTGCTTCTCCAGTCCCAGTGATGTGAAGTTTTGTGATCTGCGGCAGATCCTTGAAACCCATTCTATCGTAGTCTCGAGCATAAATTCCGACGTAGACGCATGTGTTGGAACCTTTGATACTCTCCAGTGGAATGCCCGCATTTTCGAGTGCCTCGTACGTGGTTTCCAGCAGAATGCGCTGCTGTGGATCCATAGCGTGGGCCTCATAAGAGGCGATATTGAAGAATTTGGCATCAAATGCACCAATATCCTGATTTAAGAAGTAGCCGCTTTTGGAATTGAGTGACTCCTTTGCCTCGTTGTAAGGATGGTAGAATGATTTCCAATTCCACCGTTCCGCAGGAACCTCACCCCATCCACTTCGTCCTTCTGACAGCATCTCCCACAGTGCTTCAGGGCTATGAGCCCCTCCAGGGAGGCGACAGCCCATGCCAATGACGGCAATTGGAGTTTGATGAGACATTTTGGTTGCCGAATGCGAAAGGTACTAGGGCGAAAAAGTCTCTATTTTTTGTAGATTGCCTGCTCAGGACAGAAACGCTCTATCCTCGCAGCATTTTATACCCATTTCAGTGTCTGGAAGGCCTAATTACAATAGATAAAATGGGGGCAAAAACTGAAGCGAGGTTTATAGGCTATGTTTTCCTTCTACAACCCACCTCTCATCTAAGACCCCATTGACTAGCTAGTTGGAGAACAACACATGGTCAGATTTCCTATCTCTTCGACGAATCAACTGATGTGTTGGGCCGGGTATCAGCTCCTAGTAAGCCATCTACCTGATACTAAGCTTGATGTAAACTATAATGTTGGTTCTAGGCGTGGGGATACCAACAACATTCCCCTTTTATCCGGGGGCAGCTTCCGTATGACTATATGAGAACGCGGGATACTATCAAGGCTGTCCCAAGAGGCTGTCCCAAGAGGCTGTCCTGTGCAGGAGCTATTTTAGTACCTGCTTACCTGCAGAAGTCCAAAGCTTTTGGCAAAAAGCCATTCCTTTCAAGGGTTAGTTAGTGCAGCCTCTTCGTGGGCCTTGCAGGCGGAGTAAACAACACTGCACAAAAAACACTATAAGAGTTTGATAGTAAAAATACCACGTTTCAGCTGATGTTCTTAAAATTGACTAGCTAGAAAACAGTATTTTGGTTTATTCAAGTCTCTTAGAGTGATAGTAATGGTGGTAGACAGGCCATTACTGGTTTGTTCGACTCAAGTGGTGCCTTTATCTCTTCTCTGTCCGACGGGAACAAAATATTCGGACCATAGGGTCAGGACTTCCTCTATTTCAAATTATTGAATTTCCAAAACCGAGTTTTTTCCAGTGTGGGTGACAGATTCCATCTCGGTATGGTGAACCACCGACTCATTGTCTGATTTCCGTGAGCCCCAACGGAACGACGCTCTCTCCCACACTCCGGAAAAGGCAAGACCTGGATGGAACACCGTGAGTATAATACACGCTAGCAATACCATAGCGCCGTCGAGGACCATAAAGAGTACTTGTTTTTGCGCTAGCTTTCCTCTGAAGCCTCCGGATAACTCGGCCACTCGGAAAACAGCTCGAATGAACAGAAGCACTGTGGCTGCTCCCAAAGCCCCAAGAAAACCTTTGAAGCGCGCTGAGTTATAGAGATTTGCATGTGTGAGGCTCAGGCGGTCGCGATGTTTTCGCACTCGCATGCCATATTCGAGACAAAGGGCAATGAAGGTCACAAGGCTGAATACTTGGACTGCCAAACCAGCGACCATGATATCGGTCCCTCGGTCAATCTGATGATTATCAGACCTCAAATTCATATCGGGTTCATTTTAAGGAGCATACCTTCCATTGCAAAACCACGACTGCCGCCATTCCTCCCCCAACCGCTTGAACGACTAGCGCAATAAGGTCGAATCCGCTGAAGAGAAGGGTGTATGTTCGTGGACGGATGCGACTAATTTCCTCGCCGTAGACAACCACAATGCGAGCGAGTGTCAAATAGACGGCGGCTGCAATGAACGTAGGTGCGATCGTCGTGCAAACGAGATACATCAGGAAGTAGACTTTGGAGAATGGATCATTATGGAGAAGTATTCGACCAATGTATCCGACAACTTCTCCCAACAATCCCACAATAAAGCATCCGGTGAAGAGCTTGACTCTGTGAGTGATTCCAAAGTAGAGGGCAGGAGCAGTCAGAATGCCAAAGGCAGCTAACATAAATGCGTTTCCGGGGACAGAGGGTTGGTAGTGAAGATATCCCCAGTCCAGAGGACAATTTTTGAGTGTGCACCAGTAAGGAACAGCCATGGTGTTAGATTATTGTAGATGTGGTAACAGAGGAATGAGGTTGCTACTCTGGCCGTGCTCGCTGTTCGAGGTTCTCATGGGAAACTTGGGGAGAAATACTAACTATGTCCATGGATCATGCGAATTGTGGCTTATACAACAAAGAACCCAGTCATTACGGTCCGTAGAAAACGACCTGATTACTGCTGTAGTCGAATAATCATTTGCTTTGGCCCTAAAAGCCCTAAGAACACTCCAATCAGTCCGCTTGGCTGGGGCGGCTAAATTAAACTGGTCAGCAAGCAACGACCAACAGAAAGGGTCATTGCTCTGTTCTAAATCTCGCCCATTTTTCCCGGAATGGACCCTATTGATCAAACGCGTTGCCGGTTGGTGGCGTCAGGGGTCCCAAATCGAGCACGGGGCGCATCGGTAAGCCTTCCGACCTGAATCTCTTCAGATCCCCTAACTGAGCCAAGGACATATAATTTTTTGGTCAACGCTAATGCATGTGTGCTTGGACTCGGGGTCAAGCTATACTGCTTCTTACACCGAGACCGTTATCCCATAGTTACAGTACGGGCCTAGCCACAATATCAGCTACGAAAACCAGTAATTGAGCCTTGACTGGTTTGCGAGTAAGCTTACAATGGTTTCAGAACAATTTACTGAGAGTTCCCCAGTAATGAGCGAAAATCAAATTTTGACTATCTTTCGTAGTGTTACTCCGGGCCCTTTGAACTGACATTGTCCTGAGGGCTCCGTATTTCTTTCGGTGAGTAAACATTTACTTGGGCTTTCCACGTTTGTCCCGCTCAGGCAGGGTAGACATATCAGCAGCAATGTCCGAAAATGAGGAACAAAAAGGGTGGCGAGAACCCTTTGAGGGGGAGCTTCCTAGAGACCTAACTCGGACTCTTCAGGTTATTGGGGCCGGCCTTCCTCGCACGGGGACCATATCCCTCACTTTGGCCCTCACATGGGCTCTACACGGAGATGTATGCCATGGAGGATCAGCTTGTCTTCGAGGTCCTGAACGTGAGTTTCGAGTCCTTACAGAAACATAAACTTATCTAACAGAATGCTCAAGACGTCATCAAAGGGTGGACCAAGGTCTTAGACCCCGGCAAGGATGTACCACAGCAGGAAATTGATGATAAATTGAAAGAACTCTTGAAAGGCTACGTTGCCACGACCGATGCGCCAGCCATTTTCTTCGTCGAGGAACTGGTCCGTCTCTATCCCGAGGTAAAAGTTGTATGCACTGTGCGCGAACCGACCAGATGGTGGGAGAGCTATCAGGAGTTAATCAACACTCTTGACAACCCACTTTTTGTCCTCCTGCAGCTTGTGCAGCCAACGCTGCGATACTCGCTAGCTTGGAAGTTGGCGATTGTTAAACGGCGAAAACAAATCTACCCACCTGAATTTGAACCATTGGGACCTCGTGAGTGATGTTCTTCAATCTATCCATCTTGGTTTTGACAAAAATCACATGTCAGATTTTATGGAAATGCACAGCGACTACTTGCGGCGCGTCGTACCCGAAGACCGACTGCTTTTCTTCAACATGAAAGATGGTTGGGGGCCACTGTGTCGCTTCTTGGACGTTCCGATCCCGGATAAACCATTCCCTCAGGTACACGATCGGGCGTCCATGAAATCGAGCTGGGCTCCATATTGGTGGAAAGGTGCGGTGATCTGGTCGGCAATTTTGGCATCGGGCTATGGATTGAGCAAGGCCTGGTCGTACTGGAGAAATTGACCAAACCATAAATTTTGTTCATCTTTTTGTTTCAATCCACATCTATAGACACCGTTCATTTCTATGAATCCCTGTTTCTTAATTTTCATAAACCAAATGTTGACTTGTCAACAAACATCACTTGTTTATCCGGGAAAATAGATGATCTCAGCAATGTTCCCTTGGATTCAGCCGTCGGATCGGCCCGCCGGTCCGGAGGGATCTCTCTCATCTCCACCGCCAGCTCCAACTTCCTGCTGTATGTCAGCCGGCGTTCTGTCATCCTCAATACGGCGCCACTCCATGCCCAATGACACAGCCGCTGCCACGGCCGTTGCAACGAGGGGTAAAAGGAAAGCCTTAGTGATTGCTGTGTTCAAGGCCTTGCCCACGAGGTCAAGGGTGGTGGGAGACATCGACTCGGAGGACCATGATCCCTGCGTAAGACCCGAATGGAGAAGGGCGGCGGAATTCACTTCCGGGATGGCGCCTAGCTTGCTAGTGAGCGTATTTAGAAACACACTTTGAGCCACACTAATACCGACAGCGGCACCAAGCTGGCGGAAAAAGACCTCCAATGCACAGACGGTGGGCATGTCGGCTGGCGGTGTCACTACCTGCACTCCGATGAAGGTCACTTGGATCGCGGTACCAAATCCTGCGCCTGCGAGTATTTGGGTACCCATATACCGTGCTGTGCTACTATTTGAATGCAGTGTTGCATACAGAGCGCTTCCTGCCACATAGACTAGTGATCCAGCCCACATGAATGGTACATAGTATCCCAGGGCGGTCATTGAGAAACCAGAAATAAGCACGCACACGGTACTGGCGGCGGTGAATGGCAGCATGTACACACCTGACATGGCTGCATTGGTGCTTCTGACTCCCTGGAACCAAATCGGCATGAGATAGGTGTGTGTTATCACCGCAACTCCGTAGAGGCCAGAGAAGATGCAACAGGTAGCAACAGTGCGCTGGTAAAGAAGCCGGAGGGGTATGGTTGCTCTATCCAAACCAAATGATTAGATATTGTAGGCCAGAATCGAGAACAGAGTCATTACCTTTCTTTCTGATAGATTTGCACGCCGATGAAGATTCCGCACAGTATGGCAAATCCCACAAGGCAACCCCAGACACGAGGCGTAGACCAGGCCATGGACCCACCCCATTGTAAACCAAGGAATAGACACACCAAGCTTGACGAGAGAACAGAAGCACCGAGCAAATCCAGTCGAGCGATCTTCTGCTTCAACGGCAAATCCGCAAGTTTCCCAGGTTTGCGATGCAGGATAAGGATGATAATAACCGCTGCAGCGAATCCAAACGCTATGCTAATATTCAGCCACTCAAGCATTTGTGACAGGATATGTTGGGGGGCACCCACGCAGGTTAATCCAAAAGCAAAACCGCCACGTCAATCGCGAATCAGTCAAAAGGCCACCCACTGTTGGACCAGCCAGGGTAGCAATTGAGTACAAGCTAGTCATAATAGCCATACCTCGCGGTCTTTTGCGTAGCGGAACAACTTGTCCAAAAATAGCAAGGTTTCCAGTCAGCAATCCCGCGGCTGCTGCGCCGGCAATGGCTCGCCCGAGGATAAGCACGGGAGAACTGGGTGACGTTGCACAAATGACTGAGCCAACTTCAAAAAGTAGCAGTGATAGCAGGAAAGTGGTTTTGGCTTCAAAGTACATGTAGATACGTCCAAATGTGGGCTGGAGAGACATCTGTGCGAGAAGATAGACGCTGGCGTACCACCCTATGTCATCAACGGAGTTGAAATCACTTGTGATTCGGGGTATTGCGGTAGCTGGAACAAAACCATGTCAATAATTATAAAGCTTTTCTTTTGAAATTACCTACAGAGAATGCTTCCGTCGATAGTGAGCATCAAGCCAGCCATGGTAAATGCCAGGGTGATAATGTAGAGCCGGGACCCAGTGAGATAGTTTTCTTGTTGTGAAGCATTTTCTTCTGGTGTGTATTGGACCTCTCCCTCTTGCTTTTCTTGTGGTTTATCATTTTTTTGAAGTTCTGCTGCGGGAGGCTTTTCGGGGTCTGTCACCACAGGGCCTTGGATATTAACGGGAGAAGTTGCCTCTCCCATTGTCAAACGATTTTATCTCTCGAGCATTTGATTGAAAAAAAAGTCCGTTTCTTGACTGGGGCTACCTTTTTGCAGCAAAAACATAGTTTTTCCATGCTAAAGGATTCAGGGATGTTACTAGTCAGAGCTAACAAGAGCCTTGTCGAAACCGAGCTAGACATGCATCCTGTCCGGGATTAGGGCTGACTGGCTTCTTACCTACATACAGGGGGCAAGTAAGCTCCGCCCTTTTCACTTTTGGATAATGCAATGTTATCTCAGACATAGATATTGAAAAGAGGCTAGACTATTTGCATTTGGACATTCTCTGTTGTGAGGTTTATTCGTCCCCATACAACCCTACAAACTCAATTCGGCAACAGCGTCTCCTACCGGCATATTCTGTCCTTTTCTCTCCTCCTAATCTACATATATTGCAATTGGCTCTATTTTATTATCCAACTTTAGCAAAGACAATGAATATGAACCCATTCAAACAAAAACCACTCCCGCCAACACCACCACCCCGCGTACCCTCAGATACAATTATCCCAGCTCACTTCTGGGACGACGTGCCGTATACTCGGGGTATATGTCTCAACTTCACACTCAAATTCGAAGATGTGCTCGATCCAGCGAAACTGCGAAGCGCTCTCGAGCGACTGCTGCGATGTGGAGAGTGGAGGAAACTTGGTGCTCGGCTTCGTCTGAATGTAACGACCTACCTCGTCTCAATGCCCTGCCTTATTTCTCATTTCTTATTTCTTTCTCATTAGGATGGAGGAACGCTGGAGTACCATATCCCTGAACTATATACCGAAGAACGACCCGGTTTCATCTTCACGGTTGATGATAGTAGTGCTACCGATAGCATCTACGTGCATCCACTAGCATCAGATCTTCCAACGACAACATCACCATCAAATCAGACCCCAGACTCATTCAATATATTCGACTGCTCCTCCAAATTTACTCCCATCCTCATCCACAAATCAGCCCCAACCAGCCTCTCCTCGTACCTCTACTCCGACAACCCGCAACTATTCATCCACACCGTCCTCTTCAACGACGCAACCCTACTAACAGTAACATTCCCGCACACCCTCACAGACGCAATGGGTCTATCTGGATTTCTTCACGCATGGACAGCTATTCTATCCTCCCAAACAGATCGGACAAAAGAAGAAGAAGAAGAAGAAGAAGAAGAAGAAGAAGAAGAAGAAGAAGAAGAAGAAGACCAGCAGAAGAAAATCTCCCCATTCCTCGGATTCGATACCGATCTGCTCGAATCACAATTCGACTCCCATATCCCCGCGCACCGACATATCCTTTCATCCCAGGTCTTCGGACAACTAGGGATCATAGGACTGGTGGCTAAGCGCTGGTGGGAGAACTACTCCTATCCCACATTGGAGGATAGAATGCTGCTCATACCGGGGAAGTATATCCAGCACCTAAGAAGACAAGCACAATCCGACCTGGGAACCGACTTCTTCATCAGCGAAAGCGACGTCCTCCTAGCGTGGATATCAAACCTGATAATGACAGCGCGCAACGACAATCCGTCAACACAAGTGATGATCCAGAACGTCTTCGACATCCGCTCTGTACTTGGCCTCTCTTCTGGACCAGGTGTTGCTGGGAGGGGGGTGTATGTCGGCAACGCGACATTCCCAGCGTGCACAGCGACAACAGCACATCGACTCCGAGACGGGTCCTTGAGTCAAACAGCCCGTGATATAAGGATGTCCCTCGAGCAGCAACGCACTCCGGAGCAGGTCCACGCCATGGCGTCGCTGAGGAGACAAACTCTCCGAGACACGGGTTTCCTGCCTATCTTCGGAGATCCGAGACAGGTGCAGGTTACGTGCACGAATTGGCACCGCGCGCGGTTCTTTGAGGTTGATTTCGAGGGTGCTGTTTCGGGTGGGAAGAAGGGAAAGTGTAGACCGATGTATATTAATACCGCTGGTCCGGAGCCGTTGGGGCCGCTTGTTGCGAGGAATTTGGTTACTGTTACCGGGAAGGATGGGGAGGGGAATTGGTGGGTGCAGCTTGTTGTGAGGGTTGAGGTTTGGGATAGGATTGGGGAGATGCTGAGGGGGATTAGCTTGGATGAATAGAATCCTGGATACCTGGGGATATGTTGGAGAATGAGAGTGATAGTTTCATTGGGGGAAGTAGTTATCAAGAATGAAAGAAAGAATATGTCCAAATAACTACTCCTGACACCGATATTCACATGTGCAGATATCTTATCAACCAAACAGAATACAAAAAGAAAATTAACCAATCATCTGACTGAGACCCTCCGGCCCTTGCGCTCCCGGCGGAAGAGAAGGACACACACAGCCCGGCGGGATATTAGCAGAAGAGGAAGACATCCACTCCGACGGAGAGGCAACAGGCAAAGAGGAGCGACCCATAGCGCGGCCAAGGATATGAGCCGCGCCTTCTCGGGTGTGAAGAAGACCGAAGCGAAGGAAGACTTCAGAGACTGTGACGATGATGGAGATGAGGATTAGGACGATGATAATCCACGTTTGATAGGAAGTGCGGCTGTCTGCTATCGAGTCGGATAGGATCTCTGCGAGATCTAGGAATACGCGGCAGCGTTCATTTAGGACTTGGATGCGGGGTTTGATCTCGAGATACTCGCGCACGGCGATGTAGAGCGGATACAGGGTTGGTTCACTTTCCCAGAAGAAATTGGGGACGTCGAGCATGTTGGATGCTGTTGAGAATGGGCCAGTCAGCACGTTTTCAAAATGAGGACAAAGAGAAGTGCAGAACTTACAAAGATTCACCTCAACACGACTCTTAAACAATCTCCCCAAAATCCGGAAAACCTCCTCGCGCTTCATTCCCAGCTTCCCTGACATGGCCAGGCGGCGTGGCACATCCTTCGCATCATCCATCTGGCGAGCCATGACCTCCTCGAAGAAGCACAGCTTCGTGCTCTGCGCGATGCCGTGACTGATAGCCAGCTTGATCATGTGGTCTCCACTGCGAAGGGTGATCATGTCGTTGTATACACGCGGGCGGGAGATCTCAGTCGAGTACTCAAAGTGGAACTCCTCGGTCTCAAAGTCCTCTTCGTCGAGGGGCATTGTCGCGAGCGGGATGGGGATTCCCGTTGCGGAGGATGTGGCGAATACTAGGTCTGCGAGTAGGTCTTTCTCTTGTCGCTCGGTGAAGTTCCAGAAGACTACTACGCCGTAGCTGAAGACGAACATCTCGGCGACGTTGTATAATGTCCGCGCTGGCGGTGATGGGAGTTGTGGCGATGATGATGTGGGTGCGGGTGCAGGTGAAGGTAGAGGTGGTGAGGGACGGTCTCGATGCAGTGCATGAGTATCATCCGTGCTGTGTCGGCGAGGACGAGGGATGGGTTCCACATCAGGACTTGACGGCGGGATACTCTGCGACGCAGTGCTCTCATCCGAAGCCACCGCATGCTCATGCTCCTCAGATCGACCGCCTTCCTCAGATATCCGATCCAGAAAGCTCTGGTTCTCCCTCGCGTGTTCATCCGAGTCCCGCGGCGACGCATCATCATGTTGGTGCTCGTGCTCGTATTCCTGCCGGTTATGCCCACCAACGGAATGCTCCTCCGCCTCGACCATGTAATCGTCGTGATGGTCGCGCAGCTCATTGCGCTCGATTTCTTCGTCCAGCAAGGACTTGCCGCCAGGATATTTCAGCACGGGGCTGCTGCGCAGCCGATAGCCCTCGTGGCCTGGAAGCAGTGGCAGATGGTACGCCGTGTAGAGACAGTCATCATACAGCTTCGTCCTTGCGCCATGCCACTCCTTGACGAATGCCGCAACCGAGCTCATCTTGTACGCCTGCGCGGTGCAGTAAGCCGTCACTCGGGCGAGCTTCTCCGCGCGCCGCGCCTTGGGTAGTCGCTCCGCGTAGCTCTTGGCGCGCTGAGGTGCAATGCGTCTCTTGCGCAGCAGCTCTTCCTCAGCCAACAGCGGCGCAGTGTCATTGTCAATGCCAAAGTCCCCACCCAGCCGCTTCTGCGCCAGCAGCAGGTGTCGAACTGCCTCCGGATCCAGATTCCTATCCTTCGCCACCCGCGCAACAAGCTCCTCGTCCACAAGCTCGTCTCCCTCTCGCCCCTCCTCGTCTTCGTCCTCCTCTTCATCCGGCTCACCCACGCCCCCCGTATCAGGGAGAAGCACCAGCTTCTCGCTGACTTTAGTCGTCCGCGGCGGAAGACGCGGCTGCGCTGCAAGTCGCGCCGTATTAGCCACGGCGGCGGAACTACTCCCGCCTGCATGTCCAATCAGTCCGCCGGTGGCGGAGGAGAGCCGGTCTCGTCGAGACCGGGACCCCGGCATAGGATGGCGCTGCTGGGCGGAGGGCACGTCGGAGGCATATTGGAGGACGTTGTCGACGGTAATGAAGCGGGTTGCGGGCGATCGGCGCCGACGGGGTGTTGCCGCGGGCTGCTGGTCGCGAGAGTCGGTGACCTGTAGTTGGTGGACAGCGGATATCAGCATTGTGCTACTTTTTCTCAGTCGACTTCCCGGAGCTCACCAGGACGGTCGGACTCCGCTGGGTCCCCCGTCCACGCGGGGGAGGAGTCATGGATGATCCGATGCGATTGCCTTTAATGACAATCGGCAATTGGAATCCTGCGCTGTGGTCAGATAAGAGACGGGCGTGGTCGTGAATTGACCACAGCTTGGCAAGTTGATGATGACGAGCCGGAAAGCGTTCTTTGCGCTTAGCCCGAAACGGAACGGCAGATCCTATGGCGGCGGGGACAGTTTACCGTACCATACGTGTATTTGGAGATCATGTGACCCTCCATGCGTTGTCACTTCGGGGCTAGACTGCTGTGGGCCTAGCGGGAAAGTGAACCATAGATGAGGATCTGGGGTAGATTAGGTCGGGACAAATGATGGGTTGAAGTGTTCATGGATTCAAATGACTAGTAGTCTGTGTACGAGAATGTCCAGTGTCCACCAGGATGCAGATCTGCCAGAGAGGAATAACCAGATGAAATACTATCCAAAAAAAAATAAAAAATAAAAAATAAAAAATTTTGTCCACTATCGATCGCCATGATGGCCGTCGCCAGTAGTATGTAGTGAAAGTGCAACCAACGTCAGGATTGAGTTGCCATGCAAAAAGAAATGCTAGATCATGCCAAAATCTCGTCCCGAAGTTGTTGGTCTTCATCCCAAATCTCCTTCTTCATGCGCTGTAGCCGAGTATGCTGTTTCTGTAGCCGATCCAGGTCCGACCGTGCAGGATCCGCCTGGCCCGCAAGGGAGTCATGCAAGGAGCGGTACTTGGCGTAAAAATTCTTGAACTTCTGCGACTTCTCCCGCAGCTGCTGTCGAAGCAGCTCGTGGCTCATCGGCGGAGAGACGCTGCCCGTGCTGCCGCCGCTCGAGCTGCTGATCGCCCGGCGCCGCTTGTGCTCCAGGTTGCTGCTGGCTGCGCGTGCTGTGGCTGGTGCGTGGGGCACGGACAACCGGTCAGGCTCAGCCTTGCGTTTCAGGGGATTGGCCGTGGCCGCGGCCTTGGCAATGCCGTTGGTCTTTGCTGCCGGCTTCGATGCGACCCCGGTGGTGGCTCTGTTCGTTCTGGCCAGCTGGGTTATGAGCGGAGAAGAAGACGAGGAGCTCGAGGATTGGTTCTGGCCGTCGGAGCCACTGCGGCTGGGAGCATCGGAGGCATTGGCGGGCGGCGAAGATCCCAAGGGAGAAGGCTTCTGCGGAGAGGTGGACGCTCGCGGGGCCGGCTTCTTGGAGACGGTCCCTTTCGAGGAGGATTCGAGCTTGGGAACCTTGGGGGTGGGCGCTGGCGGTGTGTCGGTCACACGAGGTTTGGCTGCGGCCGACTTGCTTGGCTTGACGGCAGGCGCCGGAGTGGGGGCCACATCCGCCATGTCCTCATCCTCGTCATCCGAATCGTGCACAAATTCCGCGGACTTGATCTTGCTCTCGGCCTTCGAGGCCGGTTTGCTTGCGGTCTTCTTCGTGACTCGCCCGGTCAAGGTGGTATTCTTGCCCTTGGCAGACCGCTTGGGTGTATCCTTCTCGCTGAGTTTGGCTTTTGAGCCTGACCGAGGAGTTGCGGCCTGAGCCGCACCGGATCCCGTTCCACGGTCGGTTTCATTGCCAGTGGTGTAGCCCTCTTTGCCTCGCTCCTCCGACGCCTGAAGGCGGGGGGTGAGAGGCTTCTTGATCGGGCCCCCGGTGAGATTCAGCCGCGACAGGCACTTCCCCTTGCCTCGCTCCTCCTTCGGAAGCAGCATTTGCCACAGCTTGTCGTTGCGGGAGATCCGCATGCGATCAAAGGCGGAGATGGCATTCTCAATCGCCTCCTGCCGGTCCTCTGGGGTTGGGTAGGGGAAGCCCCAGACATCCAGATCCTTGTAGGTTTTGTCCTTGAGGTCGAACTTTTCCCGGTTCAGCCGGTTCTCCACGCCATACTTCTGGGCCAACGAGGCGCAATCCTCGGGGGAGGACCGGGTTTGACGCCCGAGAAACTTGGTCGACACGGCCCGGACGGCGAGGAGGTGAATGAAGGGGGTCTTGAGGGCTTCCAACCGAATCCGATCTTTGTTTTGGGAGATCGGCGCGGAGGTCGGAGTCCGAATGGGGGCGGGTGATATGGCGGACCCCAAGGCTGGGCTCGACGTCAGGGACCGGGGGGTGGCTGTTTTTAGAAACCGATCTTTTTCGAGCTTGCCCGCGGGCCCTCGAGCAGTAGATTTCTTGCCAGCCCGAAGAGCTTTCAGTTCATCCGGGTGGGCAATCATGTGTGTTTTCTTGGACTCCTTCCCGCGTTCGAAGGCGTTCAGGCTCTCCTCCAGGTTGGCCAGAGCTTGGTCCGTAGCTGCAGTATCCTCCTTTGCCTTCTCCACTTCCAGGCTGTGGCTCAAGACTCCGCTGAAGTATAGATGTTGCTGATCGGAGGAGCTTCCTTGGTAGAGCTCGGAACGGTGGGTCTCGGGATAGGCGTGGAAGGATTGGGACTTGGTGCCGTAGTGAAGGGCCGGGTGTTTTCCCAGACGAACCCGAGCAGGTTGGTCATTCCGCAGACTCTGGATGAGCTCGTCCAGCGTGACCTGCACCAGATTCAGCCGCATGATCTGGACCGGCTTGGAGGAGGCGGTGCCACTGGGGTGCTCCGCCGGTCGGAGGGACAGCCCGGTGCTAGGAACCTCCAGCCGCGGCATGATGGTGAGCAATGGTCAGGGCAGGAGGGCAGGAGGAGAAAGTCGAGGGGATGGGGAGGATCGGGTGGCAGCGTCAGAGCTGCAGGTCAAGCGGCCAACTGCACGGGGGAGAGAGGCGAGACCATGAGCCATAGGCTGTGGGTGTCGTGATGGTAGAGATTGGGGGGAGAAGGAGAGACTCGGGAAGGAAGGAAGAGGGGAAAGAGAGAGTTTGTCGGGTGGAGGAGGAAGAGAAAGTGAGAGTGAGCATGAGAGTGAGAGAAAGTCAGAAGAGTAAGAGAGTGAGAGCCCAGGCACCCGGAGCGGAGGTCAGTGGGGATCGGTATGAGCCGGGTATGTAATTTATTCTACTTGACATACATAGTGGACGGCCAGTACTTGTTCGCTCGGCTCGCATGTCTAACAGTCTTTGGTCCCTGTACTCCCCGTGGTGGATCCAGTATCCGTCCCAGCTTCGCTTCTATCTAGCGGGGTTGCCCGGGCGAGATGAGTCTCAGCTGTACATACATGATGACCGACTGGATGCCCTCTGGTATGCTGGATCCCTCCGTCCGGGTGATCGTCCCGGGCCATGGTCAAGGAATGCCAGAGCATTGGTCTTCGCTGCCTCTTCGCAGTTAGGACATACATACTGTTGGTTCGGGGGCCATGACTGTGGCACCCGGCCCCCGGCACTGATTGGACTCGGTCGTTTCACGGCTGCGCTGACGGACAGATGGGAGGGGGGGACAGGGCCACGATCGTGGATCCCCTTGCAGCCGGGCGAGACATTTTCCTCCGGCCTTTCTTTCCATTGTCGGCCTGAAACATTCGAGCCGGGGTCGAACATGAATAATATTAATACATAATCCTAGCTCAGCCCTGGATCGACATGGCCAGCACCGCCTCGTATTTAGCCTTCCAAGGCCCAAGTTTACGAGGACATCGTGATGACTCCGACCTGGCGATATTATTAATACCAGCATCCGGTCGACGAAAAGATGAATATACCAAAATCCATCATCCGGTGGTAACTATCGAACAACAATAATAACAAGATTGGAGTAACTAGTTAACAAGATGACCCACCCCCAAAACAACCAGGCCCGGCATTTCCGCGCTCTCCACCGACCCGGCAACCCTCTCGTCCTAGCCAACGTCTACGATGCCGCCACGGCCGCCGTCGTAGCCACCAACCCAAGCGCGCAGGCCATCGCAACGGCCTCCTATGCGATCGCAGGCACACATGGCGTGGAAGACAATTCCATGTCGAAAGAAATCAACCTGAATGCCGTCGCGACCATTATCAGACACGTCCAGACCATTGACCCCACTAAACCCATCACCGTCGATATCCAAGATGGCTACGGCAGTACTCCGGCCGAGCTAGCCTCGACGATCAAGGATCTCATCGCCCTCGGCGCGGTGGGGTGCAACCTCGAAGATAACAACAACGCGACTGGAACCCTGCGACCATTCGATGAGGCGGTCGAGCGCGTGCGCGTCGCTGTCGCCGCAGCGAGGGAGGCCGGCGTGCCCGATTTCGCGGTCAATGCCCGCACAGACCTGCTTGGAGACGCGGGCGCTACCATTGACGACGCGATTGAGCGCGGCAAGGCATTTCTCGACGCCGGGGCTCACACCGTCTTTATCTGGGGCCCGAACAATAGAGGCGTGTCCCGTGACGAGGTGAGGCGGTTTAGCGCTGCGCTCAACGGCATGGTCAATGTGAAACTGAGCTTCGGGCCTGGTTTCCTGACTGTCCCTGAGCTGCGCGAGTTGGGCGTGGCGCGTATCAGCGTCGGCCCGGAACTATACAGAGCGGCGATGAAGGCGTTTACTGATCTGTCTACGCAATTGTTGGCCGCTTGATTCGGTGAGTCCTTTAGCTTAACACTAAAAAAACGAAAAAAAATTTTGAATTAAAATCAATGAATCAATCATCCCTAAACCCTCACCCACACCCCAACCTAAGCAATCGCCACCGAAGGCCTCACCGACGGCTTCATCACAGACGTAGTGCTAGTCCTTACCCTCGTACACAGCCCCTTGACACACTGATTCCCATAGCAGCAATTCGCATCCACAAAGCATGGCCCACTATCCTCCCGACAATCTGGCCATTGCTTGTCCGTGGAGCGACACTTATCCGCTGCGCAGTAGTCCGAGCAGCAATTTCCGAGGGTGCCGCCGGAGACGCAGTTCGCTGGGTATAGAGCAGTCAGGACGAGACAGAATTCAAGAAAATATATAGACTGAACGATAAAGAGACGAAGGAGGCAGAAGAAGGGGAAGCAAGAGGAGACTACCGTAAACGCCTAGACAGGTCGGTGTCGGCACGCAGGTCGTCACTGTTGTTGAGAAGGGGGTTGTGAAGGTTGCTGTCGTACAGATGTCTGCTCCGACGCAGGCATCAGCGGTGCCGCACTTTGCGGGTGCTGGTGGTCGAGTTATTTATCGGTGAACTAATGGTAGAAAGAAGGAATGAAACGAAGAGGCGGACATACAACCCACAGCGAAATGAGCAAGCGCAAGAGTCGCAGCTAGAGAGATGTACATGGTTATAGTAAGTATCGCAGTTAATGGAAGGTGTTAAGCTAGCGACTAGTAGGAAAGGAAGTTGTTGTGCAGCTAAGAATGATCTGGCTACGAACTTTATATATGACCCGACCCGTCGTAATAAACCTAGATCCATGAGCGATGTAGAGATAAATATATCAATTATTGATGGCGGTGACGAGACTACATGTAGCAAATACGAATATACGGTACATAGTAACCATCGTCTATTCATCCTCGGTCAGTTATTTGCTGTTCATGTTCAGGTGCATGTCGCGGGATCTAGACCGCGGATTGGCTGTTCACCTCAGCACTGGGTGGGATACGAGCGGGACAAGACCAACCTGTCTGTCTTACCACGGCACGGCTCCCGTGTCTCGTTAGTTTTGGAGGTGTTCATATCCATTAATGAAATATCGCCCATGGTATATCGTTGGAAATTTAACTATTGTGCTGTTTATCTATCCTAAGGTTCATGCACGGATCGAGGTACACATTTGCCTAATTAGGTACTTGAGTACTTCGTTGCTCAGTGGATTTCCCTGCTCACACTAACCTGAATGAAGTCCCTCCCCAGTGATCGCTAGCTAGTCGAGTACGTGTTGATAATCGCTGCACAGGTCTATTACTATCATCCTATCTATCATACACGATTGCGATGGCGGATTGTGGGCCACATGTACAAGAATGGTATTCGGATACCGCCGCAAAAGGAAAAGAAACTCAAAGCAAACAGAGAGAGAAAAAGGAATACAGAAAGAAAGAGATAAAGCGAGTGGTAGACAACAAAGAAACACAGATGATTAGAAAATAGAACAAGGGACGTGTATGGTGTATGACAAACACAAAACAAGAAGCAGGTAAACAACGAAAAGAAACCCGATACCATACCGACCAGACACCGCATGCTGTGTCTCCTTGGAAACAACAAAAAAGACGAACCCGATTCCCCAACCCTATTCCGTACAATGTTAGCCATGAAGATCCCAGTTTCCCACGCTTTCTATCTATGCTGTTTCCTCGTCTGGTCGTGTCTCGGTAAAAGCCATGTCCTCCGCGTGCAAGCGGTAAGGCGGAAAAACTGATGTGTGTTCGAGGCGAGAAGGACCTCAGCAGGTCAAATAAAATGCAGGAAGCAAACAATTTCAAAAGACAGACTCGCAAATGAACAGCGGAAGTTGTATTCCTTCCGTGGGAATCAATGTTGAAGTAGTGAAGACAAAACGAAACAAAAAAGGACCGCCTCATACGGCCGTCGACCAGCTGTCGCCCATTCTGGGCTTCGTCTCATAGTTCTCCGGCTCGGTGCTGGTGGGCCGGCGGATGGTCGAGTTGGGGAAGTACATGTGTGGGGGCATGGACGTTGGATACGCCGGTCCGGTAGGCTCGGGGTAGTTGAAGTCATTGGCGGACCCGGGAGACGGCATGCTTCCATGAGACGGCGAGGCCCATCCGAGGCTGGTCATATGTGGACTGCCGGTCACGCTGTTGGGCCGGTGGTCATTGTTAGCCGGCGGTTCAAGGGGCTGCGGCGGAGCGTAAGGGTGAGAAGTCATCGATGGCCGAGCGTGGGGTTGACTTCCAAAACTGGAGAGGGACGGAGACGTGGCGGTTGGGGAAGCTCGAGGGCTACCCTGCGAGAAATCGCCCCGGAGATGCGGTGGAAGCGGGCCGTTGCCCATGTAGTAGTCGCCAGAACGGTGCATGTTCAGAGGCGGCAGGTCACCACCGGGAGACATCGCATGCGCAGGAGAAGGAGTCGAGCCAATCGAGGCCTGGTCCGGGAACAAGCCATCTCGCCCACGGTCCTTGTTTTGGCGCAGGTTGGCCTCGGTCTCCGCGGCCGCTTCCTCGATGGTCCCAGTGTGGTGGTTTTGATGCCGGGTCAATGTCGTCCGGCGCGTGAAAGTCTTCTGGCAGTTGGCATACGGACACTTGTAGGGTCGCTTGCCGGAGTGGATGCGACGATGTCTCGCAAGCGATGATGAGTCACTAAAAGGCTTGCCACACCTCTCGCACATGTGAGGTTTCTCGCCGGTGTGGACCCGGGAGTGTACAGTCAATGCGGAACGCTGGATAAACTGCTTTCCACAGCCCGGCCAGTCGCAGGCGTGAGGCCGAACCCCGGTGTGAATACGCTCTGTGGTGAAAATCAGTGATGGAACTCCTCCTGCAACCACATAACAACACCTACCATGCCGTGCAAGATCGCTTCGTCGAGCAAACCCTTTGTTGCAAGTCGAGCAATGAAAAGTCTTCGGTGGCGGATCGGCGCTGGTTCTTCCTACGGGGACAGGCCCCGGCTGCATGGACGCCTCGCCGGCATATCCCCCCGGGACATAGGAGAGGTTCCGTGGCGTGGAACCCGGAGGCTGGGCATAGTAGAAAGAGTCGGTGAGCCCGGAGTCCATAGACATGTGCGGAGGGTGGGTAGGATATGCGTTGACCGGGTTGTCCGAGGCGCCCGGTTCGGTCTTCATGATTGGAGTGTTCTCGGAATTTAGGGGCCCTCCTTGTTGCAGATATTGTTGACGAAAATGCGCCTCTGCGGCGGCGGCTGCGGCGGCGGCAGCAGCAGAATTCTTCCTGTTCAAGATGGTTGTGAAGTCCATGACCCGACCCAGCAGGTACCGGGGTCAAGGACGGCTCTGCACGGCGTCCTTCAGCAGGCCTTGAAAATTCGAGCCGGAGTGTATGTATCCACGACGTATGTCTTAGTCACAGTCACACTGTTCATTCGTCCACGGTATCGGACAAGTGCTTCTGTGGGTAGACGGGAGGAGGGTATTGAGCGTCACGAAGAGGTGGTTATAGGGGGAGAACTGCTGAACGGACTCGTCAGATTCAACCCAGTATTGGTATGAAACGTGTGCCAGGCAGACCGGGCAACTCACCCTGATTGGGGCCGTATTATGCGCCGAGTTGTTGGTGAAGAATGGAACCGGTAAATTCTTCAACTCCGTACACTGGAATGCCGGGCCGCGGAAGTGAAGGATCAAGTCACTGGGAACGAGCTTCGTGAGAACTCGCGACCAAGGCTCTGTAGGATATGGGGAGGCCGGAGTATCGCGACTGGTCGATGGGGGACGCGTAGTCGAGTGTTGGTGATGAAAATTTGGGTATAATGAACGGGGTAGCAGAGAGGCTCGTAAAGGATCTAGTAATTCCAACGGAAGAAATAAGCCAACTGGTTTTATGAATGACTTGAAGGCAAAAATCGGCAGACGGCGGGCGTCGACATCGGCCAGGGCTCAACTCGCCCCTCGGGCGTTGATCTCGGGCCTGTGAACGCGCCACGCGCATAGGGCAGTGGGAGCCCGAGAAACTTCTGTTGGACCGCACATCCACGGGTCGCTCAGGTTCAGAGAGGCTCTCGCGGTTTAAGAGATAGACAGCTCAAGCGCGGGATGTGCGTCATCTCGAGATCGGTTGGAAATGAAGGAAAGGGGAGTCGGGCACACACACCTGCTGGAGAGTACCGGGCGGATGGAAGATGGGGAGTCGAGATCGAAAGATGGGAGAGTGGTGAAATGAGGTTGAGGATGAGAGGAAAGAAAGAAAGTCGAGGGAAGTGGGGGAAGGTTAAGGTTGGAAGTGAGCCGGGGATCGAGGGAGAAGGGAAAAAGAGAAAGGGGCATGCGATGATGAAGTATGGCATTTTAGGTGTGGTAGGTGCCACGACGAGGCCAACTGGTTCGTTCTCTGTCTATTCTTTCTTCTACTACTTCTTCTTCGTTAATTCTTGGAAGACTCTGCTACGGTTTTATTTCTTTTCTCGTTCCAGTCTGGGATTCTCATGAGTTCCTACATTCGTATCCCTTCGTCCGCCTATCTTCTCCAGTCCTCAATGACTGCAAAGCGCCTTATCCCTGCAAGGCCCAATCTAGTCTCCTTAGTCGGCCCCAGCGAAGTCCGCTAGAAGCAAACACGGCCGCGCCAGAAGCCCCCGTCAGCAATCCCGGCTCCACAACGCTCTGCCTTCTCCATTGTTTCCCCCTGTGCCCGTGCGGCCCAACAGTGGATACGAGACAGCCACGCCGATCTGAATGAATCACATCTTGTGTATTTATTTCTGGAGATCCGAGAAATGAGCACCCACAGGACGGACGGACTAACCGATTAGTAGTTTTCACGCATAACTAATAAATCGCTACGGGCCAATCCTCGCTCTCAGCACAACGCCCAGAGCGACAGCCAGAGAGAGAGTGTGTGTGTGAGAGAGAGGAAAAAAAAAAAAAAGTTTACGCCAGGGCAGAGCATGACGCAAGTCCGAGACAAAGCCCGTCGGGATAATTATAGTTATGTAGGGCAAGTAATGACCCCTGAAACTCGTGAAACAGCCGGGAGAAGTCGGTACTATGACATCGCAATGGTGCGACACTTGGATTGCCTCGTGCAATGGAACCCCAAACACCAAACATCTTAACTCGTATGTACAGGCTATTTGCTAGCCGAACCGGACCGTGAAGAAGGCTAACTAATCCTTCTTCTAGAAGTGTTCGACCAGGTGTGGCTCGTCCCGCGGGGCCAAATATCCAGTAACTGTCGTTGCCTGCACATGCGGTTTCTTCTGGTCTTCAATGCTCAAGCCCAGTGGGGCTTACCGATGCCTACCCCTGATGATATCCACCGCATCGGTAATTACAACCCGCATCAGCAGCATCGGGCATTCCCCCTTTTTCACCGAGAGGCTGAACCCACTCCTCTCTCATCACCTCGGACCAGCTTGATTGGCGCGCCAAGCCTTCTCCTGACCTTCTTGGGGCCTTCGCGAAGGGTTTCGAAGGCCCGTGGAACATCCCAGCGCGGACGGTCTCCGTTTGTCCTGCTTGATCCCTATTCTGGACGGCGTGCGCACGGAGGCCCGAGCCTTATGACCGCATCGTCGACCCCCGGCCCGAGGCTGAGCACGCGCTAGATCGTCCTGTACATCGATAAGTCGTTCCTGGCTCCAATCGTGTACGTAGTCGCTTTTTAGGCCTGCTGCCCAACTGTTTCGTCGGTAAAAGGGGCAGGGGCCATTTTGCTATATGCCGGTAAGGTTAGGCGCATTTCACCATCCCTGTTCCTTTCTACTTTCTCTTCAACGTGATGATCTTCCACCGGATCCGACACCCCTGAATTCTTTTTTCTTTGCCGGTGACGACACTCTTTCTTCTCCTGCCAAGTTTCCATCCCGGTCTTGCGGGGGTTTGCGGTGGTGGTTTTCCGTCGTCGACCCGGGCCTGTTTCAGGACCTGCAGTAGTCGTCTGGCCAATGATAACTACATAGCCGAAGGCTTCTTTCGTTTCTTGTTTCCTTGTTTATTTTTTTGGTTAATATTTTTTCTCGACGTGTAACGGGGTGGAGTGGAGGCACAGTCCACATGGTTGTGGCTGAGGTGTGTCAAGTTCGCGCTAGTCGTACTATTAGTAGAACGCGCCGTCGCCCTGTTGCCCCTGATTAAGATTAATAATGTAAGCTGGTCTACGTATCGTTGTGTGGTTATTATTATTCTCGTTATTATTATTCTCGCACTTTTAAAAAGATTAATAGAGAGATTCACAATTCATGTTTTCAGATATACGATTCAAGCAGACAATCCCCGATCCTGAGATCACCTACACTCCCACATGCAGGACCCACTGATGTCCACCGTGCATAAATAAGTCCACGAGTCCGCGTCAAATAGTGCCGATAGTAATGTCGCTTGCTCAATTCTGAATCTTAATTTCCGAGTTTGTGGATCGTCGTAGACGATGAATATCTCCCTCCTATGGACGAATTGAAGTTAGCCTGCTGCGCACCCTAAGGAAGTCGCACTTACCTACCTTCCAAAGCTAGTAGTGCGTCCTCTGTACAGTAATGGGATAAAGTGGATTGAAAATATATCCCAAAATTAGGTTAGAACGGCCCATGATTATCTCCACAGAGGCCAGTGCGGGACTAAGAGGGGCATTGCTCAGCATTCCCTCCGTCTGCAGTCTACAGAGAAGTCTCTGTATTACAGGCCGGACGTCTCACCATGCCAAGCAAAGGAATCACAGTCTACACGTACATCTCCCTTGAGGGATACGAGGTCGAGTTCACCGTGCCGAAGCTGGCCGTGCGCAACACGGCGGCGGATAACTTCACCTCCAAGAATCTCGAGGTCGAGTCGTCCAATATCCCAGGACTGAATCATTTCACTGGTCGTTTCGAGTGGAACCTACTCCACCATGGTGCTGCCATTGCAAGTGCCTACTGTGATATCAACGCCCTCACTGGCAAGCTGGAAGGCGGTACAATGGCCGCCACAGTGGACTGCAAGGTCATTATTACCGACGAAGCAATAATCACATATGGCTTCTACGACGCCGGCCACGGGGAGTTTGGGCTCACCAACCGCGATCAGTGCTATGTGACAGTCTGTTCGACCGCTAATCGCTTTTGGATGGGGACCGTAGCATCACCCGCTTCGGCAGCGGCTCAGAAACCGTTTTCGCGCTTCGTGCTAGCGGCCCCCCACGATGATGGCATGAACAGTATGACCAGCTGTGATGCTGTGCTCCAGCACCTTGATGGAAACATGGTGGCTGAGCTGCGCAAGATCGCGCCAACGCTGCGTTATTTTGACCACCTGCCAGACCATATGCTTCTGGAGAAGCTGCCGAACATCGTCTATGGCCTTGCCATTACCCAGAAGAAGAATGTGCCCAGCATGCTAGCGCTTGGGGCGCGGTACTTTGAATTCCGCCCGGCGAAGCTGGTCCCACTCTTTCAGAAACTCTCGGTGTTGCCGGACAAGTTCTACTTTCAGCACGCTTGTATCCCAGGCCTCGCTTTTGACGAATTCCTCGACCAGCTAGTCGCCTTTCTTGACGAGTTCCAGACAGAGATCGTGACTATCCATATTCGTTGGGATAATATCGTGAAGGAGTGCCAATTACCGACGGAGCAAGAGGTTCAGAACCTGTTGACTACTGCTTGCAACAAGGCCACTCGCCAGGGGTTGGCATGGGGTGGCAGCGAGTGCTTCCAGCGGCCGATTGACGAGCTCCGGAATAGCGGCACACGACTCATCTGCGTTGTCCATGCAGACAAGTATGACAGCTGGACAGCCGAGGCGTATGCGACCCTGGTCGCAAAGCCCATCATCGACCGGTTCGAATCTATGCACACAGCCGGACAGGAGAGCAGTGACTTGACAGTTCTGCAATGCCAGGCAACATCACAATCGATCAAGGATGTCTTGGTTTACAGCGTCTTATCTGCTGAGGCGGCGTCTTCGTGCTTGACATCGACCAAGGCTGCCTTGGACATGGAGACACTTCCTTGGCTTCAGAAGAATGTTCTCCAGCGACTCCAAGCCAACAAGACAATTGTCATCATGAATGACTTTATCGACGGGGCGACGATCGATACGTCTATTAAGTTGTCGCGGCAGAGGCTAGCCGCGTAGTCGATCATTGAGTGGCCGAGTGGCATCAAGATATATATGCTCTTTTTAGATTTAGAAAGGCCTAACATAGTATTTGTTTGTTAATATGTTGCAATATGCTGGCAGTGAGTTGCGACCGCTTTGTACATTTTTTGTTTCGCTTAGTTTAGCTAGTGTACGGTTCTCCATAAATGCCAAAGCTCGCCGAAGGCGGACGGCCCACTTGCCCCGCCATCCGATCGATCCACTGACGTATATGACTGACTCTGCCCTCCGCGCTTCCTCTGGTCAATTATTTGAATCCATCTCGTTCATTATCCTACATATTCATCTGCCTGTCATTATGGGATTCCTAGGCCACCACGATCTCGAGCCCGTTCCCGAGCCTCTCGCGATATTCGACCAATTCGTCGCGAGGGAGCCGCAAACCTTAGTCTTGAAAGAAAAAGTGCTCTCCATCTCTGGGGACAGCTTCGACATCAAGCTAGCCAATGGACAGCCTATCCTGAAAGTGCATGGAGCATGGGTCTCGCTCTCCGGTCGCAAGAAGGTCGATGATGCCCATGGCCGGCATCTCTTTGATATTGTCAAGGAGCATTTCCATCTCCATTCGACTTATGCGATTGAAGATCCGCATGGGAAGAAAGTGGTTGAGGTAAAGAGTGGCCTCGCTTGTAAGTGCCGTCTGTTTCTTTCACAAGCCAAGCCAAGCCAAGCCATGACCTATCTATCTGAATACCTAAGTGGATTGATTTCTATTTTATAAATATCCGTTACTCACCGCACTATGTAGTGCTCGGCTCGAAAGCCACCGCCACTTTCACTGCTTCGAACGGCAAGGCAGGGACTTTCCAGATGAAAGGTGGCTGGTTCGACCGTAGTGCCGACATCATCGACACAACAAGCGGCCACACAGTGGCTCGCATCGACCGGAAACTACTTAGCGGCAGTGACCTCGCTTTTGGACAGCAGACGTACGCCGTGGTCGTGGCACCTGGAGTAGACGCGGCATTAATCGCTGCTTTGTGTATATGCTTCGATGAGAAGAACAATGAGAGCAAGTCATCCTAGGATGCACTGTTGGGAGGTCCGACTGTGATAAATAGCTCAAAACGCCGCACTAGTTATATCTCGCTCAAGGGAAGACCCTCGCATGGAGATCACTGGATCTCGCGCTCAAATTTAAGAACATTCGTTTCGCATTAGGAATATATAATCCCAATTCATTACAATAAGTGAACATAAAGGTATATCCCCGGTCTATAAGCAAACAAGCAAGTAAAGAAAGAAAGTAAAAACCCCTATGCAAAAGTGAGCCCAGTGCCCAATGCCCATGCGCCAAATGGATGAGGAAAAGCGTGGGGCGCAGGCAATAATGATGCTCGCCGGTGTCCCCGAAACTCAAGACGAAATGAGTGGCCGATGCAGAATTGGCATTGACATGCAAAATATAAAGGAAATCAGCGCTTCTGCCAGTTCAGCTCCAGGACTTTATCGCCTCGTCTCGTGTCCCGCAGGATATACCATTGCGTGACTCGGCCGGTGATCTCGTCCACCTCGCTGTCCTGGAGCAGATAGCTTATCTTGTCATCGTCCCGGGGACGCAGCGGGCCGAGCTCGTGGAGATACATATCCAGACCGGCGCCGTTGTGCCCGTCCCATGTCATCTCCATGCTGAGGTCGCCCGGCTCGAGGGGTTGGGAGTAGCGGATCACGGAGTAACCGTTGGTGAGGATGAAGCCGTCGCTGAAGTGCCACTGGCGTAGGAGGCACGAATCCCCACAAAGACTGGAGATGACGCCAAGCTTGGTCATATCGGCGTGGAACCACGACTTCCAGTGGTGCACGGACAGTGGGGTATCTCGGCCCGACTCGAAGAATCCAGATGCGTCGACCATCAGGTCTAGCTGGCGCAGGCGGTGGTCGATGGTCAGTCGGGTTTGGGTGTATTGGTAGATGCAGTATGCAATGCGACGGTCACCGGAGAAATCCATTTGCTGACACTCGTCATACACAGTGACCAAATCTGACAGCAGTGGGCGCGACAAGAAGACGCCTGCGCCTCCAAATGCCATCACTCCAAACACTCCGATCTGCGGGACGCCCTCGGATATACCGCCAATGTACATGGGCTGAGTGTGGTCGTATGCGCTTAGCGCTTCCACCAGCGCGGGCATGGACGGGAAAAAGGTATCGTCGTCAATAATGCAGCCCCATTTGGTCCCAGGGCGCATGTTTTCTTCCAGCAGCGGAATCAACGCAAAATACCGGCGTAGGTAGTCATCCTCCGACACGTGAACAGAGAGGTTAATGCCCATGGCATCGGCCTTGGCCTTGACTTGAGGAATCCGATCACTTGGTTCAATCAAGGCAAAGATCCGAGTCCGCGTGTACGCAGCCCAGTGTTCGAACGCATTGAGCGAGTCGTTCAATCTGTCCACGGTGGTCGCCACACCAAAGTCGATATGCGATGCATCGGCCAGTTTGGGCTTAGGGGGCAGCTTGACCGACACCGGGTGGGGAATCGAGCAGCCGTCCTGCGGCTGCTCCATCGATGTGTGGTCGAAGCCCTTGAGCTTCGAGGTATCCCACAAGGGCTGGTCTATTTTCTGGGTGATGGGGACCTCCTCTTCGTCGGTGAAGTCCACCACGATTTCCCGCCGGGTGTAGTCGGCCAGTTTCTTGACCTCGAGCCTGAGCAGCAGGTTCTCGTCGAGCTCGCACTTGACATCGGTGGAGATGGTGATATTACTGGCCTGGTTCATCGGCGGGCTCTGCGGTTCGATGGTCGGCCACATGAATGCGGCAAATGCCGCGATGCAGACGAAGACCACGACAAACCGAAGTAACCGCTTCCATGCCCAGGTGGCGGCCGAGGATGGCCGGTCGCGATTGTTGAGGAGAATCATATTTTAGGTTGTGTAGCCCGGGAGATTATTTCAAAAGATACCATGCGAAATCGACGTTCAGAGGAGGCGCATCAGCATTGCGTAGTATGTTCCGAATGAGCCAGGGGGGGGGGTAGGCGAGTGAAGGGGCCAAGGTCCGGAGAGGCAACGAGGGTCGAGAGGTCGAGGGGCCGGGCCTGCTACACACAGGGTGGTGGAAGGAGAAAGCGAGAGTGGAGGGAAGAAGAAGTGACAGGAATCCAGTTCGCTTAAAGATCGTTCAAGAGTGAAGAAAAGAAGAGGAACAAGAAAAAGAGATGGGGGCAGACCCGCCGTTCCATGGTTAGTCCGTGAAAAGTGCGTTAAGGGGCATGCCGATCATGACGCGGTGGTCACGTGAAACACTGGCCTATTCAATGTTGGTTTTCTCGGATGATGTTATCTGGATTGAATTAATCTTGGACATCTTCGGGACCATCACTCCGTAGACCTACTATCCCTTGTCTCGATTCTCTGGGACCCAAGAGGTACACAACATATGCTGTTTCGGAGGATCTCGTAGCCAGTGCCAAGACTGGCGCGCGCCATCGTTGCCGCTGACTCGCCGCTCATTTCATCCTCTAGCTCCACGTCCACGCGGCCTCTTAGCGGTACTGTGCCGCCAGGATTTCTTCCCTAGTAGCCGATAATCCTTATGGAAGAGACTATGACACGGAATAAGCATATCTCTTCTCTGCTGATCGGCTAACTAGACGAAACAAAATATTGTCCCTGGTGCATCTGTCCTCTCGGCAGTACCTGCTCGCGGCTAGACCCCTGGACACTGCCGACCCACTAACCCCCGTCGATGATCTGAGCCCGGACAAAGATTGTGACTAGCACAGAAGCTTGGACAATGCGATAGTCAGACTGTTTAGGTGCAAGATAGTCGCCCCTGGCTCCTGACTGCACCTATTACGGACTACTGATCACACAATAATATGCATCAATTAAATGTTGCCCCACCGGCGACGGTTCAGGGTCGGGGTAGCCCGACGCCTCTTCTGTCAGCCAAGAAAAAAACCTTAACTCTTTTCCCGTGAGTGGAGATGCCCGGGCACTTAGTACTCGGCACTTAGGGCTGAAAATTGTCTTAATTAGTGGTCTCATAGTGCCAAGGTCACGCAATATATATAGTTTAGGTTCAAATGCACGTCCTTTTTTTTTTTTTTTTTTTTCTTTCCTACTTATTGCATGTCACAAAAGCAACCATTGAAGTGATCTTTCGATAATTATCACTATCTGTCTCTGAAAGACGACCTCTCAACCCATATCAACGTTGATGAACAACTGCAGATGTAAGCCCCACATTTTGCAGCCTTAGCAGTAGTGCCTGACCATTCGTGATATGAAAAAGAACCAATCAATCCATCACTACGCCTCGAATGGCCGAACCATTCCTACTTTTCTCCTTCGGTCGGCCCAAATGCTAACGGGCGAGGCTTCCCCCACATATCGCACGGGAGAAAACGCCATGCACCTGCGTGCCGGCGAGCAAACAAGTAGTTTATTACCCACTCAGCCAGGGGAGGCAACGAAGGCCACTGATTTCCACCCTCGAAGGTGACGTCGCGCAGACCAAGCACCATAGGGGGCACCACTTGCTGTGATTTGCGATTTGATTAATCAATATGACTTTCTTCTCTCTTTCTGCCCAGTACACATAACTTACGTACCTTTTCTTGTTTCGTCGCAGTGGCTACACACTGCTTGTGCACTTTCAGCAAAGCCCCTCCGTTGTAAGGCTGCATTGAGAGGAGGCTATCGATCTCGTTGCTTAGATGCTGGTGGAAACTGGGGGCCATGTGCTCGATGATCCCACGGAGGGCAGAGGCATCGTAGGATGCGGGTTTAGTGCTAGCCCCATATGTTAGGAGGGTTTTCAGCTGTGATTCAAATGCGTGATGCTGCTCCACATTGTTTCCCAGGAAGCCAGGGAAGCCAATCGCTTTCTCAAAACCGGGAAACATCTGTTTCTCTTCTAGGACGTGGTGATCAGACACCCAGGATGCCCAGAATTTTATAAAAGTGAGGAAGTCCTCAATGTCGGCTGGCCTTTGAACTTGTTCGGCCTGCAAGTAGATACTGTTTAGGCCGCGGAGCATACAATTATGGGCACATGCCATTTCGTTTGCGATGTAAATGGCAGCGTGTTTTGACTATCGGACGTTAGCTGGGGGTAACTTAATTAGGCATTTAGATAGGGATCGCGACGCACCACATCCTGGGTTTTGGATGGGGTTTCGATGAGTGGCCACGGCCCATCCGCCCATGCGCGACTTTCCATAGTGACCGCAGGCATAGATTTGGAGCCAGGGGTTTCAAAGGGGAAAAAAAAAATCGATGACTATAGCTGTGGGAGAGGAATACTTTGGGGAACTTGCAAGGTAGAAGAGGCTGGAGGAAGTGCAATTCTTGGTAAAAGGAAACTGGGAGAGTCTGCGCTAAATAGACAGTACTGATTTCAATCATCAAATGAAGCTAAGAAAGCCGAGGATTGGGAGTTGGACTTGATCATGCCTGCGTGTATGACAGCCGCAGTATCTCAAATCGGATGAGTGATCTATTGGCCACGCCGTAGCGACTGGATGTGTGGCTTAGGTTTGTAGGATATCGCTGTAACTAATGGGCATAGCAGGTCCACATGAAGCATACTGACGCCACAGATACTGGCCAGAACAACTATTATACGGAGCTTTTTAGAGAGTGGCGTTTGGAGAGTTCACACTAGCCAACTTGGTTGGTGGGGGCGAAAGGGCTAATGTACTGTACGAGTTTCAGGCCCCCTGTCGCTAAACTCACATGCAGTTTGTTGGTCCCAAGCTGAATAGTTAGAGGAAGACTACTATGCATGGTCAGTATTCACTGAAACACTTAATAGGTTTGGAAGGTCCACAAGCAGATCCAATGATTGACATACCGACAGAGTTCTCATGGGCACTCAGCAGTATGCTGATCTCCAACGGCCCTACTAGAAGGATTAAGGCCGAAATCTGTCAGGGATGCGCTGTCAACCGAAGACTGCCAAGAAAGTCGTCAGGAAGTTCAAAGAGAGTTACAAGTAGAGCTAACATGAGAACGAGCGACCCAAGCATATTAAGACATTGTTTATAGCCTCGCGTACCCGGGATCATCCAATTTTGTTCTCCCCTGACAGCTCAGCCACCGTATTTCCCGACAGCTCAGTCGCGCCCTTGTGAGCAGATGCCTCAGCGTAGATGGGATCGCCCGGGGCTGCGCTGGTCTGCCGGCCGTCGCCATCTAACTGGCGTGGATTTGCCATAGAAGCATCAGGAATTCGCTCGCGATGTTGAAGTTTTTGTCGTCGTCGTCGGATTATGAAGAACATAATCACGAGGACGATGGCAGCGCCTGCAACACAACCCACCACTATCCCGGCAATCGAGCCAGAACTTAAAGAATCATTTGACGATGGTCCATTTTTCTGTTGGGATGCAACTGTTGGGTTTGCTGTTGATGATGTTGTTGTGGATGTTGTTGTTGACATTGTGTTGGAAGCTATGGGGACAACTGTACTCGTCGCAGCCTATTGACCCTTTAGTTGCGAACCAGTGGCAAGAAAAGGGAATGATGGAAACCGACTGGCAGCGATGAAAAGACTGTTAGCATATCCGGATCGGTAATTTTCCCAGCAGAGGTGTTGATGTCGATTGACCACTCCGCCCCTGTTAAATCGGTGTTCATCACCGGTACTGTGTGGCTCAGAGCGCTCATGTCCAACCCGAGCATGTCGACTGGGCCAAGCAACATATTGCGCATTATCCATCCGCTCTCTCCCATCGTCAGGTTCCATTGCATCCCCAAACCCGGCCCGGTAGCCAGTAGCTGTGGCGTGACGGGCTGTTCGTTTGTGAGACCTAGCTGGTATGTAGAGTTATAATCCCAGTTGCGAATGAAGTAGATTCCTTGGTCAAAGAATATCTGCCAATTTTCCGAGGTGAAGGAGCGTATGGGGCCGAGCTCGGGGGTATTAGGGGAGTCGCTTGGTAGGCCAGTTGCAAGTGTCGTGTTGCTCCCAATAGCCGTGTTGGAGAACCGGTAGTAGTAGGTCGGGTTGAAGGCATTATGATTATTAGACATTCTGAAGGTGTGAAGTCGGTGTTAGAGAGAGGTATGCGATTCTGGGATATTCAGCGATTGTAATTTATCGCATTTAGTATGGTGTTTCGGGGTGAGTGGCTTGCTTGTGAAAGCGCCGTAGATAAAAAAGCACCTTACAGTAGTATTAACGGGGTGGGTACAGACATATATACCCCTATCTTTCATTGATTATAGCCCCAAACGTATTCGGTAGGGATTTTCTCTGCTCGTTTGGTGACAGCAGTTGGGCCAATGGGAGGGTCGAATTGAACCAGGAGTTGATCAAGCTGAAAGTATAAAATTTAGTAATTTGAAATACACCAAGCCACCTTAATCATAGTTAAAATCAAACGCCTGAAGGAATCCTAACCTTCCCTAAGCCCTAAATACATACCTCAATTTCTTGTTCTAAAGCCTAAGTACTAAAGATACAGGCACGTGTTGCTTTTTAACGGCTGGCCGAAGCAAACCTGCACGTTTGCCCAGTCACATCCTGCTTATTTGTTCTGGCAGGTGTATCTTCGATCAGTAGATCCATTTAGAGGCGTACGGAGCATCTTCAGTTAATATGCCTGCCCAGAGAGGACGGCCTGCGCTGTCTGGCCATACGTTTGCAGGGATGGGGCTCCGCAATTTAAATCTCTGGGCGCTTAGGGTTGCTCAGTGATCAGCTCGAACTTAAGATTTACAGATATAACCCCTTGTCACTGGCCCCAAAAAAGATCCCGAGTCTTCTCGTCGCCAGAAATGGAAAGAAATTTATCCTTCGTAGCAGAATGTTTTATGAGCATTATATGTATTTGACTTGTGTGTGTAGCATATCAAGGATTTGATAAGGCTTGGAAGCTTTCAAGACAGGATTGCTGGGCGTCGAGGCTATGAGTTACTAAATACATGATTCTAGCGTGAGATCAATATTAAGAAGCGGAACAAATTATCGACTTAGTGGATCATTGATCGGCTACACACTACCTGACTTTGCAATGTGGGAATGTGGTCAAAGCCATCAAGATAGAAGATGTATGGCATTCTGAGCATAATCTGGCTATCCCTTTAACAGTACAGAACGCGTAGTAAGCGAAATCAACGCACAATGTCAAGTATGTCAAAATTGAAAGCAGTTTCGTGCTGTACAAAACAACTTCTATCCATAGTTCCACCATGCCGGGCATCCGGACATAATTTCGGACAACGACAGATCTAGGTTCCAGTGTTGACAGTACCGACTGTAACGTTCCGGATAGTGCATCCGTGGGCTTCATACCGATCGGGATATGACCCGTCAAGCACACTTTCAAGCCAGGCCACGGCGCGTGGAAGCCCATTAACCATCTCATCTAGGTGCCCGCCGACGGTATTTCGCTCATATAATATATTTGCTCCAAGCATGCAGTTACGATTGACGTAATAATCCGCATCTTGTATAGGGGTCGCCTCATCTTTTATCGCCTTGTAAACGAACACAGGCGACCGTGGAACCCCATGGTAGGTCATGAACTCATTCTCCAAAAGGATCTGTCTGATAAGGGGATCGTGGAGCACTGCACTTCCGTTGACGAAGTAGTCATAAATACTCTGGTTGGCGAAAGCGGCAAACCCTTGTGTAGCTGACATCTTTCTGGCAGCTAGAAATCCGGTTTTGTTATGGAGACCTGACGTTTTCAATTGACTGACCAGACGATCGTATGCCTCTGGGTACTGTATCAAAGGACCGATCATGGCCCCAACAGCAATATAAGCAAAAGGCGTTCGTTCAACCACATCAATGCAACGAGTGCTGTTGGCAACCAAGCCCCCAAGGGCGGCACCGTGTATTTGAAGTTCAGGGGCATATTGTTCTTGTAATTCCAATGCCCACTCACTTGCTATGGACCCTCCCGAATACCCCCAAAGAGCCACCCGAGACTTATGGTCGACACCAAAGCCGGAAGATAAAGAGGCACGTATAGAATCAATCGTTGCGTGGCCTTCTTGAATTCCAGCAACATTGGCTGCCAAGGGGCCCTCGAAATCAGGGACTGTAACGAACCAGCCTCGTCCCAGAGCATTCCCGATATCAGTAAGCGAATTATCGACAATTTCAAAGGCTGCGCCGTCGGAGGGCCCTGCTCCAGAAGGTGGACTACTGTAGAGCGAGTAACTTGGGCTGGCGTCGACATTAATTGTGTTGTAAGGAATTAGATAAGAAAGCAAAGCTGGGTTGGATGATAATTGCTTAGAGGGCGAGAAAAGCGTTGTCACCGCCCAAGAAGGTTGATAACGACTGTCCGTGGTGCGATAAAGAATATTGTAGACCCCTGAACAGTTACCTGTGATGTCTGATAGGTTTCCGGCGGCTTTTCTCAGTCGCAGTATGGCTCCCGGTGGGTGGAACTCGAAGCCAAATGGAGCACTGTACCAAGGATCTTGGCTCGGAGGAAGAGGTGCTGATGGTTGAACAGTCACGGACTCGGACGTGGAACGAGCCGAGACTGTGGGCGACGAGAAAGATGCCCAGGTCAGTAGAGACCAAAGGACGCCATTGCGACAAAATTGATTTAGATAATTCATCGAGGCGGCTCACAACAATGAGAATTTGAGTGTGATTGATCACAACGTTCTGAAATTGAGAAAGAGAAAGGACTAGGGCCACATATTTATAATATTTCACAAGGTAGGGAAATAAAATACGCCGTCTTAGGATAGCCCCGTCAACGAGGATCCATTTTGGATTTTGCCTTCGTTCTAACCTCTATTCGTATTTGCTCGGTTGCGGAAAGCAGCAGCTGATCACATCGGCATCTTTCCCTTGCAGAGCGGCGGCTGGATTCTCCGAGCGAGCGAGATCAATAATCTTATGACCAGCTTGACGAAACTCCTGAGTCTTGAACAACTGCCTGGCCGACGAAGCCAGTGGCACCAGTAACGAAGACACGCATAATACGTGCCGATTGAATTGCGAGGAGAGACCTTTCGAGGTATATGATTGTTCATCAAATATCAGAATTTGACAACGGACCTCTCGGGGTGTTAATAGCCAAATAGGCAGTGATTCAATCTCCTTCGGGATAGGCATAATTCACTACTAGTCTCACGATGCTCGGACCTATGATATTGAACGATCTACGTATATGTCTCACTAAGGCTCGCCGAATGGATAACTTGTAGATCGATACAAAATCGGAATAGCATCATTCGTAATACGAGTAAAGGTTAGCGCATCTTTACTAATGGATAAGGCTAGATTAGCCTATGTAGCAATCGCTACGTTCGGAGTTAAGCAACATTTGTTTCTTGTAGTGTTCCCACCGCCTACTAGTGCTCACCGATTTAATAATTTAAGGATTGTAGATAGTCGTAAAAACAGAACAGCGCCACGCGCAATACGAGTAAAGGTTAGCGCATCTCTACTGATGGCTTAGGCGGCCAATAGGCTAGGTCAGCCTATGTGGCAAAGACGGCGTTCGGGGTTAATTGGCTCCGTTCTTACAGTACTAGTGCCCCCTCCGCCTACCAACACTAAGACGGTAGAGGCACTACTAGGAAGATACTCGCGGCCTTGCCACGATAATCACATCTCTTGTCTCATTTACCCATGCCACATCCTACTACAGACTGAACCATGTGAATAGAGACTGGGTGAGAATGTCGCAAATTCCATCCAAATTCGGAGACGGTGGGAGGAGACGCCGTACACACTCCAAATCTCGTCGTGGCTGCCGAAATTGTAAGCTTCGTCGGGTCAAGGTACGCTTTTTCCGATTACCAAGCGTCTCGAACAGAATCTAACATCAATCTGTCAAGTGTGATGAAGCCAAACCGCAATGCCAGAAGTGTGTGCAGTTTGGACTCGCATGCAATTACAATTTATCCATTGACTCAGACCTCCAACTAGCGAGGGAGGAGACACATAAGATTCACGTGGAGACCCCCGCTGGACATATCGTTTTCAACGCCAACCCCCTCCATACATTTGTGCAGCCCATGGTTTTGGTTGGAGACGGACGTGGTTCTTTCCAGCTGGGTAGGGAAGATCTAACGCGCCTCAGCCGGTTCCAGAGTCATACAGCGTACACATTTGCAACTACCCGATCTACTGAACTCCACACAACTGAAGTGCTCAAAATTGCGATTGAGGTAAGGCTTGTCATTTATACTTAAATTTAGATGTGCTCGAGACTAATTTTTTACAGAGTCCGTTTCTGATGCACATAATTCAAGTCATCACGGCAATGCATGATCGAATCTTAAACAACTCGTCGGATAACGTAAAGCGATCCTTGACCGAAACATATCACTGGTCGCGGGCGGCTGCCTTGCTCAATCAGAAACTATCATTTCCAATTCGACCTCAGGACCGCGATTCTCTCTGGGCCTCCGCTGCTATGTTAGGCATTGCTAGTTTCGCTTCCCTTGAAGCAGCAACTCCGGAAGAAGCATGGCCACTCAAGCCTGCTGATTCCTCCGATCTGACATGGCTCCGTTTACTTGAAGGCAAAATGGCTCTCTGGCAAGCCACCGATCCTCTACGGCCTGATAGTATCTTTCATTCAATGGCAAACGAGTACGCCATGACAAGAACGGAGCCTCCTTCCTTGGAAGTGGAGAAAATACCAAGTGGGTTCGTTGAGCTATACTGCCTGGACAAGCCGCTCGCCTGCGATCACAATCCATACTATCCTGCCGTCTCAGTTCTATCCGGCCTGCTATCCATAAAATGCACGCAGGCAACAATGACTAAGCACCTTGGGTTCTTGGACGCAGTGACACATTCCTTCAAATACCTACTGCATAAAAAAGATGCTCGTGCATTGCTCCTTATGGCTTACTGGTATGGGGGCATGTGCGAATCATTGTGGTGGGTATCGAGGCGGTCCAGGCTCGAATGCCAGGCAATCTGTTTATATTTGGAAAAGTATCATGCGGATCAGGGGCATATTCTGAACATGCTAGCTTTGCCTCGAATTCAATGCGGTCTCGCATCTTGACTAAGATAATACAGTTCAAAATTATCTCAATTGAATATGCACAAAATCCTCTCCCACTAGGAGTAGTATTAGCAGAGAGGTTGCTTTCTTATCGACGCGAGGTCCGCCTGCACATCTCCGGCTTTGGTTTTTTTTTTGTTTGGGGGGGGGGGGTGGGAGAGGAAGATATATACTTGTCTTTAATGCCCATATTGGAATATATCCATCTCAGCCTCGGTACTCACGTATTGTAATTTTGGAAGCTAAAATGACCGAAGTGAAGGAAGTGGGTGACTCGCTTTCGATCTTGTCTCGTGCCGACATCTTCCGGCTTCAATACCAATCCAGAGTTTCTGGCTTCCGGAGATATGTCGGCTGCCAGACATTACACCAAGCAGAGAGGTGGCGTTTAGCTCTGGAGCTCTTATCACCGCCCAATTTCCGGCGACGCTCGTCATGACAGCGTTATTAAACAGCAGTTTCCGCATCTTGTCCATGGAGAATCAGAGTAAAGTACTGTGGTATGTAATTACGGTTATAGTTCATAATCTATAAAGCAGACTTATGAGCGCCAAGACCTTAATTTTATGCAAAAATGGGTTTTAAGTGGGTACCCATTGTAGGTGCCGGTCGTGCTTCGATCTATTGTTTGATTGAAAACAAATCTAATAAAGAAAGTGGCAAAAGAGGTGAGGGTTTGTGAGTTCCTTTCGATTTCGTTCACACAAATGTCTCACCAGACCTCGTGGAACGGTATTCGGGTTGTTGAATCTCCGACGCGCTGGGTTTGAGGGTCGGGTTTCGGAATTACCCACGCAAAATCTTAATAACTAAGGTCATTCCCTAATTTGGATATTTTCAATGACGATTTCATCCTTTGTAAGTTATTAATTTCAAGCTGTACACTTGCTTAACGGGAAGTGGTGGATCGGCCTGTTGGATTTCCCGAATTGGCTCTGACGCTAACCTCATGTCGTATTCAGCGGCCTTACCTCATCGCCGCTTGAGTCCTAGCGCCTTATCAATCTGTCCTGGGTGATTGAGATTTGGGAGTATATAGTTCTCGCCTTGGGCCTTTCTTCCCCTCTTTGTTTCTCTGCTTCGTTGTCTTTCACCCTTCAGTCAAAATGCCAAACCTGAAAATCATTCGATCTGCTGTGGCTGAGCTTCCTAAGGGTCAACCTTTGGTCGTTTGTCTAGTTGGAGGAACAACCGGAATTGGCTCGTATGTAGCCAAGAGCTTCGCCAAAGCCTTTGCTAGTAATGGCTCTAAACTTCGCGTTTACATAATCGGTCGCAACGCTTCGCGTGCTGCAGATGTTGTCAACCAGGGCAAAAGTGCTAGTCCAGGCTCCGACTGGCGATTTGTGCAGGCGACGGACCTCGCGCTTATCAGTGAAGTCGATAAATCATGCGCAGAGATCATTCGACAAGAGACTGAGGCCCCCTTACACAACACACCGAGCATAGATTTGCTATACATGAGTCATTGTTATCCGATTTTTGGGAAACCAACAAGTAAGTCACTACTATATGCCACTAGAATTTCCGCGAATCTACATGTTGACGCGCGGCGCTCTTAGAAACGAGTGAAGGCCTCGATGCCTTTATTTCGACCGTGTACTACTCACGAATCAGATTCATTCTTCAGCTCTTGCCACTACTGACGTCTTCTCCACTGCCGGGACATGTCATTTCAATCTATGCCGGAGGATTTGAGGACGGTACCTCACCAGGCGAGTCACCGATCGGCTGCCCTCCACCATCAACGTACGGTTTGACTGCGGTGCGAAAACACACGAGCTTTATGAAAACTTTCATGTTTGAGGAGCTTGCGGAAAAGAATGCTGGGAAGCTCAGCCTGATTCATATTTATCCGGGCCTCGTCGATGGGCCCGCATTTTACGGGCCTGAAATTCCATCGTGGTTCAGGTTTCTTTGGCGGATTTTGAAGCCCCTGGCATCCCTCTACATGACTTCTGCGGATGACTGCGGCGACGTGATGACGTATCTTGCAACGTCACGGTACCCTGCAAAGGGAACAGCAGGCAATAAATCCGCTGGAGGGGTTGAGGTTGCCAAGAGCACGCAAGGAGAGCCTGGTGGTGGTTGCTATGCCGTCGGGCAAAGAGGAGATGTAGGAGCGAAAGGGAAAAGCTATGCGAAGGTTCGCGGGCATGGAACGAGCAAGGATGTCTGGGATCACACCATGGAGATTTTCACGAAGATTGAGAAGGAAAATGCGAAGATTAATGCGCCTTGACTTTCAATTGTATTGTGTCAGGATTCTCAGCATGGTGGAACCATGGACAAAGAGTTTGTACAGCTCTAAACTGCTTTAAAATTTGGAAATTCTTGACATTGTGCGTTGATTTCGCCTACTACATATTCTGTATTATGGGAGAGACACCGGGTTTATGCTCAGAACGCCAGACATCTTCTATCTTGTTGATTTTTACCATGTTCCCACATTACATATCAGGTAATGAGTGGCCGATCGATGATCCTTCTTTCATTATTCGTCGCCTGCGTGGCGGAATGATTGGATACCACTGCAGGAACATGATCTAACCTCAGAAACCAGACGAACTAATTTTCCGATTTCCTAAGTTCGACAACGTAAAGGTGATTTGTGTTATATCGTACTTTCCGTCCAATTTTTAAACCAAAAAAAAGTGTGTTCAGCTATGAAGAAACCTCTCGAGATGACATGATCTAGGCATATAGCAGAAGCTAGGCTTCAGGCTGATCTCTTCCTTCCAGCCTGAACCTCGGGTCACCAACGACAGAAGCAATGCTTGGCCAATGGCACATATAGCATTCTCGAAAACGATCCATCCAACAGCCTCATACCAGGAAATTGAGGCGTGTGTTTGCGACGAGTCAAATTGGTCATATGGATAAGAGAGTCTAAATGCCCATGAAATGGAGAGAGCAATGAACGAGACAGCTTGAGCCGCCAATCCAATGATGCCGAGCGCGTGAGCCAACAGTGGATGCGGGAGAAGTTCACTGGCCCAGCAACAAATGGCCACGGCTTCTAGAAGCATCAAAATCCAATTTATGGACATAGTATGTACTCTATAGTATATAGAGTAGCCCTTGAAAGAGGGGGCTGCAATCGCAACAGTTTTATCGCACTGGATCGAACTAAGCAGGAGACTTGACAGGACACATCAGGTCTCAAAGGCCGTGGTATATTTGCCTGCGTCGGTTAGAAACGAGCTTCACATCTAATGATTTGGAAACTGGACTTCAAGCGGAATCAGGAAGGCTGCACACTGATTTCTATATTGCTGGAATTCATTTCTTCAATGGATCTTTGGAATCTAGACTTTCTGAAATCCTCAACATCTGGAATACTTCATCCAATCCACTACTAGCATCCAAAATTCCAGAACCGACGTCCTCCAGCTTCGCGACAATTTCCGGGTCGTCAGAATCCTTATCACCATCCGATAGCATAGCTTGAATGACCACAGCCGCCTTTCGTGCGTCCCAAAGCCCATCGCGTGCTGAAGACAGAGAGTCTTGCATCAAGGAAAGCGCCATGTGCAGTATACGGCAACTTCTGGTCTTCATGCAAATAAAGTACAGCATTGCAATGATATTTGTGGACAGTGTAAAATCACGGTTTGAGGCTGCAGAATTTTTCGACGTGTTGGACAGAGAAAGTAGGCTTGAGATTTGGTTGAGAGCAAGTTCAAATTTGTAGTAGGCCTGAACTGACGTATCTGACTGGCTAAATGGAAGCAGAAAAGTTTCGAGTAGCGCACCATGAAAGGTGGATGTCTGACTTTGGAGTAGGAGTTTGCGTTGTACGTCTGAGACGGTGAAAGTCTCCTTGTGTGGATCAGACCCAACATTGGCGATTCCATCTTCTAATCGTCGAAATTCGATCTCTAGCTGCAGTCTCTCATGTAGAATATTGGCTGGTACCTCGTCCAGAGGTTTTAGTTTGTATTCGACATAAAGCACTAGGTGGCGCATTGTCCAGTTCTGCAGAACAACCAGGGTTTCTTCAGCATCAGTAAGACTAGAAAATTGCTCTGGGACCACAGAAGCTAGGCCAGAAACTTGTTTAGTTGAGGTAAGCTCTAGGATAGGAATTCGCTCATAGGAAAAGATGCTCGCATGAATATCGAGACGAGTAAAGACTGCCACCAGTTGTGCCGAAGTGGTGTCTGACCCGGCGTCAAGGGTTTGGTCCATGCAGCACTGTCGTAGCAGTTTTAGACCCTGGTCTAGATGCCAAATAGCTAGCTGCGTGTTGCCAATTAGACACTCAAATATGTAAAAAATGAGACTGCAGATAAGGGCCGCCTCCGGCGAGGCATCCCGTCCAAGAAGATGCAATAATTGTTTGTGAGATCGGAGAATAAGCTTGATGTTCTTGGAAGACACTTCAAGTAAAGCTGACCCAACTCGCAAATAGTCTCGGTGCAAGGAACTGAGCGTGACAAGAGCGTTGCGAATAACAGGCTGATGTTGACTGCGCTGTAGAATGAGATGAGTCCAGAGTGTCGTGTCGGAGAACCGAGAAAGGCATCCTGCCGTTTCACAACAGAAAAAGTGAAGTAGTTCGCGGTCCTGTCGACTGCCGGGGGCCTTGAAAGGAATCTTGTATATCTTGATCGCAACACTTGGACGAAGCTCTTCGGTGTAACCTGGGCAATCCCGACCGGTGCTAACGCATCGTCGACAACTAGGTCGCTCTTCATCGCATTTCACTCGTCGAGACCTGTGCCGTCAGTTTTATATTGGGGCTTTTAAACTTGGCCACATACTTGCAAATAGCGCATCCTGTTCGAACCTTGGGCATGCTCCGACGCGACCTTCGGCTAGCTGGCATCTTGTATGTGGCAGTAGTTCAGGTTTTCAGACAGTGCTAAATGGTCCAAAAAGGCCTCGGGGTAGCGTAGCAATGTAGTGGGGACGTGGACACATCACAGAGTGGAAAAAGGGGTTCCGGCTGACATTTCCTCGATCTGTAGGCTTCGACCTGTCGCCCCCACTTGTGGCAGCGGCGGCAGTTAGCCTCATTGCGCGCTACCCACTAGATCCTGCTGGTTTCCAAAACAATGAACCAAGATTGATTAGGCAGCCTCACGCCGCAGATTGGGCGCCAAGTTCTCGGCTCGGCTGTGTCTACTAACAAAAGACATTCAGATCACTCTTAACAATCTTGTCCTAAGCCTTTCCTCTCTCTACGGCGGCCCTACAACAAATTGAACAACGAGAACATCTGACATATCACGTTTTAACAAAATCTTTCCTTTTGGCCGTTTTCATCCGGCCGCAAGGCACGGTTTCTGTATGATAGTAAAGGCAGAAGTAGGACGGCCCTACGATAACTTGGGTATTAGATCCGCGGTGTATGGATAATGATAACAATACTCGTTTAGCAGGGGATTATAGAAAAAGATAAATAAGAAATATATAAATACTGGATCAGGATCAGAATTCTCAGCGAAGATGTTTGTTTCTCATTTCTACTACCTCCTTTCCAAAAATAAAACGGAGCTGCTCATGCATCGCGTTAGAGCAATAACCTATCAATAAAAAGATTTACCTTGCTACAGAAATGTATACAATGTGTCCGATTGGGCCTGACGTCGTATATTTTGGCCCCATTCTGCTCGGGGGCACGAGAGGATACAAGGAAAACATTTTTCGCTGATGTTGTAGCCTGAGCACCTATTTTGCCCAATTGGAAAGACAAATAGAGATTAAGCGGATCTAAAGTGCTGCCTGAAACCAATTTGAAAAGAACTGAATGCCGGATCTACAATCCGATCCTATTAGCCTTGCAATGTGGCTCATAAGAACATCCAGAAGACTGACGTTAAGGGTGCAGTCTCCACAACGCCAAGGAGCTAAAATATACGAGCCTCGCGGATGCCCATCATGGTTTAGTCGTAAGCTAGGGGACAAAGTGCAATAATAGAACCGCCACTTGATCAATCATTATAAATACTAGCGGAATGATACAGTCTCTTCGATTTAGAGCGCCCTTCTTTTGCTATAATTGAGATATCTCCATGGCTGTGTTTCAACTACTTATCACAAGCATTGTTGGCTTACTAGGATGCGCTAAAGCCAGCAGCCATTCTCCGACTTGGCGAACTTTCGGCATCACATCTAATCTGGTGGCTACGGAGTTTGGTAGTGTCTTCGATGCTCCAGTGGTTATTGGGAATCAGATGTTCCGCCTCCTAGTCGACACCGGGAGTAGTGATACCTACGTCATGCAATCCGGCTATACCTGCGTCAGCAAAGCGACTGACATGGTGATACCCCGGGAGGATTGCCTCTACTCAAACAAAACCTACGACATCTCCGAGTCGTATCGGTCTATTCCCCACGAGATGTTCGGTGTGAAGTACGGCGCAGGTGTTGCCAGCGGGTTCATGGCATCCGAAGACGTTCAGTTAGGTGGTATTTATGCCAAGGGACAGAGGATCGGCATCGCAAATGTGTCCAACCCCATGGGTGACAGGGTCAACAGTGGGCTTCTTGGACTGTCTTATCCCTCAATTACCTCGGCCCACCCAGCGAATCACACTTCCAACGCAACATACTGGTTCGATCGTTTGGTGTATAGCCCTTTATTGTATACAATGCAGCGGCAGGGCTCGATAGATCCCTATTTTAGTCTTGCGCTGGAACATACTCCACAAAATGCCTCCACTGCCTTTGGAGGCTACTTGACCCTCAGCGGTCTTCCGCCGGTCAATCACAGTACCCAATTTTCAACGGTTCCTGTCGAGACCACAGAGGCGATTCCGCTCAGTTTCACATCTGGGAGAAAGGTCCGGTCATATTGGACGACCACAATAAGCGATGTCACGTTTGGTTCGACATCGAACAACCTGGCCGTTAACTCTACCTCATTTCAAGCATTTTTTGACTCTGGAAACCCCCTCTCGTATCTTCCTTCGGCGGTCGTGGAACCCATAAATGCCCTTTTTGATCCTCCTGCGGTCTATGATCCGAAGTCAAAGGTGTGGATGGTCGACTGCTCCGCGAAGGCTCCACAATTCGGCTTGACAATTGGGAATCAGACTTTCTTCCACAAAGGTCAAGACCTTATCTATCAAACTTCGAAAGGTGTCTGTATGTCAAGCCTTGCAACTTCAGAAAGCATCTCGATCGATGGCCTCACATTGAACATAGTCGGTGTCCCGTTCCTGAAAAACGTGGTTGCCGTGTTTGACTTTGGACAAAATGTGATGAGGTTTGCAAAGAAGCTGGATTTTAATGAGAGCATGCCGGGAATTGGCGGAGGGAATGGAATGTCTATCCCGAAATCAAGCGGTTCCAATCTGCTCCAAGAAATAGGCTTTGGGCATCTGTTGGTCCTGTTCATGGTGGCAGTTTTGGTCCTCCTGGGGCTGTAATTCAAAAATTTGGTACTGCTGATCTCTTGAGTATCGCTCCTCAATGCAATTTTGTCTTCTCATTTCGTCCTGTAAATAAGAGCACGTGTTGCAATCATAGGCTATGGATAGCATTTAGAATACTGACATGCCATCCGTATTGCCTGTCAATCCTACTCTTCCGGGCTAGAATTATTGTCCAAGATTGACATTTAATGCGCTGGGAGCTAGTCTGCCGTATTTCCTGTTGACCGAATCAAACCTGCAGGTTGGCCCAGCCACATCCTGCTTATGTTTTGTTCCGATAGGTAGATCTTCGATCAGTAGATCTGTTTAGAGGCGTACGGAGTATCTTCTGCTAATATACCTAGCGCCAAATCGCCTGCCCAGGGAGATTTAAGGAAGTCTGCTCTGTCTAGCCATACGTGTGTAAGGATGAGGCTCTACGATAGGGTTGCTCAGTGACTAGGCTCAAAAGATAAGATTAATAGATACAACCCCTCATCGCTGATCCCAAAATGCCCCTGAGTCTTTTCGTCGTCAGATAAAATCGAAACAACTCTATCCTTCGCAGTGAATCTTTGCATGAGCGTTATATGTATCTCACTTGTGTATGTAATATATCAAGGATTTTGGCAGCAGAATCCCTCTGCCAGTCTGAAGAAAGAGCAGACAAGGAAATGATGCTCAACGGCCACAGTAGGCGCATTGCATCCCACAAACCAACTTTGTAAACAGCCGCCTGATCATTGGACGTTGTTTGACCCAAAGTTAGAAAGTCAAACTGGTAGAATGCGGCTAGCATGTGCAGGACTTGATTTGTCAGGGCTTGGAACTCTTCAAGACAGGATTTCTGGGCGTCGAAAATCTGGGTTTGTTGCTGTGGTGTGCAGGCACGGGCACGAAGAGCATGCTGTAGAAACAAATGTACCTTGCAGGATAGTTGTAGTCGAAAGGTGCTTTGGTATACAAGAACACCGATATGTCGGAGTGAGGTAGGAAACAGTGTGTATGGGCCGAGTGGGTGATCGATCACATGGTCTTGCGGACATATTTCATCAGATAGAGGGTACCGTTGTGTTTCAACGGTGTTCATATCCTGTAGTACCGAGGGGTAACTGGAGAGGGCCATCTCGGGGTCACCGGCGTTGATCAGTCCTTGGGCGAATAAGCATATTCGGGTGCAGTGGTAGGAGTAGATGGCGACCCGAAGGATGTTATATTCAGCCGGAGCAGCGCACTCATAAAACTGTTGTATCCAGACCAAAGCCTCCTTGGTATAGTCTTGTCCTGTCAGAAGAGCTTGATATTGCTAATCCGGCCATGCGTTAGAGAGGAAGAATATAGCAAAGCACAATATGGGGCAACGTGAAGAATTTAATAAAACACATCACACTGACTATAGTATTAAAGACCGTTAGGAAAAGGTCTCGTCCCTCTTGGGTCATTAAGTATTTTGGTGCTTTTCGAGAAAGCAACGCCACCATTCCTTGAGTGTGAATACACCATCCAGATGACTTGAAAACAAAGCTGAAATCAGTAACAGAAAGAAGCTAAATGAAGAAATTGGGTCAGAAATCAATCTATATAAGTTGAACGACTAACTACGTACCTCATAAACGCTCATTAGAAAAACGCAGACTAAAGTCTCGTCACCCTCGGACAGTCGAGGGTCTCGAAGGTCTGAATTTAGAGCAAGGATTGCCTTTCTGTATGACTGTGCCTGGGAAGACCTAGCAGCAAGGGCATGCGTCGTCGTATTTGTGATATAGACGCGCCCAATAGCGTCGCAGACTTGGTGCAGAGTGGACCCCGAGTTGGATGTTGAAACCATGTCGAGGATAGCATTGTAGATAGATATACGGTGGCCGTTTAAGACATCGGATGACATCTTGCTTATGACCAACGGCATACTGTGAGCTTCCCATCGCTCCGCTAGTGGGTATTGAAGGCTGATGCTTGGCTGTCCAAGGGTAGTTAGTGAGTGTGTGATAGCTGAGTTCAGATATTCAAGTGCTTACCCTGTTTATCAGTCCAGCGTGATCCGAAGGGAACAGGACACGCAAATCCTTCCCGTCATTTGTTGCTTGGCCAGCACTATCAGCCTCTGGCGGGAACCCCTCACCCAATACTTGCGCTCTCGGCCCACTGATCTTCGTTCTCTGATAATTTTTGCCCTTCTTCCCTGTGAAAGATGACACATTCTCAAAGCGGAAACGCGCTTCAAGCTCATCTCGATAGCCCTGGCATTGTATCTCTTTCCTTAGGCACTGACCACATGCAGGGCGCTTAAGGTCGCACTATCGGACCAATAAGCAGCGATCATTTGACAAGAATGGGTCCATAGGACCAGCGTACCTTGATACGTCGTTGACGGCAGTTGTAGCAGTCCCGACTAGGACGGCCGGGATTAGGCATGGTGAGCCTCAACTGTTGATTAGGAGGACAAGCAACGGCATCACACTTGGTACTCTTCATATACTAAAGCAACAGTCCATTTGTGCGTACCCGAAAAATGCATTTCCAAACCCCCCTGAAGAGGCTTTCAGCGCGCCGACACAAGCCAAGGGAAAAGGCCAACTACATATTGAAGGCAGTGGGTGCGGGGCAAGAGAGTTGCTGATAGGCCAGCTCGGAGACAGGGGCCGCTCTTGGCGAGACTCAGTCTTCAACCCGATCGAGTCCGGTGTTTAATTGGAAATGTTGAGAGACTTAAGAGGCCCGAATTGGATAGAAAGAGCGTGATAATAGCAGCCATCCAGAATAATCATGGAGATATGGCCGTCGCAGGCGGATTGTCGTGCACAGAGGCTATGGTGTGAGTGAGACAGATCCTTTATATCACTATTAGAGACAATGATTTTGATAGGATCTGTACTCCAAAAACCATAACGGTTATACTTTTGACTTGGGTGGCTACAAGCGGATAGAAATACAAGCTATGTGAGAGTGAGGGAGGACAATAGGGATGAACTACAGTCAATACAACCCGAGGGCACGTGACAGAATACGGCAGACCTCACGGCCACTTGCGCAAGACTGCCCGATCGGGAAGACGCACAGTGGAGCAGTAGTGTTCGCTATCACAAAGACACCACCCCATGGCCGAGAGTTAGGGACATTCATTCCTCCTTTCACCCATCTTGTACCGCCTGTCCGTGCGGACTGAGAATCTCTCGACTGTCGCCTCCTCCCTTACCCCGCCATGGCTGCGCAATCGCTGCCCTCGCTGCTGCAGCGGGCCACCATTGACGACGACGAAGAGGTGCTCCGGTCCTGCAACGCCGCTCTTGCCAAGTCCAAGACCGATCTGAATGCGCAGCATGTCAAAGCTGTGGCCCTGCTCAAACTCGACCGGTATGAAGACTCGCTGCGGGTATTTGCATCCGCAGGTGATGCGCTGAAGGAGAGAGCGAGCTTGGAATATGCATATGCCTTATACAAGTGTGGCAAGCTGGATGAGGCCGCCGAGGCGGTGGCTCGCTCGGGTGCCGGTAGAGGTGCTAGTCATCTCGATGCGCAAGTGGTATGTGACACTTGCCCTCAGGTGCATGGGATATTCGCTAATCTCGTTTTGATTCTCGCAGAGCTACCGTGCTGAGAAATTCCGTCGCACGGCGGAAATCTACAATACTCTGTCGCAGGGTCGGGAAACGTTCAGCAATGAGGCGAATGATTTGAGTATCAACTCGTGGGCCACCGATGCGCAATTGCACTGGAAAGGAGAATCTGGATCTGCGCGACACGCCCGTCTTTCACGGGAAGACCTGGAGTCTTTTGAGACGGTTTACAATGCTGCTTGCGCGAATATTGCCAAGGGGGATTTCAAGCCGGGGGAATTGCTCATCAAGCGGGCGAAAGGTAAGGCTTTCCTCCGATAAATACAAACTACGGCTCTGACCAATTGCGCGAAACAGAGATCTGTCGGACATCGGAGGAGCTTGCGCCGGAGGATAAGGCTGCTGAGTTGGTGCCAATTGCGATCCAGCATCTATATGTTTTGCTCCGACAAGGGAAGACGGAAGAAGCCGAGTCGGTTCTCCAAGAAATTGCGGTAGACAAGTACGTTTGAGATCGATACTCATGGCGGAGGATATTATACTTACCTGGCTTCTAGTGTCTCGGAACTCTCGACAAAGCGAATCGCTCAGAACAACATTGTCCTCGCGCGGCAGACCACAGTCAACCCTTACATCCTCTACAAGGCCCTTCACGACACCCCGGATGCCATCAATAACGACCGGCCGTTCGAGTTCCAGAACAATATTCTGGTGGGCAATTCGCATGCGGCGGATCTACTTGTCCAGAAGTACGATGGCATGATCCGATCCACAGCCAAGACCCTCTCACGCAGCCCCTACCCTTCCACCGCGGCCATCACCAATCTCCTCTCCGTCTACAATGCCGCCGCCCACGCCCAAGGCCAGACCGGCGCTCCAGCCCTGAAGCAGATTCTTTCCTTGCTGGAGAGACGGCCCAAGGACCTGGGCCTGCTCCTCACCGTTGTCCAGCTTTACGTCAGTGCCGGCAACACCACCTCCGCCATCGCCGTGATGGAGCGTTCGCTCCACAGCCTTGAAGACTCCATCGCCGAAGCAGACCAAGAAGCCCGTTTCAACCCCGGTCTGCTGAGTGTCCTTGTATCTCTGTACCAGCTTGAGGGCCGCAAAGTCCAGATCCGCTCCGCCCTCGCCCAGGCCGCTACCTACTGGCGCTCCAAGCCCGAGCCACCCGTCTCCCTCCTTCGCGCCGCCGCCGCATCCCTCCTGCACTCCGAGGACCGCGCCGACCTGGCTACCGCAGGCGACCTCTTCCACTCACTGCACAAGCAAGACCCCAGCGATCGCGTCGCCATCGCCGGCTACGTCGCCTCGCAGGCAACGCTAGACTACTCACAGGTGGAGTCGCAACTGGACCGCCTCCCCGCCGTGGCCGACCTAATCGGCGACATCGACGTCTCCACCCTGGAATCCGCCGGCATTGCGCCCTCCGCCTCGTCTGCTGCCGCTGCGGCCGCCGCATTCGCAGGAGCCCGCAAACGCGCCGCAGCGGACAAGGAAGGTCGCGCGTCCAAACGCGTCCGCAAATCCCGTCTGCCCAAGGACTACGACCCTGCCAAGAAGCCTGACCCGGAGCGCTGGTTGCCTCTGCGCGATCGCTCGTCCTACCGCCCCAAGGGACGGAAGGGCAAGCAGCGCGCCGCAGAGCGGACGCAGGGTGGTGTTGTTTCGGAGAAAGCTGAGGACTTGTCTGCTGCCGCGGCTGCGAAGCCGTCTGCTGGAGGTGGAGGCGGTGGTGGAAACTCGAAGAAGAATAAGAAGAAGGGAAAGCGATGATGGCTTCGCGGGTATGTGTGTACGAGTTCTTACCTTGCCTGTGCATAAAAAATGATTGAATGAAAAGAGTCTTAAAAAAAGGATGATAATCACGCTGATTTGCTAGCCGTGTATGATGAGTCCGTAGAAGCAAATTCTTTTCCTTCCCTTGCTGGTCCTTTCCTTTCAAATCCCAGAAAACTGTTGGTACAATGCCATCCATCCATCTATCGTGGCTGCGCAGGAATGCCATTCCTGACATTCTCTCTCTTCCTTTTGCCTACAGCTCCACCTCGACCGAGGGTTTCTTTAACCCAGGGGGGTGCGAATCGTTCCGCATTGCCGGTCGTAATGATCGAAGATCATGTACAGCATTCTCAGATCCAGCAAGGCGTCGTCGGCGGATGTCTTCGCAGGGACATCGTCGACCAGGTAGGCGTGCAGCGCCGTGAATTCGCTCGCGTATGCCTCTTCACAGGAGCTGACTGTTTCCGTCCTCTTAACTCGAGGTCGAGCCGCCCCGGTGCTGGTGCTGCCATTGCTGACTCCAGCTCCAGTCACATTCGCACATCCATTCCCATTCCCATTCACAGCCTCATCTCCATCCCCATCCACGCTCTCCTCAACAACAACACGCACCGCCCGCCCCTGCCCAATACTCTCCCCAGGGCACGGGAAATCATACTGCAAACTAACCGACCTGCGCTCCCCGTATACCGTCAAGTGGGCGTCGCAGCGCGGGACGGTATCCACGCCTGCTTCATACAGCAGCGTGAACGGGTGGCCGTCATGTCTCGTGTCCGTGTAGTGGAAGATAGCCGAGTAAAACGGGTCTGTGATGGAGACACTGGATACAGCGTTCGGGAACCCCAGTGTCTCGCGCATCAGGGAGAGATCGTGGCAGCCCAGCGTGCCCAGCCAGCGGCAGAAGGCGACGCGGTCTGGGGTTAGGTCTTCGGGGAGGCCGAACATTTCGGAGAGGGTGGAGTGGAATTCGGCGGTGCTGTGTGTGCTGGTTTCATCGGTGCCGTTGTTTCCATTTGTATCGGAGGTGCCGTTAAGCACGCTGGCGACTATATTCATGGGACCGGCGATATTGCGACAACGCGCGTAGTACACGCGTCCCAAACTGGCAAGCTCCTTTTTAAACACATCCTCCACGACTGGCGCATACCGACGCACGCATCCCATGAATATCTTGGGCTTGCCGACGTTGCCGCCATCGCCATCGCCCTCGCCGTGAGTCCGCACCGCCTGGCCTTTCTTGATGGCGTCGCGGATGCGACGCAGGCCATGGATGCTCATACACAGCGGCACCTCGACCATGACGTGCTTGCCGGCTTCCAGGGCGGCCACGGTGTATTTCTCGTGATATTCTGTTGGCAGCAGGTTGAGGATCAGGTCTACGTCTGGGTGGTGGAGGACTTCTTGGATGTCTGTTGTGGTCTGTGCGATGTTGAATTTGGCCTTGCAAGCCTCGGCATGATGGCTGTTCGGATCGTAGATGATGGTTAGATGATATTGCTTCTGGAGGGTGTGTAGAACGGGGAGGTAGGTGGTTGGGACGGCATCGGATGCGCCGAGGATGCCCAGGCGTAGCAGTCGGGTAGACATGATGGAACCCCTGCTGGATCGACCGAGGTGAGCAGAAAGGTTAGGCAGATGGTGATGAGGATGATGATAAGGATGAGGAAGAAGAAGGATGAGCTGGCCCTTTCTCTCCAGCATGCCGGAGTGACATCAGCGGCCCCTTCCTCACTACGATTTCCCCCACGGTTCAGGGGCTAGACCAAAACCTTCCCCGGACGAGATCCATGGATTGCTCACTCAGCATCGCTACTGATATATGTGGTGTTCGTCGGTGTGGGAGTAACTTGGAAGTATACGATCGATCTATGTTCTCAGCCCTAATGAACTATATCGACCGGTGGGGCATTCCTCCCTCAATCTACCACCCTCGCTTTATTGGCCTCGCTCTGTCTGTGTCTCACTAGGCCTATCTGGCATCTGTATCTTCTTCCGCAACCGTTTCTCTTTCACTGCCACAACATCATTTATTCACTCGCCCAGGATCTTGAGTCCCTTTCCATTGCTGACAACCTCTCGGCACAGCTAGATCTTCAATTTGGACCTCGGAGCGATCGTTTGTATGGCTGGGGATGGTGGTCGGCGAGGGAAGGAGTGAATGTAGGGGATGATGGAGAGTGAGGGTGTCATCGTAGCAAGTATAAACTCTTGAATTGGTGAGTGGATGGGGGGTTGCTGACAAGTAGAAGGGGTATAGTTCGTGTCTAACTACGTAAGTGTAGATGAGGCTGTGTTTGTCCCCACCATCCATCACATCGGGTGACTCTCCCTCTTCTCTAGCTCTCTCTCTTTCTCTCTCCCCCCATCTCTGCTCTTCTGGTCTTCTTTTCTTCTTTCCCTTGAACATGGGTGTAAGTATCCCACATCACCACATCCATTCCAACTACCACCACCACCACCATCACCACCTGCACTCCAGCGTCACCTCCAACTCCCCTCTCACTGACTGACTGGTCCATCCCAGTTTGCCTCCAAGATCGCTGCTGGCCAGAACCCCAACATGCCCGGAACCTACGCTGGCGCACCGCCCTCGGGCTACACTGGAGGTCCTCCGGCATCGCTGCAGCCTGGTGGAGTAAGTCCGATCTGCACCAACGTCATGGGAACAAAATCTCACCTTCAACAGAAACCCTACCAGGCATACCCAGGCTCCCCTCCTCCTCCTCTTCCTCAAGGATCGGTAAGCTTTTTCATCTAGTTTACCGTCGTCTCTGTTTCTGTTCCTCTCCCACACTTCGCTTTTGCTTTGTTTACTCCCCACCTCACCCGACCCGCGGATCCGACCCAACCATGTCGCGGCCCTACCAGTCTCAATATTCTCCCTACGGCGGCTCACCTGCTCAACCCCACCATCAGCCATACGGCACGCCGACTCCCCCAGCGCCCCCTGCTGGCTATTCGCGACCACCCCCCGGACCTCCTGGACAACCGCCTGCTCCCTACCCCGCTCAGCCGCAGCAGAGCTATTCACGTCCGCCGCCCCCGCCACCTAATCAGCCCTACGGAGCGGGATCACCATACCCTGGACAGCAGCCACCCCATGTACAGATGAGCCCTGCCCTACATCACTGTGTTATGCTTTGTTTTGTGCCGACCTTTTTGTCGAGTGTTGATGCAACGGATTGTGGGTTGAAACAGATGCTGACAAGCAAACCAAGGGCCAGCCATCGCCTTATCCGCCTCAAGGCCCTCCGTATCCCGGTGCGCAGGGCCACCCCGGACCACCTCCTGGTCCTCCCGGTGGCCAGTATGGCCCGCCTGGCGGTGCTGCCCCGCCAGCGGCTCCCGCGACGCCGCAACAGGTGGCGGCTTATCGCCAGCTGTTGATCGGGACCATCCAAGAGAAGAATCTCCAGAACTTCTATCCTCCCGAACGACTGGACCGACTTGTCCAGTCTCTGGCTGTCGATGCACCGGGCAAGCTCAACCGGCTGATGCACGAATGGTCTGTGCCTATGGAGGTAGCTACTGATGTGATGAAGCTCTCACTGTATGATGTCGTCCTCTATGTCGATGACAGTGGCTCAATCGAATTTGAGGAGAAGGGGCTTCGCAAGGATCAACTTCGCCAGATCCTGGGACTTGTGGCCACCGCTGCGTCGATCTTTGACCAGGATGGGATCTCGATTCGGTTCATGAACTCGATGGAGGTCGGCGATGGGATCCGCAGTGCCGATGATGTAAACCGCCTGGTGTCTCGTGTTCGCTTTGCGGGCTTGACCCCGTTGGGTACCAGCCTGCGGAACAAGGTCATCGACCCGATGGTCGTAGGCCCGGCCCGTTCCAACCGTCTTGACAAGCCCGTGCTGGTCATCGCGATCACAGACGGCCAGCCAGCTGGAGAACCTCACGGGGCTGTCGGCGATGCCATTCGTTTGGCCGTGGACGAGGTATCTCGGACGCGGTACGGCAAGGGTGCGGTCGCCTTCCAGTTCACGCAGGTGGGCACGGACCAACGAGCCCGCGAGTTCCTGGGGGATCTGGATGAAGATCCTCAGATCGGCCCCCTGATTGACTGCACTTCCAGTAAGTTTGGCTAAACCCCAGGCATTGTCTGGTTGATAATTAATCTGGTGGTGATTTTTAGATTTTGAGGTCGAGCAGGACGAGATGTCGCGTGCGAACCCGCCGATCCATTTGACGCGGGAACTTTGGGTGCGTCCATGAAAAACTAGATATGATTTAAAACCAAGCTGACGATCTTGGCAGTGCGCAAAGCTGATGCTCGGTGCGATTGACGCGTCCTACGACACCAAGGATGAGAAGCGAGCGGGAGGTCCACCACCCGCAGGGCCCCCGCCAGCCCAGTATGGCGGCTACGGTTCGGCGCCAGGGGGCTCGTACCCCCCAGGACCGCCGTCCTACAACCCGCAGTCGGGCTACCAGCAGCAGCAGCCTCCCTACCCGCCCTCGAATCAGGGACCCCCCTACGGCCAGCCGCAGCCCCCTTACGGCTACTCTCCCCATCCCCCGGCAGGCCCTTCTCAAGGCTACCCGCCACCTGGACCGTATGGCCAGCCACCACCGCGATATTAGGTCTTCTGGCTTGGTTTGGTCGGCAAATGACGTCACGTCTTCCCTTTTTCGTGTGTTGCTATTTATTTCGTGAATGTAATTTGCCTCCTGAAGGGTAGAATGGACATGGAATGTGGACTACTAGGCACACCGGGGACATGATCCGGTGGGTTGAGCCAAATGAACTCATAGTATCCAGTGTGTACCGGGGGCAGGCTTGAAGTGGGCATGTCCGATCGGCAAAACGTGCCTATATGGCCTGTAGTTAGTGAGTCGTAGGCAGCCGCTATCTGAATGCCTCCCGTCTCATCTGTACTACCATACATAGGACATAGTACTGCAGCGAGTGTCACAGCGTTGCCAATAATAACCGTCGACGCGTGTCAGAGTTTAACTCTGTTTTGCCACGAGCTTGCCTCTCATTTGCCGCATGCACCCAACTTCCCCAGTTTTTCCGCGTATGTTCCAGACATTACTTTCGCCTGTCACTGCGCCACATCCCCCTGCCGCTTTCGGTCTGGCCCCATCGCTTTTCTGTCCGTTTCGTCTTTTGTCTCTGAACACACTTCCTTTCTCTTTCTTTCCATTTCTCTTCCTTATTGTCTGCCTTCGGACCCGACACTCGTTCACTCTCACCACCGCTTCACTCGTTCTGCGCTTGGGCTTCGTCACAGGGAAGAAAATCACGTCCCACCTCTCCCTCGCCTTCTTCCACCCCGATCTCGATGTACTAAACCATTTGCGCCAGAAGCATGCCTTCTAGTTTGACTACACTATCTCGCTCAAGCCATCGATTCGGTCCCTTTGACGCCTAGGACAGACAGACACCCACGCCGAGAGAGAAAGAGAGAAACAGGAAATCCGATCGCCGACCGGGTCCTTCCCGCACAGGCACATTCCCCGTGCGCGCCTTGACTCAGCAGCCATGTCCAGCAACGATCGCGATGATTCTGGAGAGGACCCCCGGCCGTCTCAGGACGTGATGAGGCGACCCTCGCTCGTCTCATCGCGGACCGGCTCCGAGTCCGGCGGACGGCGCCCATCGCAACAACATGTGCGCTTCTCATCCGACCTAGATCGTTCCGCGGAGGAACAGCAACAACGACAACTGTTTTCTTCCACCGACGGCCGCCCCAATTCCAGAGGCTTGACGATCGACACCGCGCTCACGCTGCCCACCACTGCTCGTGCAGCCGCCCAATCGCCCACTTCGCCGCTCTCCCCCGGTTCCACGTCACCCACGGCCGTCGCCGCTCGATCGGCTGTTTCTCCGACCAGCCCGGATTCGGCGGGTCGGTCGCGGTCGCGGAATCGTGGATACTCGTTGCGACGGAGTATTTTCAACAGGAACATCAGCACGCAGTCGGAAGATGAGCCCGCCCTGGTGGACGTGGACCTCGAGGCCAACAGCCGGTCCAAGGACGATGCGCCAGCAGCTGCACCACTCCGCAAGGCGCCCAGTCCCGTGGACGAGAAGAATGAGTTGTTCGTCACGCCGACGGCGACTTTGGACTCGCAAGCCAAGGCGTTGGCAGAGGCATCGACCTATCCCTCGTCTACGTCGGACCGCCCTATCAAGGAGTACTTCTCCATTTCCGTCGCTCAGGACAAATGGGTGAAGAGAAATGCGATCAAGGAGGCGGCCGCCGCCCGCATCGATGGTGTTCTCGCTACAATCAAAAAGACTATCCTACGGATCAAAGACATTCCCCCTACGGAAGATGGACGCCATATCGACTTGAACCCGGCCCTAGCAGAGACCTTGCTTGACGAGCGGACTGGTAAACCGTACCTGAACAATTCGATTCGCTCCAGCCGCTATAGCTTCTGGAGTTTCTTCCCGCGCCAGCTTTTCTTCCAGTTCACCAAGCTGGCCAATTTCTATTTCTTGGTTGTCGCCATCTTGCAGATGATTCCCGGTTTGAGTACGACGGGAACGTTTACGACTCTGATCCCGCTCTTGATCTTCGTGGGTATTTCCATGGGCAAAGAAGGATTTGACGACTGGCGCCGGTATCGCCTGGACAAAGAAGAAAACAACCGCTTTGCCTCTGTGCTGCGTCCCGGCAGCGGCACAGCCGCAGCTGGTGTCTCGGTGACGAGTGAGTCCCACGACTGGGTGGAGGTGAAGTGGAGGGACATTCGCGTTGGGGACGTCATCAAGCTCGAGCGCAACCAGCCCGTTCCTGCCGACCTGGTGTTACTCCACGCCAACGGCCCCAATGGCGTGGCTTATATTGAAACTATGGCCCTAGATGGCGAAACAAACCTCAAGAAGAAGCAGCCCGTCCAACCCGTCGCCAAGGTCTGCTCGACTGTGGATGATATCAACAGCAATTCTGTGCATTTTGCCGTCGAGGATCCCAACATCGATCTGTACAAGTTCGATGGCCACGTTTCTGTCAATGCACAAGAGAAGCTGCCCTTGACCAACAACGAGATCGTGTACAGAGGAAGTATCTTGAGAAATACGGATCGTGCTCTTGGTATGGTGATCTACACTGGTGAAGAGTGCAAAATCCGCATGAACGCCAACAAGAACCCGCGGATCAAGAAGCCTACACTACAGGGCAAGGTGAACCGTGTCGTCATGCTCATTGTGCTTCTTGTTGTTATCCTTGCAGTGGCATGCACGATTGCCTACAAGTTCTGGGCCCAGGACGTGCAAGCGCGCTCGTGGTATCTCATCGATGCGGCTGTGTCCTACGGTCCCGTCTTCACCTCTTTCCTCATCATGTTCAACACGATGATCCCCATCTCACTGTACGTGAGTATGGAGATCGTCAAGGTCGTGCAGATGTTCTTGCTGAACGACATTGACATGTACGATCCCGAAACCAACACGCCGCTCGAGGCGCGGACCTCCACTATCAACGAAGAGCTCGGCCAAGTGAGCTACATTTTCTCCGACAAGACCGGTACCTTGACCAACAACTCCATGCGCTTCCGCAAGATCAGTGTCGCGGGCACGGCGTGGCTGCACGATGCGGATCTGCAGGAGGAGGCTGCTCGCGAGGAGACCATGCTCGTCCACAAGAAGCGCAGAGTCAAGGGTAAGAAGGCCATGAGTCGCAAGTCGAATGCGTCCGAGGCTCGCATGGGTACTGCCCGGCCTTCGAATGTTTCTATGGGGCTGTATGCTGCGCGCCGGCCTAGTCGTCCTGCCGCCTCCTACCGCACGGTCGAGATGCTGCAGTACATCCAGCGCAAGCCGTACACGGTCTTTGCTCGCAAGGCCAAGCTCTTCATTTTGTCTCTTGCGCTCTGCCACACCTGCATTCCTGAAGAAGATGACACCGGAGCTATTTCTTTCCAGGCAGCCTCACCCGACGAGCTGGCTCTGGTCATGGCTGCCCGGGACCTGGGATACCTAGTCTCTGATCGCCAGTCAAATGCCCTGACTATCCGCACCCACCCCAACGGTCCCGAGGCGGCTCCCGTCGATGAAGTGTATGAGATCCTGGATGTTATCGAGTTCTCCAGCGCGCGAAAGCGGATGTCAGTCGTCGTCCGCATGCCTGACCAGCGCATCTGCCTGTTTTGCAAAGGGGCTGATACAACACTCATGCAATTGCTCAAGCGTGCTGAGCTGGCACAAGAGAAGGCCCTGGAGATTGAGCGTCGGGTCAGCAGACGCAAGGCTGCAGAAGCAAACCAAGTCATTCGCCGCAATAGCGAGTACCAAAGCCGCAAGGACAGTGGCGTTCGGTCAAGCTTGAGCCGCCCCAGCTTTACCCGGCGACGCTCCTCGATTCGGCGCTCCTCTGTCTCCGGTCATCACGCGTCAGCTCTGCGAGAGAGTGTTGATCTTTGGCTGCGTGATCGGGAGACCGATGGCGGGATCTTAAACCGGGAGACTGACAGTGAATTCTACAGCCCTCGGCCCTCAGCTCAAATGGGTCGGTTCTCATCGACACTCTCGGATTCCGGAAGCTCGACGAACGGCGAGGATGATGAGGAGGATCTGGTGGAGGAGGCTCTGGTGTTGAACGAAGCGGCTGTTTTCGAACGCTGCTTCCAGCACTTGAACGACTTTGCCACAGAGGGTCTGCGGACTCTGCTTTACGGCCACCGGTTCTTGGAAGAGACCACCTACAACTCCTGGAAGGCCGCTTACCACGAGGCTAGCACTAGTCTTGTTGACCGGCAGGAAAAGATTGAGGAGGTCGGCCAGCAGATCGAGCAGCAGCTGGAGCTGACGGGTGCCACTGCCATCGAGGACAAGCTGCAGAAGGGTGTGCCAGAAGCAATTGACAAGTTGCGACGCGCAAACATCAAGATGTGGATGTTGACTGGCGACAAGCGTGAGACCGCTATTAATGTCGGACATTCGTGCCGTCTTGTTAAGGATTATTCCACCCTGACCATTCTCGATCACGAAGTTGGAGATGTCGAGCAGTCGATCGTGCGCTTGACTGCGGACATTATGCGTGGGAGCGTGGCTCACTCCGTTGTGGTCGTTGACGGCCAGACGCTGTCGACTATCGAGGCGGATGAGACGATGCGAGAGCGGTTCTTCCAGCTGGCTATTCGAACCGAGTCTGTGATCTGTTGCCGTGCCAGCCCCAAGCAAAAAGCGTTCTTGGTTAGCTCGATCCGCAAGTACGTTAACGACTCCATTACACTCGCCATTGGAGACGGCGCCAACGACATTGCCATGATCCAAGAGGCCCACGTGGGTATCGGCATCACTGGCAAGGAAGGTCTTCAAGCGGCGCGTATCTCCGATTACTCGATTGCGCAGTTCCGCTTCTTGCTCAAATTGCTCCTGGTGCACGGCCGCTGGAACTACATGCGCGCGTGTAAGTACACGCTGGGCACCTTCTGGAAGGAGATGCTATTCTACCTGACTCAAGCGCTCTACCAACGATGGAACGGCTACACGGGCACGAGTTTGTACGAGCCGTGGAGTTTGAGTATGTTCAATACGCTCTTCACGTCGCTGGCAGTCATCTTCCTCGGCATTTTCACCAAGGATCTCGCTGCCTCGACGCTCCTCGCTGTTCCAGAGCTCTACACCAAAGGCCAGCGGCATGGCGGGTTCAATATGCTCTTGTACCTGGGATGGTCGTTCATGGCTACTTGTGAAGCGGTGATCATCTTCTTCACCATGTTTGGCCTTTACGGCATGGCAGTCGAGAATCCCACCGGCAACGACACCTTTGCCCTAGGCCTCCTCACCTTCTCCGCCTGCATCACAGTGATCAATATCAAACTGCAAGCGCTAGAAGTCCATAACAAGACCTACCTCTCCCTAATTGTGATCATCATCTCCGTTGGCGGCTGGTTCCTCTGGAACCTGATCCTCTCGCAGCGCTACAAGCTCAGTTCTGGCAAAGGTGTCTACGACGTCCCCAACAACTTCATCCACGAAGCAGGCCACAACCTCCTCTTCTGGGTCGTGTGGCTCTGCGCAGTAACGGCATGTCTCCTCTTCGAATTGACCGTCTCCACGCTGCGCGCCCTCTTCTTTCCCAATGACGTCGACCTCTTCCAGGAAATGGAACAGGATCTCGATATCAGGAAACGCTTCGAGGAGGCGGCTGCCCCGGAACTGCAGCTGAGCTGGAACCATGGGACTAAGAAGTCGAGTATCGAGATCGCTCACGAGACTGAGGAGATGGATGCTCGTGAGCGACAGGTTCAGGAACTTCTGGAGAGACGACGCTCTACGATTGCTGATACCAAGCTCGTCACGCAGGAAACAGAACTGGACGGGTACACCAGCGCTGCTAGTGCTGATCATAAGGCCGCCGCCGCTACTGCTACTCCTGCTGATGATTATGCTGATGGTGTCTTCAACCGCCGTGCGTCCCTGGCCACAGGCGTTGAGCTTGAACCTGTCTCCCCCGTCGATGGCCCAAGCACCCATCGCCGCTCAGTTGAGATCCACGACCTGTTCAGCAAGGGCTTCGGCGCTGTCCGGAAGGGCCGCCTGTAAATATACGTTGCTGGTTTTCTCTTCTACCTCCTCCCCCCTTTTCATACACCAATGTTTGTATATGATGAAGCGGCTGGCGTTTTCTGTGATCTTCTTTCCCTCCATCCCCGTCATCATCCTTCTTCATTTCCCATGGATGGGATAACGTGAGTTGACTTGTGTTTTTGTGTCTTGGTGTTTGGAGAGAGAGGGTTCTCTTTGGTTTCATTTGCACATTTCTCCGTCATAGATACCCCGACGACTCACACTGGCTTTTTCTTCTCTTTTTTGTTTTGCATGCGCTGGTCTCCTTTTTCGTTGCTTGGGCATTCAGTATATAGCCTGCTTTGCTTTGGGAGTCCATACGTAAATATTCAAATGAAATTCATTCAAATGACTTTTCTGTGTCCTTGTACAGTACCTGGTATATATATCTCAATTCCAAGGCAGTATTGCACAAACTTGGTAATTGATCCACGGGACAGGAATGGACCTAGTAATGATGCAGGTCAATAGTGCAAACCGGGGAACCTAGACTAGAAGCAAGTCTGGGGTTTGTCCAGATATATACATCGATGCTCTTCGTACCTTAGGTAGATGATTGTTTCTGCCACTTCTTAACTTTCTCATTCCGTTTACAACACCTGCCTCTGGCCTCATCCCAGATAAGACACAATCAACCAGAAAAAAGGGGAGACAATTGAGCCGGTTAGCCCTAACTTAACGCACTGGCCAGTCGGAGGATCCGGGGATTGGCGCGGCTCCTGCGCGTGAGGGGGAAACTTAGTCAAGCTTTAGATGGGACTTGACGGGGGATTAGGCGAGGGACCGGATACGCCCGCGGATTGTTGCTCGTTTCGTTGGCCACGCTTTACCTTAGCTGCGTGGAGCCTGTGGGAGCCGACGGACTGGGTGGGCGAAGATAAGAAGCACCCCATATGGAATATGGAGTACATTCCTGCCCGTGGATACAGATGCCTCATCCACACGACGCTCTTATTCGGGTTAGCCACGAGATAGTTAACTACTGTAGATAACGAGTAAACACTCTGTGCATCCTACTGTGCAATTACGCTACGGGCACCGCATCACTGACCCTGACCACTCAATCCTCGACCCGAGGCTTCGAGTCCAGCCCGGTATCCCTGAGTTACATAATATCAGCCCCTGGGATACACACTCTATCTATTTAGTTAGACCGACGAATCCCAATCCTTCGTACAAAATTGCCGAGGGTTACCTACCGTTGTTCATAAATAAGCTTATGCCTCCTACCCCCTTCCTCTGGCAAACTCGACCAGAACGACGGCCACTATTAAGAAGAAAAGCATTTGACACAACATGGCTGGCCTTTCAAACGGCGAAGTTTCTCCTACCATGCCGAAATATGAGACCGACATTGTCGAGGCCGCTGTAAGTTCACCCCTATTTCCTACGAAAGCCTTATAACAGAGGTAAACCTGACCCTGCTTTTCAGAGTGAGAGCAGCCCTCTCTCGGAGGAGCACCGCCAGTACCTTCTTGAGCGCCACGGCACACTTGACTTGGATCCGATCCCACAGATGGACGACGACGACCCTCTCAACTGGCCAATGCCCAAGGTCAGTAGTGTTTCTACAAACCCAATCCATAATAAGGCCTAAGAGGTCGGCAGAAAATCTTGAATCTCGGCTTGGTTGCCCTGCATGCAATGATGGGTATGTTTGTCGCGGCAGCCATCTGTTGCGCATTCGTCCCCATCGCAGAAGATTTGAATGTCAGCGTGCAGCGTGCAAGTTATCTCCTGTCTCTATTCATTGCAATCTTGGGAGCCGGCCCTTTGGTATGGAAACCGCTTTCCCAGACCTGGGGGCGTCGTCTTGTATTCTTGCTTTCGTTGGCCTGCAGTTTAATTGGGAATGTGGGCTGCGCAGTCAGTCCTACATTCGCGACAATGGCTCTCTGTCGGGCCATCACATCCTTTTTCATCTGCTCTCCAGTCTCCCTCGGCAGTGGTGTTGTGCATGAGCTCTTCTTTAAAAAACATAGAGCCCAATGCATGGGTGTTTGGGCAACGATGGTCACTCTCGGTATTCCAGTGGCGCCTCTGATCTTTGGGCCTGCCGTTATTCGCGTCGGCTACAGGTGGATCTATTGGTCCCTTGCCATGGTCAGTTTTTACTGTACTTCTTCCCGGAGGTTATGCGTCCAGGCTAACTATCCTCATAGGCCAACGGTGTCCAGTTGATTGCACACTTCTTGTTTGGCTCTGAGACGAGATATGTGGCTGAGTCCAAACCGACCAAACCGGTGTCCAAAATTCGAAGTTACTTCAACTTTCGACGTATTGACCCAACGCCTCTGACCTGGTTTGACTTTGTCTGGCCCTTGACGCTTGTGTCTCGCGTCTGCATTGGCATTCCAGCAGCAACCCATGCCATGAGCTTCCTTTGGGCTGTTGTTTTTACACAGTTGGAGATTCCACAGCTCTTCCCGGAGAATTTCGGTCTGAATGCGCAGCAAGTTGGATTGCAGAATATCCCCTTTCTCATCGGCACTATTCTTGGCGAACAAATCGGCGGCTTCATGTCGGACAAGTGGATGTACATGGCCAAGAAGAGAGGCAGGGCTCCTGATCCCGAATACCGTCTTTGGATTAGCTATCTCGGCCACCTCCTGGTGATATGCGGCGTGGTCGTCTTTATCGTGCAGATTGGCCGAGCCGGAGATGAGTGGAATGTTACGCCTATAATCGGCATGGGTATCGCAGCAGCAGGGAACCAGATCGGGACCACAGTTATCATAACTTATGCCGTGGACTGTCACCCCGAGCAAGCTGCTGGAATCGGGGTCTTCATCACATTTGTCCGTCAAATATGGGGCTTTACTGGCCCTTTCTGGTGAGTCGCGGCAAATTTCGGGGAACCCCTATGTGTCGATGTGGTTAACGATTATTGTATCAGGTTTCCCCAGATGCTAGAATCCCTTGGTTATTACCGTAGCACGGCCGTTCCAGTGGCTACAATTCTCGGCATAACAGTGTTGCCCACGATTTTGCTTCAGTGGAAGGGTAGCCAATGGCATGGAAAGCCGGTGCGGGAGAGTTTTGAGGATACGGCGTAATGGATTGCTCTAGAGTCAGGTGGGTATGAGATGTATTCTCGACACTGTGTCTTTTGTTACTGGATTTAACTAGCACCGGAAACTGCCGATACTGTCCCATCTCACACCTCCAGAACTTGTGTACCTAGAGTTACTTTAGTTTTGTTTCTTTCCTGAATTAAATATTGGCATGGCTGTCGCATCATGTATGTAGTACGTACTGGATACCATTAACATCACCGGCGGAGTAGTTACGAACGTATCTAGCTCTAGATGGGATGAGAATAAGCTTCTTGTAGCGTGGCCAATCACGGAACAATCCGAGAGCAACGGCCCCTCAGTGGATCCGTCCTTTATGAAACGAGCCACTCACGGATCTTTCCGGTTATCCTCCCACTACTTATCTATATGTGGCAAGTCTTGTTGATTCTCCGACTGAGTGCTTCCGGGGCCGGGAGCAGCCCCGAAACTCTTTGTGCACACGGCAGGGCGTAAAATTTAATCTGTGTGTACCGGAGTAGCATATCAAGATAAGCTAGCGCCGTATCCAGAAATAGAAACCGTATATTCCAATTCTAATTTCCAAAAACACCAAAACACCGACCACACATACTATCATTTTGGGACAATGGAAGCACTCCCACAATCCATGAAAGCAGTCGTCATTGACAAGCATGGAGACTCCTCTGTCCTTCGCCTGGAGACTCAGCATCCTCTCCCAATCACGAATGACACAGACGTCCTGGTGAAAGTCGATTATGCTGGGGTAAACTTTGTCGATACCTACCAGCGCAGTGGCCTATATCCGGTGAAGCTGCCCCTGCAGGTCGGCCGTGAAGGTGCCGGTACCATTGTCAAGATTGGTTCCAATGTGCCGCCGTCATATGGCCTCCAAGTTGGTCAGCGAGTGGCAGTCTTCACCCAAGGTACCACAGCAGAGTATGTCTCTGCGCCGTCAGAGAGCGTTATGGTATTGCCGCCATCCGTGTTGACGAAACATGGCGCGGCGATCATGCTCCAGGGCCTGACAGCATGGACAATCGTTCAAGACGCCCACAAGGTCGAGCCAGGGCAGACCATTCTTATCCAAGCGGCAGCTGGTGGCACAGGTGGTATGCTCGTGCAAATGTGCAAACACCTCGGAGCCACTGTGATCGGCACCGTATCGACGCCAAAAAAAGCAGAGATTGCGAAGAAGCACGGATGCGACCATGTTATTCTCTACAAGGACAGTGATGTGCAAGAGGAGGTCATGCGAATAACGAGCACGAAGGGCTGCCATGCGGTTCTTAGTGGCGTTGGAGAGGAGACCTTCGCTCAAGACCTAGCCTGCACGAGGAGAAAGGGAACTCTGGTTTCGTATGGCAACAGCAGTGGCGCAGTGTCCAGTTTCCGCGTCCTGGATCTGAGCAAGAAAAATGTCAAACTTGTGCGACCGACACTGGCAAACTATATCACAGAAAGGGATGAGTTTGTTCTGCGATCGCAGCAGCTGCTAGACTTGGTGGGATCCGGAGCTGTGCGGCCAGAGTTTGGTGGTGAATATCGCTTGGAGGAGGTGGCGCAGGCCCAAGATGACCTAACGACCCAGAAGACAACTGGAAAACTGCTCATTGAGATACAAGCTTAACTAAAGTGATTGCAAACAAGGAATGTGGTGTACAATATACTGCTATTTAGAACGTATCTCGGGGGAAGAGCAACCAAATCACATGTCTCAGAATGCAAACTCCAGTTGCGCAGATCAGAGGATTCTATATTTCCATAGGAATAGACTAACGCGTAAAGACGCAATGTACATGATCCGAGGTCTCTCATATTGCGGCTGTTTCCAATCCGAAGTCTCGAAGAGACTGTCGACATTTCGCCAGACTATCGTCCTGGATTTTTTTGTATAGTATCATCTCGTCCATAGTTTCCACGCCCAGGGCGAGCTCAAATTCTCTTTTGTTACTGCGAGGAACCGATCTCTGTGGACCGCCGTTCGTTGTCCTAGGATTGACAAGATTGCTCTGGAAGATGCCTGCTGCGCTGATAGGGAGGAAATCCTCGTAGACTATGGGCTCGTACACCACATAACCGGATTCAATCAGATCTTCGAGATTGTCATATTTCAGAGTCTCTACCGACTGCAGTTTGTCCCAATCAACACGGTATTGAAACCACGCCAGACCCTCCGCACGTAGCTGCTCCCATGAATCGGGGAATTCGGCGAATCTCAGAGAATATGCGTCTGCATGTACGGCAGTGATGCCATCCTGCAATGCCGATTGCAACATCGAGTCGTACATCTGACGCCCCTTGACTGTTAATGCCACGCCTCGCTGCTCAATTTCCCCAAACCTGGCCGTATGATACCCAGACACGGCATTAGCCGAGCCCGTCGGGTCGCCCTTTGTGTCTCTTAGAAATTCAATCGGCTCCTCAATAGCTTTGAAGCTGGTTTGTCGAAGAAGAATTGGGCACTTCCTTTTCGGCGGACCTTCGACGTACTCCTTGAGCGGGATATTCCGGCCGAGCATTTCGGACTGTACCGCATCGATGTCCAAGGTACGGGGAGTGAGGTGGTTGATGTGAGGTGACCGAAAAGCAACAATATCGGCTAAGACAGAATTCTCGTGCAAAAGCCGCAAATAATCATCGTGAGGAACAGCTGCACTAGTATGCCATCGGAAGCTGTCCCTCGCTTCCCGCACGAACTGCTCAGCCTCCTCGTCTGTAAGGCCACCACAGCTCTCATAGATGTCTAGGAGGTCGTACATGCGATTTGAGAAGATTTGGCGACAACCAAGAGTCTCCATGGCAATGGTCCGGAGATTTTCATCTGCAATCAGGTGCGGCTGCAACAGCGAGACAAACAGGCGAAATGGATTCTTGGATAGCTCCGATGCGCTGTGAGGGCGAAAGCAGGTTGCATGCACTGGTACTCCCGCTGCGGAAAGGTCGTAGTACCCAGTAGGAAGCATGTCCATTGCCCGAAGCACGCGCCGCACTGAATGAAGTTCTGACGGGGTACCAACTCTGATGGCGCCATGTCGTTCCAGATCGATGCGGTCTAGGTCGTCTGTGGCTTCCAAGTGCCGGCGTAGTGAATCATCCTGCTCAAGAGTCGTCTTATTGACGTGAGAAACAAGAGAAAGCAGTGTTCCGTATAGAGGGACCTCAGTCGCATACATAGCGGACATGGCCCGGGAGAAAGAATCACGGATATTTGCTGGTGCCGCGTGTTGACGGCGGGTGGTCTCGGAGCTCATATTGATGTGTATTATCGCAATATTCTGGGTATTATTATGATATTCTTGATTTGTGAGGATGATTCACCCGTAATAGTAGGTTTGTTCACGGGGGTCGTATTAGTACTATATGGACTTTTCCACTCCGTGTCATTCCCCGGGGTGAGATCTGATAAGCCTCGGCCGGAACGAAATTATCGGCACACTCCGAGGGGCCTTTGTACCCGGAGGCTGTATTGGCAATAGAACTTACCGAAAGCTATCTCATTATTTCTACGGGATCACATAGTTTAGTAACAGATACTTTGCTTTACCAGTGCAAGCGCTTAAGATACCATCGAGACCAACACATATTTCATACAATGTATGAGGTATCTGACTCGTGAATAAAATACTGATAATGCCCACAATCGAGCAAATAAACTATTAGTGTATATCGGTCAATAAGTTTAGAGCACCTATCTCACTAGCTCTGTTCTGTCATCCTGCATTATGGTTTCACCCGGAGCTACCTTAGCTATGTTATTTGGTTGTGGCCTGAAAAGGAGTTCAAACTTTTGGATGTCACTGTACAACCATTATACACGGCTACAACAGAGTATCATCACAACTCTAGGGAGCTCAACGTGGAGGCCCCACGCAGTGCGAAATGTCTCGTATTTGATTGGCCACGGTTTCACCCCAGAATGCCGTGCGCTCTTCCGGGCTCCACCATAGCGGAAACATGCTTCTCCCCAACTCTTTCCCCCTCACACTCCGGGATCTAATAGTAACAACGAATTCAGCAGCACGCTCACCGCAATGTATGAGCGTCAGCGGGTTTGGCGTGCCTGTCAGCCATGTCGCCGGAAGAAAGTCAAGTGTGACGGCGAGCATCCGTGCGAGAGCTGCACCCGCAACCAGGCTGAGTGTGTCTACATTGAGCCGTCCAACAACATGAGGATGGTGGATCAGCAGTGAGTTGCCCCCTCTGGCTATGACTTGCCCCCCCGGCCCCCTATCGGAAACGAGTCCGCTAAACGCCGCTCTAGATACCTCATGAAACTCGAGAGCCAGATCCAAATGATGGAAAAGAGATTACATGAGCACTCACAAGCACAGCCCTCTACCGGACATGACGGCCAAACCAGCCAAGATGTCCAAGCAGGCCAAGAAGTCCAAGACAGCAGTGGGGGAATGCTTCCACCTGCACCTCATGTGATAGCCGTGAACGTGCCTGGCAGCGATAATGCTAATCGTGGTCCGCATTCTCTGCTCGACCAACCGGGAGACCGTCTCAATGAAGTCCCTGGGATCCAGCAGCTGGAGGACATAGCGGTGCCGCCGCAGCACCCAGAGCCTGCTGCAATCGACGTGACACAATTGCCAGAGCCGCTTCTGCAGCTCTTGATTGACCTTTTCTATCGTTCTATCTATCCCATCTTCCCCATTATCAGCCAATGTGATTTTCAGCCACAATTTGATCGCTGGTTATCAGCTCGCCAAGGCAGCCGTGTCAGCGAAGATGACGAATTCTTACTGCTCTTATATGCACTGCTCGCCGTGGCATCCTTCCTGCTCCCAGCAGAGCACGCTATCTTTGACCAACCAGGCCTAAAAGCCTACAAACATGTGGACCTTGGAGATCTGCTATACACTCATGCGACTCCCAAATACCCTGAACGGCCATCCGGGCCGAACGCAACGTCAGCCACCAATTTTGTCGTTGCCCAGGGACTTGTGACTCTCTATCTCACCGAGTGTGGCAAGGTGAACGACGCTTGGATCAGAGTGGGCCATGCGATCCGCCTATATCAAGCCTTGGATCTTGATAATGGTGTAGATGCGGCGGCTGAAGTGAACGCGACTGGCAGCGCACATGGCAATCTTTGGTGGTGTTTATATATTCTGGACCGTTCCTTGTCGACAGTGCTCCTCAAGCCCTTGGCCATCGATAACGCCGAAAGCAACATGGATTCATATGAGGGGGAGAGACAGTCGACTTGGAGATCGGAAGACAAGATCGATCCATGGTTCCCAGTCATTGCCGAGTTTCATATTATCCTTGGCCGTATTTACAAGTCCGTGCGGTGGATTCGCAGATGCCACCCATCCCAGAATACCGAGCTTGGGGATACCGGTACGCTGCGGTCAAACATGAAAAAGTACGATATTGAGCTGGAGAGGTACTTCACTAAACGGGTCCTGCCTAAAATGCAACGGCACCATGGCACGGCTCGACCACTCCCACTACAGAACGTTGCTGAGTCGTCCTACTATATCGGGCTTGTCCTCCTTTACCGCACCTTTATTGAGAGACTTAAAATCGAGGAGCCTGAAGTGTTTCTACGCTGCGCCGAGGCCGCGTCAAGCTGCATTAGGGTTACTCCGCAAGTGATGGCCACTGTGCCTGCCAGCCACTTTGTGATCCAGCAGTGCCGGGCGGTCTATACTAGTACCAAAGTCCTCTTACACTGCATGCGCTTGGTAAAGAATACTGGCTACACCAACAATGCCTGGCCCGACGTCCAGAGAGGGTGCGACATTTTGCGAAAGACCAAAGTTCAGTGGCCGGAGATCAAGAGATATCAAAAGCTCACTGAGGAAGACATGTACCGGACGCAGATTCATCTCAGCAAGCATGAGCTTTTCAATAGAGTGTTCGACCGATACGGACAGGAAAATCTTTCAAGGCCATCAGGAGACAGCGGAAGGAATCGCGGTTCGCTGCAAAGAACCAGTACCAGTCACACCAACGGCCTCCATCAATGTCTGCCGGGCATCGCCCACAATGACCACATTTGTCGACACAGGGACTTGGTCAACAATGCCTCTGACGCGGATAATCTAACGAGGACGCCACAAAGCCTCATATCGCATAACTATGGACACGATGCACGTCCTTCTGAACGAGAACCAAAGCGGCGCAGGCTTTCGCAAAATTTCTATGCTCCTCCTGCTCCTTACACACACTATGCGCCGAACACGCCACCCATGCTCCCCGAGGCAGACGGATTGCCTATGCTGAACACGACAACTGGTCCCAGTGACTTCCTCCTACCCGACATTTCACCTCTGCCACCCGTCCCGGGAGATTCGCCATCTGACTTCCTTGAAGATACTATGCTAATGTCATCCTTTGACCTAATCTTCTCACATTCCGAATGATAGACCCGGTTATCAGGTTTTCTCAATGATAATCTCATTTCAGTCCTAATCAACAACCTGTGGTATGGGGAGACTGATGTACAAAGGAGCCACCGAAGACCTCTGCTGTCAATGGCTTGGTATACATAGCCGACTCCATTGCAATCATTGCGGCGGCGCAATCTGACCACAATCGCCGCACTGTCTGGTACTTTCATTCGTCATCCATTGATTAATGAGATCCTTAAGTTGCGTTTCAATATCGGCGCAGTGGAACGACTCTTCCCGGATGATGCTGGGTGCAGTCTGGTGAGCCTCCTGATTGGGGCAGTACCATCGTATGCGGTCGATTACGTGCAGGGGTCGGGTGCGCTCCATTACCAGGCCAACGGTATCCTTATAACGGATTGGACAATGCGGGATGTCTCCTATATTGGGGATTAAGAACATGTGTAGAGCAAGGATAGCAAGTCATCGTACCGGGCAGAAGGTACATTTCGCCTTCTCGAATGACAATGTCACGAAATTGAGTGCCATTCTCGACAATTTTGAGCAACATGTCGCCCTTGATTTGATAAAACCACTCCTAATGTGCAGATAACATGTCATCCTCAGTTTCGGATTTGGCCATTATTGCAATGATCGGTTGTTTACCTCGGTCTGGTTGACTTTGTCCCGATCGCCAACGTTAGCATCGAGTACTTTTTTATTGCCCTTCTCTCCACTTAGAAAGAAGATACCCACTGTGATAGTCATTCCTCGTGTTCGGCCCTCCAACGGCCATTAAGATGAAGTCTTTTCCGGAATAGAGGCATTGGTTATTGACTGGGGGCTGTAACTTCTGTGCGTTCGCGGATAGCCACGGCTGCAGCATAACGAGTCCAGGAATGGGAGTGTTATCGGACGATATGTGCTCCATGATTTGCGTTTGGAAAGGACAGCAGAAGTGAGGCGAAGACTGGATCTAAAAGATGGTGGAGAAAGAATGGGCTACATGTGGCCCGCTTGAATACAAATTAGCGGTTGTTTTCCACTATGCATTTGCGGTGGTCCCAGCCGGAGAGCGTTCCGATTGAGCCTTCGGATTGATCCCCATTGATCTTCTGGGGTCGGAAGGCCATGACAACGGCTCTTCCGCGCCTACACCCGACAATGAGGACCGACTGGTCAGGAAACAATAAGGAGAAAGCTGGCCAAGTCCGAGCATCTTCAAGTCATATTATTGCCTTCTCATTTTAATACAGAACTATTCAACCATTTGTGCCCTAGCGAGCCATCACTCTTTCAAGTCGACTAGTACAACATTTCAGTTGTCAGTGATTTACGATGACGATTGATTGGGAAAACTGTTCTTGTGCTGCTGACCAGCATCGTCAGCCAGTTAGCACAGAGCAATGCGCCCGCAATGGCCCATTTCGAATTGACATGCACACTCACATCATGCCGCCGTCTTTACCTGATTTCTCCAAATCTCACGGTATATCGCAACCAAACAGCCAAGAATGGATTACCCTTCGGCCGCATGATGCTCCAAGCGACAGATCCGACGGACAGCACGGCAGAACATCTAGCAAAGTCGACATGTTTGTCGGCGACAGATTCTTCCGTACGGTAGAGCCTAATTGCTTTGATCCAGACGTCCGCCTCGCAGAGATGGACGCTTCGGGTGTGGATGTGCAGGTGATCAGCACGGTGCCTGTCCTGTTCTCGTACGACAAGCCCGTCGAGCCAGCCGCGGCGATGGCCCGATACCTGAACGACCACATTGCATCCGTATGCCGTGACCACCCTGATCGATTTGTTGGCTTAGCAACCGTGCCTTTGCAGAACGTCGCAGCCTCGGTCGAGGAGCTGAGGCGCGCAAAGAACATGCTGGGGTTGAAAGGCGTGGAGGTTGGCACCGAGATCAACGGGAAAAGCTTGAACCATGCCGACTTCGAGCAGTTTTGGGCTGCATGCGAGGAATTGGATTTTCCGATCTTCGTCCACCCTCTTGGATACGAGCTAGAACAGGAGAACAAGGAACGATGGGGAAAGTACTGGTCAGCATGGCTAGTCGGAATGTAAGAAATATTCTCCGTGGCACTCAGGCTTACCATCGTGATATCTAACCCTACAATGTTGATTTAGGCCCAGCGAGACAGCACTTGCAATGCACTCTATTCTCTCGTCAGGCGTCCTTGTGCGCCATCCAAAACTCCGTTTGTGCTTTGCGCACGCCGGCGGGGCCTACTTGCCTCTGCTGGGACGAATTCAGCATGGTTACGACTGTCGCCCCGATCTTGTTGCTCACAGCTCCCAAGGAGTGCTTCCTCAGGATTATTTCCAGTCACGGCAGCAACAAAACATATGGCTCGACAGTTTGGTGCACGACCCAGATCTACTGCAATTTATCTGCAAAAAGATCGGGCCGGACAAAGTCATTATGGGCAGTGATTACCCATTCCCGCTCGGCGAGATGCCAGTCCCAGGCGAGATGCTGGCCAGTGACAAGAAGGTGGGCAGCTTTCTGTCACAAGGCGAGCGAACACGGATGCTGTCAGGAAACGCCGTTGAATTCTTAAAGCTGGAGGGCATGTTTCCAGAGTGTAAATTGTTACATGAGGCTATACAACAGTGCATCCAATAGACAGAGCCATAGCATATCAACATCTTCTAGCAAAGTACAATTCAAGCAGTGGGCTTTTCTCAGTAAGCTTCAGGCTCTTTTCTTATGCCAGTTCACGTTGCCGGGGCGAGCCGTGGGTTCAGCATTGATAGGCGGCACCTCCACCGGATCGCCTCCGTAGCGGCGGATAGGGCTCGCCGTGCTCCGCATCACCGTAATGCTCACTTAGTCAGGTCTCCATGTTTATAATTCTGGCCTTCATGGATACCAGTCAATACCTTCACCTGATTTACTATGGATACTATTTCTGTGCTATGGAAGCTCAACACGTTGGAGAGTGCAAATGGCTACCTGACCAGCCATGAGTCCAACACTCCCCGTCTCTACCATTTTATCGATGGCGACTTCGGTGGAAAATCGGAGTCGGAGAATTGGATTGAATCCATAAACCCCCGTTCTGGGAAGCTCCTAGTGCAAATTCCCAGCGGCACTGTGAACGATGTGGACCGCGCCGTAGATGCGGCTTCAAGAGCGTTCCCAGCGTGGTCAAAGACATCACGACAAGAGAGATCGCAGGTCTTAATACGGATTTCTGATATCCTTGACGAGCAAAAAGAACTGTTTGCAGTCTGGGAGAGCATTGATCAAGGAAAGACACTGGCTCGGGCTAGGGTCGAAGTTGAACGTGCAGTTTCGAACTTTCGGTTGGTGCTTTGCTCCCCGTCATTGTCCTGACACATTCCACTATTATTTCTCCCTTCGCATGTAATGAGAAGACGCTGAGAGTCTGTCCCCTTAGATACTTTGCTACATACATTCTGCACGAAGAGGGCGCAGTGCGATACGTTGATGGGCAGCCATCCACCTTGACGTACGAACATCGATCTCCCCTTGGGGTATTTGGGCTCATTTCGCCATGGAACATGCCCCTGTATCTCCTAACATGGAAAATTGCTCCTTGTATTGCCTTTGGATGTACAGGAGTGGCAAAGCCAAGCGAAGTCACCAGCATAACGGCTTTTTGTAAGTTGAAATATTGGTCAGTACCGCGCTTGCAACCTGTTGACTCTTTGACTAGTGCTATGTGAAGTATTCCGACAAGCGAAGCTTCCAGTCGGTGTGATGAATCTTGTCTTTGGCGACGGCCCAGGTACTGGCTCGGCGATCGTCAAGTCCCCGCGCGTGCGAGGAGTATCGTTCACCGGCGGCACAACCACAGGCATCCGCATCCGACAAGACACCGTGGCTGACATCGGTAAACATCTCTCGCTTGAGCTTGGTGGAAAAAACCCAGCCTTGGTGTTTGACGATGTCGACCTGGCCAAGGCTGTACCTCTCGCTGCTCGCGCGGCTTTTGAGAACAGCGGGCAGATCTGCCTGTGCGGTTCACGCATCTACGTCCAGCGCGCAGTGTACGAAAAATTCCTGCCCGCGCTGGCGGAATATGTCCAAGAACATTACAAGCTTGGGGATACGATGGGACCAGTTGTCTCGAGGGAGCACTACATGAAGGTTCGCTCCTATCTGGTGCAGGCGCGGGAAGAGAATGCCGTCTTCCATACGGGAGAGCTACCAGACGAAGCGCCTCAGCAGGGCTTTTGGATTGCACCGACAGTCCTTAGTAACCTTCAAACCGATAGTCGAGTTATGCGCGAGGAGATCTTTGGGCCTGTCGTCACTGTGTGTGCCTTCGATACAGAAGAAGAGGCGATTGCGTTGGCAAACGACAACCCGAACGGCCTAGCCAGCATTGTCATGACCAACGATTTAGCCAGAATGCGTCGGGTGGGCGAGCGTATCGATTCCGGGTTGGTTTGGGTCAATTGCTGGCTGGTTCGGGAACTTGGCACGGGATTTGGAGGCATGAAGGCGTCTGGCACTGGCCGTGAAGGCGGAGCGTTCAGTCGCGATGTTTTTACCAATCTGCGTACCCTTCATGTATCGCACTCTTAGCAGCTTGGATAGCATCTGATCTCTGAGAGCGATTATAGACACAGGCTGTAGTCATTTTACAAATACAATAAAATAAGCTAGCTGTACGTGTACATGGACAGGGTTGTAGTTCTGAAGAATGTCCGTCGGATGTACGCGTTCGGATGTATCCGACGGAAACATGACCGTCTCCTCTTCTATTTCAACATTCTTAATGCCAGCCTTCGTCTTGCTAGATTGCTTCTGATTGGTTTTACGTGAATTATCTACCATTTGCCGACTCGCAGTCTTTCAAATCTCACAGACCATGGCGCCCACCACCACCCCGTACTTCCGGCCCTCAAACCATGCCCAAGGCTTGGCCAATTATCCCCATGCGCGAATTGTGCCATCGAACAACGGACAAGGATCATACATTTACGTCTCGGGAACCTCTTCCCGCCTCGGGGATGGCACATTTGTCGGCGCCACTCGCACGGAAGATGCCACTGGAAAGGTCAATCTTGAACTAGACATCCGGAAGCAAACCGCCTCAGTTCTGTCCAACATACATGCAGACATCGAAGCGGCCTCGGAAGGAAAGGCAGGAATTCACAACGTCGTCGACGCGACTGTCTTTTTGACCAGCATAAAGGGCGACTATTCGGGCATGAACGAGGAGTGGAACCGCGTGTGGCCGGATCGCAATACGGCGCCCGCCCGGACAACGGTTGAGGTGCGCGCGTTGCCACGTGAAGAAATCCTGGTGGAAATTAAGTGTGTGGCGTATTATCAATAGATCCAATCAATAGTGATTGGAACTGTGTTAAATGACGTTATTTTATCGATGTTAAGGACCTTGTTTCAGCGTGTTGGTTGTTCCTGTTGTCGATCGGCAGATATATATCTGGCTCCATACTGGTTTGCCAAACAACTCTGTTTACGTGAATGGTATGTAGCGTTAGGAGTGATAGATAGCCACGCTGGTCCTATTGCTAGTTTGTGTCTGTATGCGATTCCTAAGGCTGTTGATTTCTTCGCTTCACTTAACTAGAATAATACGCGGCTATCCAAGTAAAAAGCCGACGCGTTGCCGGAGCATAATCCGACCCGACCCGACCCGACCCAAATGCGGCTTAATTTTCCTATCGGATTAACAATTGAAATTTAATGAAGCCAGCGGATCCGCTCTAGAATACTCGACAAAGCAAAGATCTCCACATCTCTAAGCTTGCAGGGTCCGTGGCCAACGCTGGTGACTGTAGTACTCACTAGTTAGCCAGCTAGAGGTTTCATTGGCTCGACTACACCTATTAGGACTGGTGACTCTTGCCTCCACTTCCCCATATAATACCTGGAGCTTCCCCGCGGTCACGCTAATTAATGTGGAAAGCTCGGTGTCGAGGGTCGCGTCGGCAGAGGAAGCCTTTTGCTGGTCTGTGGGCGGACCGCGCACCGGCTAAAGCTGTAGACTGAGCCCTAGCATGACCTGGGGATCCGATCTTCGACACCCCCTGATGGCCCGGACCCTGTCATCATAAACAAGGAGACAGCCACCGAAGCTTGCAAGCATAGATATCCTACAGAATTACAGCCTATCGAATTTACTCATCATTCGCAAACATGAGTCCCGTACACGGCCAACTGGAGAGAGATTTGAAGTCTACGGGGGAGTGCGAGTGCCCATCCGCACATCATGAAAGCGTCCAAGGTGGGAAATTCACGTCTTCGCAGGAATCTGAATTTCTTGGAAATGTCGAAATATCTGCAGAGCATAGAGACTATCTTATCAGGCGACATGGGACAGTTGATCTTAACCCCCTCCCTTCTGCCGACCCAGCTGACCCATTGAACTGGCCATTATGGAAGGCAAGTTCTCAAGTTCTGTTCTGAAGAACAGTCAACTGATTCAAATAGAAAAATGTCAACCTCGTGCTAGTTGCATTCCATGCATCAATGGCCCTCATTGTTGCTTCTGGTGTCATTCCTGCCTTTGGACTCTTTGCAGAGGACTTGAACGTCTCAATTCAGAAAGCATCATACCTAACAAGTGTTCAAATTTTGGTGCTTGGAATATCACCCCTTATCTGGAGACCTCTCTCTAGCAAGTATGGGAGACGGCCAGTCTGGCTCATATCAACAGCACTTTCCGCTGTGTTCAATGTCGGATGTGCGTTGAGCCCGAACTTTGCAGTAATGATTGTCATGCGTGTTCTGGCGGCATTCTTCGTCTCACCTGCGAGCGCAATCGGCAGTGGTGTTGTTACTGAGATATTCTTTGCTCGGGAGAGAGGCAATAAGATCGGGATCTGGACGTGAGTAAATATGCTTATCCGTCGAATACGTCCTGATAGCTGACGTTTGTCCTTCAGGCTCATGGTAACCCTTGGGTGTGTATCAGAGTCATTCAGCACGTGCTACTGGTACTAATTTGTACTTAGTATACCTTTAGGGCCATTCGTAATGGGCTTCGTCGCTCAACATGCCGGTTGGCAATGGATATATTGGATTTATACCATTGTAAGTAATACAAGTCTTCTACTCCCAAATTTATCTAAGGTGTACACGCAGGTAAATGGAGTTCAATTCGTTGCGTTTTTCTTCTTTGGCGCCGAAACACGATATCTCCGCCGGGCGACAGACGAGAATACTAATTATTCTTTTGTGAGAGAATACTTGACTTTCAAAAGGATTGACGCCGAGCCATTCTCATTCCGAGAATTCTACCAGCCCATTCTGTTGGCCAAATATGCTTCTATTCTCATTCCTACAATTTGTTACAGCCACTCTTTCAACTTTACCAGCGTCTATATTACCGTCGAAATCCCACAGATCTTTGGTGAAAAGTTTCAGCTGAACCCACAACAGATTGGCTTACAGTACATTGCTATGATCATCGGGTTTGTCTATTGCCTTGTCTATTAATGATCTCTGGCTAAATGTTGCTTTTCTAGATCTGTCCTTGGTGAGCAACTTGGTGGTCCCATGAGTGACTACACTATGAACCGTCGTAACAAAGCACTGGGCCATCCTCCAAGTCAAGAATACAGGCTTTGGTCTTCATACTTTGGGTTTTGTGCAGTCATTGCTGGCTTAGTAGTGTTCGGTGTGCAGCTTCAATTGGCACCAGAAGGGCATTGGAATGTTACACCAGCCATTGGCGTGGGCATTTCGGCATTTGGGAACCAAGTCATTACTACTGTTCTGGTTACTTGTAAGTCCCGAGTGGTGCCGGCAGGCTATACTACAGGATGCTGACCACGTGTTACTTAGACGCCGTTGACTGCCACCGCGAACATGCGGCCTCCATCGGAGTATTCGTGAACCTCATCCGCTCTACATGGGGATTTGTAAGTAGTCACCTTGTTTTGTCACTCTAGATAAAGTATTGATACTTTACTGCAGATTGGTGTCTTCTGGTTTTCACAAATGTCTGCAACCTTGGGTTTGGGTGGAAGCGCAGGATTGCAAGCGGGACTCGTCTTAGTCGTTTCAGTCCTCCCAATAGTCTTCATTCAATGGGCAGGCGCTCGATGGAGAAGGCATGGAGAGCAGCAGATGGAATGATCAGGATTCTTGTTTCTTGACTGCGATCGTGTTTCTGAATGAATAGCTCCATTCGATGAATCACAGTGGGATCTAAGACTTCTCTAGCCCCTGGCATCACAATGTTCGGCATTGGAATATGGCATGTTTGGCCCTGTTTCTAAGTTATAAATATAGCTAGGATAGATAGACAAAATACCATCGATATTATGGTCAAATTGTAGCGATCATTCTAAAATGTCAAATTGTGTTTAATCAAACACAGACTATGAAGCAAGGATCCAAAGGTCAAAGCTTGAAGTAATCCTGAACGAAAACCTGAAAATCCGCAAGAGATAATACTATAAGTTAGGCGACCTGAAGTTGAATAAATCATTTGATATTCAGCCTATCTAGCCCGCGATTGAAAAAGTCACTTTTGCCCCACAAATAGGAAGCCCCGCCCGGCAAAGGAAACCCCCTATGTAGAGGGGGGCTACCTACGTAAATGATTCTCATTCCATTGCACCTCGCCAAACTGCATAAGCAGACACATACTCCAAGCCACCCACCAGTCCGGTCGTCGATGAACTCCAAGATCGTCCCGGCTGCTTGCAGAAGCTATGATGCAATGGACGGGGACAGAGCGGGCCGTCCACCCACTTGGCGGCTTCCTAGTGCCAGATGAGAGGCTCCACTGCCAGCTCTCGAGGGGGGCCGAAGGGAGCTATATTTAGCTGTTCTACGGCCTGCGCACACCGTCACATTCACAGACGCCTGTTACTCCGATCGGATTGTCTTTCATTTTTCAATTTTTTTTGCCCCTTCATCTCACGTTAGGTCTGCTTCATATGCTTGCGCAAAATGGTGCTGGGCATGGCAATCATGCGAACATGGTGCCGACTCTATGATCAGGCGTGACCTGGAGGAAAGCCGGGGTGAGACGGCCCGCAGTGGAGCACAGACATCTGGTGGCAACCTGCTCATTCGATCAACGCTCTCCGCAGCAGCGGGAACAGGTTCAATGCACAGATATATGTGGGGCAGGACGGGTGAACGAGTTCATGCGGTACAGTGGGAAACCGGGGGGGGGGGGGGGTGTCTTGCAATGTCTTGGGCCGACGTCTCAAGGTGGCTGGCGGTGCGTCTGCCGAAGGATGACAGCGAGAACCAGGCGAAGAAGCAGTTGGGGATCGACTAAGGCCAAGAGAGCTGGCGGCTGCATTTCAACCAGAACGACAATGGAGCCGACCTGCCGTCTGGGGCCCAGGGGCTGGAGATCCTGCCCAAACAATCACGGCGAGTTCGCGGATAAGATTACTTACTGGTAGGGATGCCTTGATAGGGTTATGATTCCTGCTTTCGCCTAAGCTCGTACTCATACTTTCGACTCTATAGCCTGTAGGAGTATGTAGCTAGAAAATAATATTTCTGCACACTATGCAATGGCGTGACGATATACCCCTTGCCACCAATACCTGCACCCGCTGAAACTTTCTCGGATGATCGCCTGGGTGACATCGGACCCAGTCAAATTTATTTCTAGCGCCTAACCAGCAGTGGGACGATCGCGCTAAGGTTCTTAGGACGAACAGGGGATCGATCGGATGGGTTCGTGATCCTTCCCGATAGCTGACGATTTTCTTTTGTCTCACCCTGATTCCCTCTCCGCTGCCATCCTGTCGCTTGCTGTCACCATTGCGGAGTCAAACATCAGCACGGACCCCACGGTCCACTTGAATGCAGATATTGTACTGTATCGCCCCGAGCGACATGTGTTGTCCTAGACCATTGCTGACGATCTGTTTCCCCTCTCCCAACATATTGGTTCGATCGTGTGAAGCAACCGCATGTCCAGAATGGCGAGGCTCGCCCTAGTGGTGGCTTGCTAGGGACAAGCTGACGCCTAAACTTAGCTGCACGGGCCAGAACGATTAGACTCCGGCAATCCTGGACAAGCTCCTGCCAAACATAGGCAGTGAGCGGGCCCTTCGAATGTGATTAGGGGTTTGCCGCTAGAGGACCTGGTCAGTCAGGCAGGGCCTGTCACTGTCGCTTTCACTTCAGCTCCCCTCATCCTGGTGGCGTGGGTAGCACATCCACTCTCGGCAGATCGAGGCCCAGCCCGTCGAGGATGGGCTCCACCTGGCAATGCAAGTTGATGGCAAAATAACGCAAAGCGGTCTCCACGTATATACTTAGTTACGCATTTCGGGGAGGATAACTTGACAGACGCCGGACGTAAAAAACCTTACTCTGTGACTTAATTCTGTTATTTTCCCAACCACTTGCGCTGTTAGTTCGGTAATTTCGGCTGTGGGCACCATGGAGAGCACCAGAGCCATCAACTTCCATGACCTGATGCGGCCACGCCTGCCACGCCATGGGTTGCCCGAGAACGAGCAGCGGGAAGGCTGAGGACTTGGGAGGTACAGCAATACAGCGAACCCTTCAGTGCTTCAGGTGTCGGCTCGGTCTGCCTAGCTATTCGATGTAGACAACTTACCCTCGCCTGCAGAAGCTCCACGTCACATACTTATATCCTTGCCCCGTGCCCAGCTCTTGCCCAGTGCCCAGCTCTTTCCCCTGGAAGCACTTGGAAATCCGAAGTCTAGCTGGTGTCGTCACCGGCTGTCGGTCGTTCTCGTCGTTGGCGGGACATATCCGAGAAGTTACCCACGTAGTCCCGCACAAAGATGTCAATGTAAGCGGACCTATCGGCGTGTCTAGAGTGGAACCACTAGAATACCTATGACAAATTGATCCTTTTAATCTCCTCCACCATTCTCCATAGTACTAATGCATGTAGATGAGGAGATGGATGCGCAAGGTCAAAGGAACCAGCAGTATTATGTTTTGGGATGCTTTTCGTAATAAATGCTAACAATTTAAATTGTATGAATTATCTTGTTAAAGAGGTGTTTTCCGTTTGACCATGGGAACTGGCTGAACGATTGCAGGCACACGTTTGAGGTAGAGGGAATTTGAACCAAAAAAAGATCTCGCGATGAGCAGGAGGCGATGCTGATCATAACCAGATGAACGCCTGATAAATCTGGTCTGCTGGAGATCGTGCATGCTTCATGGCTGCCAATAACAGGCTCCACGAACAGATGCTTTAATGCTGCTTACGCAATATCTACTATCGGAAGGACAATCAAGGTGGGTTACCACGGCGCTCGACCGACGTTTATTCCTTACAAAAGTGTTTACTTTTTATGTTATTTGATGCTCCCGCTCCACAGAACACGGTGGTGGATAGTACAACTCCCAGCCAGCCACTGGTAGAGCACTGAGCACATCTAGTTACTTAGCTACTGTAAAGCATCTTTGACAACGTATAGGGACCCCACAGGAAGCCAGAGAAGCCGCTTATGCAGCTTACGGCGATTTCAAAGTCTAGACTCCGGTATGTTTGAATTGGCAGCTGATACTTTCAGTTTGTGTGGACTCGTGTACTTGTTGTTCTTGTATGTCTTGTATTCCTGCCAATCAATCAGTATGGGGCAATGATGGCCAAGGTGGAGAGGCACTTGCCAACCACTATCGTTGCCATGCTGATTGCCTTGAAGTGCTCCACGCTCTATTATGCCGTAGGTTTGCCTCCGGAGCTGGGACACAGAATAATTAACACCCAACACCGCTATACGCCCTTGACCAGAGCGCAACTAATGCAAGATCAAACCTTGGAACTGCCAAATGGGGCAGCAGCCATATTTTTGGGAATAAAATTCCCCTTTGGATCACAATTAACGTAGGAGGCAGAGAGGGAGGCAAAATTGACAAATTGACTGATGTACAGCAGATCTGAGGGGATCGAAAGGTGGAGGAGATGGCCTGAGTCGACGGAAGCTCTGGATCTTACCCACTATTCAATACCACAGGCGTAATAATATCGCCACTATCACACTATGATTCAAAGGGAATGGTGCAGAATTGAAGGTGGCTCCCACCCTGAGCGCTACTACAAAAGCACAGTAGCACCCAGTTGTAAGCTTTCCTTCATTTCCTCTTTCAATTTCGTCAAACAATCTCGTACTTTGTCAGAAACTTACATCAAACCATATCCGCGGGTTTGTCTTGTCTATTTTGTTGCTTTAAGAGCTGCTGCTCAAGAGAAGCTTTACTTGACGCCCATTCTCCTCCACAAAAAGTATCCCCTTCTTCCCCCCACAGCACTGAATCATCCTCTAAAAGAGTGATTATCCCAAGCAACTTAACCAACCAAACCTCCACAAAAACAACTGATACCTCAACAATCGAAATGGCCCCCGGTATTATTTCTCCTGTCCCTGGATCCCCTCTTTTCTCCACCATGCCCGGCAACTCCAGGCAGGTCTCTTCTATCTCTGCTATCTTTGATAGCGATAGCATTTCAAACAGCGACCACCATTCTCGCAGAGAATCTTACATGCGAAAGAAAGCCAATGGGGTAGGATATTCCAATATCACCAGCGTGGTCCAGTCCCTCCACCGTCGTAGTGGTGATGAGCTGGGTACCACTGCTTCGTCCAAGCTCTTGGACATTTCGCATGCCTCACTTATTGAATGGATTCGTACCGAGCGCTTGAGCTACCTACCCCCTGAGGGAAAGCAGCTATGACAAAGTTCTGGGATGGGCGCAACTTTTTGTCGAAAGATTGAACTCTTTTGACAGTGCCATCCATGACTTTGCGGGTGATAGCTATCTTGCCGCTCAGCTTTCGTATGGTTACTGTGCCATGCTCCTCGAGGTAAGTTTGACCGCGTCCCTTCAAGTCTATGACTTTTGACTAACCCTTTCGATAGCTTGGCAAGGAGAACGCCCAGGCCCTGATGACCTCCTTTGGATTCTTTTACAGCACATCTTCCACGCTTGTGAACCTGCTTGCGCGGACCGAGTTGTTCTCTGTCTCACAGGAAATCAAGGAGCAATTGATCCTGGCCTTGTCTGACTTGGTCACTTTGGTCGCGAGCGTGTCAACCCACTTCCACAAGGCGATTCGTGAATTGACCACTACATCTATTTCTGTCAATATCTATGACACGTTCCCTGGTCAAATCCAATCATTCCGTGAGCGCTGTGGAAAGATTGCTGAGTCCATGTGGAGACACCAGCTTGCGAAGGAGAACATTGATACAGATAGAGGTGAAACCCCATTCTGCCCGTCTGTTAAAGAGTGTTACATGACTGATCCTGATTCACGATAGTCTCTGTTGTCCAGTCTGTTAGATCTTGGCTCGCACCTGAAGATCGCGTTCTCAGCCATCTCGCCGAGAATATCTCTCACCTTGCCCATGAGCGAGAGGAATTAACCTGTCTCTGGATGAGCTCATACTTGACTCGTTTTCTGAAGAGCCCGGCAACCACTCTCTCCTTCTCCGGAAAGCCGGGATCTGGAAAAACTGTACTTGCGTCTGTTATTGTCGACCGTTTGCAAGAGCAAATCGGCGGAGTCACCTATAACGCCTTGTTTATTCCCATCAGTGAGTCTCTACACAGCCCGCTTATCCACTCTTAAATAACAACTGGTCTTTGAATAGACGCGAGGATTCCAGCAGAGACTACTCCTGCTGCTATCGCCAAGACTATCCTCTTTCAGCTCTTTGAGAAGCGTATTGGAAATATCCAGCTCTTACACATCTTGGGCGATGCCTACGAGCGCAGCCGGAAGACCACCAGTGCTGCTGACTACGAGAACATCCTTTGGAATGCACTAGAACGTGCCTTGGCCGCCGCTCTCAAGGATGCCAAAGAGTTGGTTATTGTCGTTGACGGTCTTGATGAGGCTTCCTGCGGCGAGGCAACTCTCCTCAAAAGACTTACTGCGGCAACTAATAATTCAACCAATGTCAAGCTGATTACTCTCGGAACTGAGATACCACCAGCCTCAGAGAGTGTGATGCACGTTTCGGTCAACGAGGATCGGATTGTTGAGGATGTCTCTACGGTGGTGCGGAGCAATCTCATCCACAGCCATAGCTTTCTGGAATTGTCAGACTTGAGCCAGGAAACCGTTGTGGATCAGATATCTGAAGCATCTCGTGGCTCCTTCCTCTGGGCCAAGCTTTGTACCAAGCGGGTTCGTCATGAACACACCCCTGACAACCTCCCAAAGGCCGTCGAGACTATTATCAACAGCAAGCCAACCATCGCCGACTTTGTTCTTCATACTATACAGTCTCCTGAAGTCAACGAGGATGCTAAATACATGTTGCTCTGGCTTGCTACAGCCGAGCGCCCCTTGCTGTTAAAGGAGCTCGTCACTCTGGCCTCCATTCAGACTGACAAGTACACGATCACTGATCGCAAGCTGGATCCATTGCACGTCCTAAGGCCCCTGAACTCTCTTGTTTTCCTACAAGACGGTCAGGTGTATCTTCGCCATGGGCTCATCCGGACTGCGGTCTTAGATGTCTTCTCCAAGGGGAAACTCACCCAAGCGGTCAAGGACCGTCACGTCGACTTCGTTACTCGGCTGTTTATCTACATCAAGAATGCCGTTTCCGAGCATCATGAGCCGTCTTTGACCCCTCTAGATCGACATGATACCACTGTGCTAGTGTCAAAACATCCTCTCCTTGATTTTGCTGTTAGATACTGGCCTCTGCATCTGAAGCAAACCTCGGTCTTTACAACTGGGGGTGAAGGACCCACAGCTAAGGAGTTTGGCAAGATTTTACCGTTTTCTACTACTCTCTTGCTGCTGCAGAACGCTCTCTGGCAAAAAGTTTCAACCCCGACGTTGTTGTCTTATCAGACCATTGTCATGAACCTATGCCGCCATTTACTTACCACGAACAACGTCGTGACTCTCCAGTCCATCATTTCCTTGGCTCTCCTGCGTCGGGATATCCACCACGTTTCTGAGGCCATTCCTCTGTTTTATGAGGTTACGACAGGTAGCCAGACATTGCTCACAGCACGTCATATTGTCACGATGCAGATGGCCCGTCTGTTTCTCGACTTAACAGTGGAGCAAATAACGACCACCAAGTCAGACATCATGGCTAAGCGTGAAATTGTGCTTTGGTTGATTGTCGAATGCTACAAGATCCACTACGGCAACACCTCGGAGCAAGTGGTCACGGTTCTCAAGACGTTGGTTGAGCATTACCGCTTGATTAAAGAGGAGAAGAGGGTCCAAGAGATTGAAGTGACCATCCAGTCAATCACCGGTTCTCAATACAGCACCGTTGATGATGATGCCCACGGCGATCTACATGTTCATCTAAACCGCCATGAGCAAAATGGCGAAACCGGTGTTCGCTTTGTCCTAGATGTCGAGGAGGATGACGTGAGATCTGAATCCTTCGACTCTGAAGCCCTGCTCAAACAAGCTCAGGCGTTTGTCGCTGAAGGCCGTGTCACCGAGGCCGAGTGCATTTACGTTGAAATCTGGCAGCGAGCTAGCAAGGAGTGCCGGATGCAGCACTCAGAGCACTGGGAGCAGATCAAGCTCAGGTCTGTTGTGATTTACTCGAAATTTCTTCAGTCTCAAAAGAGAGAGTATGAGGCCTCATCCATTTTGTCCAGCGTTTGGGAAGAGTACAGGCATACCAGCCTGTCTCTCTCACAGTCCTCTGCATCACATTTCCAAGAGATTGCCTCAGTCATGTCTGCCGTGGGACTCTCTGCTGCAGCTTTGAGTATCTTCAAGCACTGCGCCTATTACTACCAGAGTACCAACAGCACTTCCTCCTCGGCCTACTCGGAGATCCAGAAAAGCATTACAGCCACCTCGCAGCAAGTGATGAAACAGGCCAGTTCTTCATCTTCAGTCGTGTCGGAAACCACCTTGGAGGAAATTGTCTTCGAGGCTTCCAGCTCCATTACCAAGATTGATCAGAGCTCGTTTACTGCCACTCACACACTGGCTGAGCTGTACAGCTCTCAGCATCGTTGGAAGGATGCTACTCGGGTTCTTAAGAAGGTCCTTCACGGTCTTTGGCCATCTCTGTTCGCCCCGTCCGTTCAGGATGTAAACCTTCCGTCCAAGCACACCGACAAGTGTGTGGACCTTGCCGAGCGTCTCAGCCAGTGCTATCACTACCGCCGTCGTTTCCTCCGAGAGGAGGGTATTCGTGTGCGCGTCTACCATGCTGTCCGCTTTTCTAAACCTGTCGATGACAGGCTGAGGGAGCGCGTTACGACCGAGCTGCTCAAGCTCTATGAACGTTCCTCCCAGCCTGACATGGGTATCAGCACCCGCCAGGAGATCTTGGACGACTACACCAAGCACTACGGTCCCGAGCACCCCATTGTCATCAAGACCCTGTGGACTTTGGCTGAGCTTACACACCCTCGCCCCATTTCTGTTGAATACTACCAACGAATCATTCGGGCCTTGAACAAAGATTCGCCCAAGTGCCAAGCCGAGGCAATTGAGCCCCTTGTCATTGTTGTGACTGAGCTGTGGAATCAGAGTCGGTTCTCTGATGCTGTGCCCTACTATTCGCTGCTCTTCACTACTTTTCTAGATGATACCAAGAAGAGTCCAAGATTCCAAAACCAGGACTTTGTCCTGGAGTTCTTCACCAGGTATACTCACTGCTTGCGCAGTGTTCGCACTGAAATCACTACACTGCACAAGATCACTGTCGACTATCAATCAAAGGTCAAGACAGTGTTTGGTGTCACCGCCTCAATCACTATCAAGGCCACCTTGGCCCTCGCAAAGGTTTGCCAGGAGTCAAAGCGCTATGAAACTGAGGTCATCACTCTGTACGAAGATTTGCTCAAGATCAAGTCTGACGAGATTGACTACGATGAGATCACTGCCATCCTTGATGGTATTTACGAGGAGCAGACCAAGTCCGAGTCAATCTCTTCCATCCAGGTTGAGCGAGCCTCCAAGATCTTGAGAAAGCGCATTACTACCATTCGCGAGACTCATGGATGGGCCCACGAAGAATCTTTATCCAAGCTCCAGGAAATAGTTTCTTTCCACTCTAAACACAGTGAAACAGAGTCCGTCATTCAGGAACTTAAAGAGTCTACCGTGCAGATCCTTTCGTCGGAATCATCTTCCACCAGACTTGTTTCTGCCGCCGCTGTGATTGCTTCCAGTTATATTGCAACCAACCAAGTTTCGAAGGCCACTGAACTGTCTCAGGAGCTCTACCGCCAGGTTGTCATAAAAGACACTTCCAATGTGAAGTCGTACAAGTTTGATCTCTCGTCCAAGGGTCGCCAGAGCCTCATCTTCTTGGCCCAGCTTGAGCACAGCCTTCGCCGGGGCCCTTCGACCATTACTGAAATCCTCGCTTCCTTAACCACGGAGTATCTTTATTTCGAGGAGTTCAGAAGCCAAATTTCGTCGAAGAGTAGCTCCTTCCACGCCGTATCTGTGCTTGCTGCACGTCTCTATCATTTCCTGTTGCTCAGCAACCGCCAGGCTGCCGCCACTCGTGTCTTCAATGACTTCGTTGGCTACTTCCTGGCCAGTGAGGGCAAGCGGATCAAGTCGACCGAGACTGCTCAAGTGAAGGTCTTTATTTTGACCATCCTCGACCACTTCCATAAGCACCAGTCTACGAACTTTATCCGCTCGATTGGTATTGCCAGCAACAGTCGTGTTCTCGAGCTTCTAAAGAAGAAGGACTACGATAGTGCATGTGATCTCGCCATCGCTTCCTTCAACTACATCTCGGCTCATGATATTTACCGTACTCCCGCTATTGTCAAGTTTGTCTTCACTTTGGGCATAGTGGTTACTGGTCGGACCATCTCCCCGCAGCCCGATCAGGCCGCCCAGAAGAAGTTGCTTGGAGCCTCCACGGTCATAATTCAGGAAGTCCTTCGCGTCGTCAGTGACCTGAAGATCAACTTGGCTCATATCAGTCTGGACTACCTCAACATCCTTATCGGCGTTGTTGGTCAGCAAAAGGACTACAAGAACCTGGTCTGGCTTCTTTCTAGCATCTGGAATAACCGCAATCAACAGATCAACTGGTCCCCAGCTGTTACCCTTCAGCTGGCCCGCCGCTACATCCTAGCCCGCTATCTGGTTGGCGATGCTCTAAAAGCCGCCCGCTTGGCTGAGGACATTGTCTACAACTGCCGCCGGGTGAACGGTGCCCGCCACTCAAGCACCCTTGAGATGTCTACCCTTCTTTCACAGATTTACACTGGCATTGCCCAGCGCTATCAGTCCGAGAAGGGTGGTCAACACATGGCCAGCAAGTACTACAAGAAGAGCGCCAGTGTGCACGAGAACCTCCTTCGCATTTTCATTGATCCATCATTGGCCGACGTTGAAGGTGGTCTTGACAGCAGCATGAGCATAGATGGATCAGTATTCGAGCTTGACTTGGCCGACAGCACCGTCAATGGCAATTTCTCGGACGGCGAGCATGTCCGCCAGCACTTGCAGCTGCTCAAGCTTGCCGTGCAGCGGTTGGGTGACTGGCCTAAGGACTATAGTGAATACGACCATCTGAATGCTGAACTCTTTTCTACTTTCAAGGACGAGTTGCAGGGAGTCGAGGGTGTTGAAAAGTGGAACCTGAAGAGCTTTGGCTCCGGCAAGGCTGCCAGCAACGAGGACACGCTGAACTTGGAATTCAAATCTTGGGAACTTGAGGTTGCTCAGGCCAGGGAGGAGAACGAAGAAGTGCTGTGATCCCAGAATTTGATTTTTGTCTGTGAATTATTTTTGATGTCTTCATGTCAATCTGCATTTCAGTGATTGGTCTGCTTCCGCAAGTAATCACTATGTTCTTCTACCTTGTCGAACCAAATGAGATCCTCCAGTTCTTCCTCAAGATACAGACCCATTCGTACAACTCGATTGTTGTTGAATATGAATTCCGCTTGGAGAGGCTCATCTCCACCGTCCAAGATGCCACTAAGGTGTGCAATGTACTTACTTTGCTGGCAGACATGATCAAATGTGACCGTAAATCCAAAAGATCTATCTGCTGCGTTGACAAAAAGCTTATCATCTCTGATCTGAACAGTCATTCCATGGTATCCCGGGTTCCAGTACTCGCCCGTATAGACGCAGAGTGGCATTTTCTGGGGCTCAGACTCTTGGATTCCAGGACACATTTTCTGACGCAACTGCGCGATCTTGTCATCAATGCTGATGTCATCGTCCGGACAATTCTCGGATTCGATTTTATTCCAGTCGGGTCGTTCAGGATGCGGCACTTTCAGGGCCTCGTCAATCAATTCTCGCATCAAAATAGTAGCAACGACGCCTCCTCCACACGAGTTTCCGAAAATAGCGCCACCAAACTTGAAGTCAGGAAGAAAGAAATGGGTTGAAGCGAAACCCTGTACCATACCATCATGGCTAACAACCGCATAACCTCTGTAATAGAAGATTTCCCAGCCAGCGCCATACATCGTGGGTGAAGTTCGCGGACGTAAGTTTTCAGCATTCGGGTTTTGAGATATTCGCTGTTTGAGAAGACCTTTGTATACATTCTCAGTGATGGGGTCTTGGTGGTTCATGACGGCTTTGACCCATTTAATATAGTCGTTCACACTTGTGATAATAGACCCTGCACCTTGAGCCTCAGGGCAGTCAGGGCTTTGGAAACCGCCGTCGTACTCGTTACTGTCTTCCTTCCAGTTGTAGCCCGTAGCAATGCGATCGCCGAGGCCTTTGGATCTTGCACACTCGGGCTGCAGACTGGACGATCGCATGTCCAATGGCCGGAAAAAATGGTGCTCAAGGAAATCTGAAAAGGAGAGTCCGGTCTTCTTCTCAACGAGATACGTTGCCACTGTGTACATCATGTTGCAGTAGATGTACTTTGATCGTACGGGGGCAGAGCAAGTCAAATGGCGCAGGTTCCTCGTGACAGACTGCGCAGTATCTGGTTTTGCCGCTCTCAAACCCAGATAAGAGTCGTCGTAGCTGAATCTATTAGCGAGGATATTATGCAGATGTGCAAGATACTAACGAAGGCATGCCACTCCTGTGGCTCAGTATATCCTCGATAGTAACGCCTGGTATCTCGAATTCTCCGGGTAGGAGGCTTGACATAGTCGCTTCCCACTGCACTTCAGGATATTTCTCGTCATTTACCAGCAGCCCCACAGATGCGGCTGTCAAGGACTTTGAAGCGGAGGCAATATCAAAAAGTGCGTCTGCTGTGCATGGTCTGGGCGGATGGAGTGACGATTTCCCATAACCAGCCGAGGCCGTTGTCTCGTTTTGAACGATAGCAATAGCCAGACCAGGTACATGGTGCTCTACCATAAGGTCCTCCACGTGCGACTGAAAATTTGGGGAATGAAACAGTTCCATTGTGTGTGAGTGATGTGGTGTGGTGAGGATGAGGCACCGGATTTGCAGTGTTACAGCGATATTCGAAATCAGATATACCAACATATTCGCACGGATTCAATCCAGAACCCTAACCTGAAACTCGCTAGTCTAGTTTTTGTATTTTCCAATACCCACTGAGAGACTTCAGTGCCTGTATTTTACACGAAACTGCTTTACACACGCTGCTGCCCTACCCCGCTCGGCAGCACTCGAGCTGACTCTCCTCCTTTTTCGGGATTCCAAATCAGATAGCGGAAGAGCTGCAATCTGATTCCGACTTTCCAGGTTTATGGTACCAACGTCATTATCTTTCCTTGCGAGGACCGGAAAATGAGCGAAGTGAAAGAATCATTTGACGGCTTTTCGAAACCTGCCTCTACCTATGCGGACTACATCGAAGCAAAGTTTCATAACAAATACGATCGATATGCCTGGCTTGTGGACTTTCTCCGGAACAGACATCCCAAATTGCCAGCAAAGAACTTGCCGTTGCCTGTTCAGGTTTTCATCCTAGACAGCGAAAAGGAAACCTTAAAAAGCAGACGATTCATGGTTGCAAAAGATAACCCAATAGATCCTCATCTGGTTAATGCCCTGAAAGAAAATTCTGAAACCTGCCAGACACGATTGATATTCCTCCAATATCCAAGTTTCGAGAGTATCAATCCAATTTGCATAGATTTGATTGGCCTTCATTGCGACCTTCATCCGGATTTCTGCTCTGCCCATTTTGAGTGTGATTTTGACCAGACTGGCCAAGTCATTGCGCACTTTCCTGCTCACACTCTTCCATCAGAAAGGCGTTTTCTGCAGATAAGGACAGATGAATGGACCTTCATGACCGCAACATGGAAGGTATGCGAGAATAAGAGTACATGTGAGATGAATCTAGCCTTGATAATTCCTAACTTATATTTTGTAGCCTAATGGTTGACTATATATCTAGTTGTCGTCTTTGCGTTAGATCATTACATTGGCTCAGGAGATCAACTATCTCTGCTACATGACCAGCTTGCATATCATACGTCGCCGAGCGAGATCCTACGGTTGAACAAGAATCCAGCAGATTATCTGTTCCCCTACGTCAGAGAAGCCGCACGACATGGGGCATCTATTTGCGCCCAGCTAACACCATTTCGGGAAGGGCACAAGGCTAGCCAAGATTTTCATCTAAACCTTAAATGGGAGACAAATCAACGAAACCGCCGAGCCATGATGCTGTCTCTAACTAGCCTGTCGAAATTTCTCGATTCTGAAAACATTCCTCAGCCTTCATCTTTGCAACTTGGTACGATCTTGTCAGATTACCGCGAATTGATCCTGGAAAGCGAGATGATCGCAGCAGATCTCCAGGTGTTTCTCCAACAACGAGCGAATCTGGCAAACATCGAACAAGCGAGGAGAGGCGTGGAACAAACGGACTCAGTGCGTAGGTAAGTGAACAACCGACCACCAGATCATTCACAATTCGATTTTTATTGACAATACCCTAAGGCTTTCTATAGTGGCATTTGTTTTTATTCCACTGAGCTTTACAACGTCATTCTTCGGAATGAACATCCGAGAGCTTGGAACTGGATCTTTATCAATTGGGTATTTTTTCCTTCTTGCCGTTCTTTCGGGTGGCTTATGCATCATTCTCGGAATCTGCCTCATGTCTGTGGAGAGGTATTTAAGCCTCATCAAGAGAGGAGCTGTTCGAAAATGGACTAGATGGAAAGCCCGATCAAAGAATTGAAATGATGACATAACGGAGTTTTCTTTCTAGACGATTATATCGAAGAGAAATGTTTACCGAATGCAGGGATGCCTGGACGATGGACAGCATGAATGTAACCATTCGCGCTAGGTAGCCAAATGCTTGCTGGCGGCCGGGCACCTTTAATCAGTGGACTCGATTCCATTCTCACGTACACCAGACCGAAGGTAGTTAGCTCCAGGGTTGGAGTGTATTTCGAGTTGTGCTTCCATAGTTCAAGTTCCACAAATCGGGATATATCATCGAATCTCAAAAATTACCCACGATCCTTGGAAGGCCACTCTCAGCTTATTGGAGAGCCAGATTCGGTCTGAGGATGGCAACGATTGTGACGCATAATCAGCAGCAAAAACCATGGTAATGGAAGAAAATCATCTTTCCCTACTTCTACAGCATAAGCATAGCCTTCTGTATTATGACTGTCGCGCGTAGACGAAGGCTGCGACGTAGATGGAAAGAACGAAGGGGACAAGGTATATTTGTGCGTGCGTATTAAATTTCCAAAGCTAGACGACATTTGAGTCATGCATCGGAGCAATAACTTGCTACTGCCCTTGAAGATTATTCAGAGAGATAGCCAAAGCAACTTTGCTGGGCCGGCTCGTGGATAAAGAACTGGTCAAGCAACCAAGCCATACTAGAATTTGTCACTCCATCAGCTAGCTTCAACCAGTGCTGATTGGTAACACTGGTGTCGTCGACCCAAGCGTTTGATCCATTACTCGAGGTGATGCTATTGTACCCATCCTTGTTGGCAAAGGCAAGCATGGGTCTAAAGCCAAGTTTGGAGAATCCATCAAGACCCAAGATCCCATACAGTGTCGTGATCGGGTCCCAGGACATTCGAATGGTGGAACCGCCACCAACATACCACTGGTACGCAGCGACAATTGGGGAGTTGACCGGCGAGTTTTCAGCGACCCGCTGTCCAGAATATACGTTTCCACCGAGCTCAAATCCCGAGAACGTCATCGGAATAGTCTTAGGCCAGTTTCGAAGAATGTAATCGGTGCTTTCGGGATCCAAATAGCCAAAATTATACTCCCAGCCTGAAGGATAGTTACCCCCCATGACAACGAGTTCATTGACCTTTGAAGAAATGAGATCTTTTCCAGATAACGAGCTGATTTTGTCTGGCTCGGATTTGAGGAGATCGGCGAGATTGGTCAGGAAGCCAATTGAAATTATGTTGATGCTGTTTTCTGTGGCAGCATTCAGGACTGAACGATACATCTCGAGGGGCGTTGGAGTCGATGCTGAATCATCAAGTGCCCTGGGCCAGTTGTAGGCGACTTTGCTGGGATATTCCCCATGCCTATTGCAATGTTAATACGTGACCGTCACAGAATTCGCTAACCATACAAGAAACTCCCATTATCAAAGTAAGTCTCATCAGTTAGCGGCCGTATGGCAGCAACTGGAATATTCCCATTTCCAAAGTACGTACAGAGAGCCTTTTGATCAGAAATGAGTCAGGATCACGGGGAGAGGTGTGCAGACGATGAAGCGTACATTTGCAGCCAGGGCACCATATTTTGAATGCGTATTGATGGCAATGCCTCTCACATCTGCCAAACCACAGTTCTGCAAAGTATTTGCCACTGCCAACGCCCCTACATCATCCACGTCGCCAAAGATATCTGTGTCGATAATCACCGCCTGACTACCACTAGTCGATTTCGCTAAGGCGCCCGCAGAGGCAGCCAAGACGCACCACCGGACGAGGAGTAAGACTTCGGAGACTTTCATAGCTACGTTTGAAAGTTCACGGTGAATGTAAAGTTCGTAAGACCCAGGAAAATGCGTGTAAAACGAAGGGTAGAGGTGCATCTCACAAGTGGCGTTTTGGCTTCACCTTCCTTATATACGCTCACCCCCACTCGAGACAGATATTACTGCATGACTCAACTAAATGCTATTGCTTCCTCAGTAAGAGTTTAAAACGGCAATTAGGCGTCAATCGACCTCCGAAATTTCTGTATCTGGATGTTGTGCGGGGGAATTCACACTAGTCTGATCCCTTGACGTAAATTTCCCTGATCGTCGGATATAATCTTCATGCATTCGGAACAAAAGCCGAATATCATTGCAATAATTTTCGTTTCTCCGGGTAATTTGTTTACTGAGTCCATGCTGATGGATACGTGACTTCAAAGACAGGACTCGAAATTCGAGGGAGAGTAATCCCCCACACAAAAATTAATTCTTGAAGTTATCCAAGAAGGTTACACACCCGTCTGGAACGGAGTGGCCGCAAATGGCCACTGACACCAAAGGCACTAAACACAGCTTAGCTCAAGAAGAAATTAAAACAATCTGGCTGACACCCCTGATGATCTCATCCCTTCCAACTCAACGTCAATCTTGAATAAGCCGAGTGATTCTCATCCTTCTTCGCTGCGCCAGCATAAGCGCATAACTAGGCAAATTCGTGTTACTGGGCAAATGTGTTGAGAATATCATCCTTCTCTCTCTCCAAAAATTGTTCAAAATTTCCCAGATCGATATTCCAAGACTTGACTTTTCTCATGTCAACGAATTGTGCCTGATCTCTCATCACAAGCTGAATCCCAATGAAGGGATCGGCTTGAGACTGGGTTTCAACCTCCTCTTGGGACAGGAAAACAACCCTTAAGTCCCTTCCAGTGATTTTAGCCAATTTCTGAATTGTAGGCTCTATGCCCAAGAGCTCTGACGCAAGATCGATATCCTTCTCATGAAATTTGACAGGGTCAAGAAGTGCCGTGGCACCAAACTTGCCGATATCGTTCGGATCAACCATAGCTAGAAGCGTCTCTGGCGTCCAAGCAGTCGTGAATCTCCCACTTTCGAGGAAGCCCTTATACATATGGACATGAGGTGGTAGAAAGTTCGACATGAAGTTTCCGGGGCGCAATATCGTCCAATATTTGAACCCAGCGTTGCGAACCTCTTCTTCAATGGTTTTCTTGCTTAGAAGCATTTTACCAAAGAACGCATTGGGGTCCCAGTGGGCAAATTCTTCGAGTCGGTTTATTCCAGCGCCACTGGAGTAGACGATTTGCTGTACGCCTGCCTTTTTTGCGACTTCCATAACTCTTCGAGCTCGATTGATTTCCTCTTCGCTGGGCGTGAGGACGAGAAACAGACTGGTGCAATTGGCGATATTGTCACGCAAAGACGTTTCGTTTTCTAAATCGCCCTTTTCGACGGAAACACCGAGCGACTGAAGCTTTTGGGCTGCAGGAGAATCCGGGTTGCGGGTAATAGTGCGTACTTTGGCACCACGTTGGAGGAGATGCTTGGTGACGGCACCACCCTGAGTGCCCGTGGCACCAAAGACAAAAATAGTAGAAGAATTCATGTCGACTCAAGGAATGAAAATGTTGGAAGTGGATTGAAAGATTGAGTGAGGCAATAGATCATGAACGGCATGAAATATCCTGTCTCTTTATAGCTGGTCTCAAATAGGTCGTTGCAACTGCGAGGGAGCAGCATCCTAGCATCTACAAAGCGCACCTCCACCACCACCTCCGCAGTGAGCTAGCTGCAGCAGCACCTGCGTACCCTTTCCCCGATTGTTCTTCTCCTTCTCTTCAATGCATCCCAGATGGAAATTCGTGTTCTGATTGGTTGAGTCATATTTAGCGTGCGGAACTCCGCTACAAGGCTGCCGTAATCCGCGAAGCTGACGGATCTCCCACTATTATTCTCGCTGGCTCGTCCCTCTAGGAAACCGCTTTCACCCAATGGAACGTATCCTTCGTTTATAATGTATGAGTTGTTTTCCGAACACGGCAATGCTCCTCCGCGCCGGAAATCCTGCGATGCTTGCAAAAAAGGGAAGCGCCGGTGTGATCTGGCCTTCCCAGCTTGCCTTCGATGTGCGCGTCGGAACATACCTTGCGTCTATCCCGGCAGGCAGCCCTTGGAGAATTCGGGTAACCTTCTTGATGTCGTTCTTCCCGGGGCGCGTTCCGGCAATACATGGCCGGCTCTCAATAACCCCCCAGATATAATAAACGAATTCGATCTCCTCTCGCCATCTAATACGGGGCCGTGCCCATTCGACACACCATATTTTCAGTCAAATCTGGCAAACACAACATCACCGGTACCCCTTATAGAACAGCCCCATAATCCATTCGTGTCACATGGATTTGAAGTGGTCAAGTCGAAGAAAATACCAAGCAAACCTCTCTCGGACGCTATAGCCTCGAGGTTACAATTTGCTATCGATATACTCAAGGAAACACCCCAGATGATAGTCACAGAGGGTAAAACACCATGGTGTCATCGTCAGCTACATAAAGATGGTATGCCTAAAGTATTGCAAGGTAGGACGATCAACACTTCTCCCCAACTTAGAGCTTACGTTCCTACAGATTGCTATGCCTGTTGCTCTCTCTACACGTTAAAAAACCAAGTCAACACACCAGTTATATTATCTATACTCGAATCCCGCATTCATAATCTTCAATCAACACCCGTGGCCTCATCGGCCGCCGAATTACTTGCTCGCACACAGTCCTTGATTTTCTACCAGATCATGCACATGTTCGACAGCGACATCCGCTCCCACGCAGCTACTGAGAAAGTACTGCCGATGCTAGAGTCTGCCGTCCTCTCACTACTCGGGTACCTGCATCTCCCTGACCCTGCAAGTTCCGCTGATCTCCTTCCCTCGTCAATGGAATCAATCATGGACTTCTGGGAGTCATGGGTTTTCCAAGAATCAGCACGTCGGACGGTCCTCCTTGGACTTTATTCTATCCAAATCTATAAATTGTTGCATGGAACTGCCTCCATGTATTGTGATGGGCGATTGGGCCTTGTACATGCGTGGTATTCATCAGCACATCTATGGAACGCTGAGACTGCATTTGATTTTGCAGTTGCCTGGACAGAAAGACAACATTTTGTTATTTCGAATGCTGATTTCTCAGATGTGCTACAAAACGCGCATGCAGACGATGTGGATTTATTTACAAAGATGCTGCTGGTTACAGTTCTAGGCGTTGACAAGGCCAAGGCGTGGTTTTATGCTCGAGGGGCTTTACTATGATGTCGTTGTTCTATAATCCCGTCTACTTGTTATTTGTGTGTATGGAAATCTACGAATAAAAATTCTGTTGTCATTATGAGTATTCTCAGGCCTATTTATACTGTCTCATCTTCGCGATTATAAGCTCCGTATTATAGATCGGGGAGAAATGAATCTTGGATCGGGCCTTTAGGGGCTCGTGCGCCCGCCCCCAAAAGAGCCTCATCTCGTCCTTATCCCCAGCCTCTTTCGATCCTACATTTTGCCCAAAAATTTATTACCCAACTGAATCTTCGTGAGATGTCTCAGTCTCTACTTTCAATGTGCGATCATTCCTCTGTCTGCTTCTCGTCTTCGCCTCACGCCACCGAGGCGGCTTTCAAACCTCCGGGTCCACGTGAGCGGGTTGGGGCGATCAAAGGAAATAATCCAATCGAGCAGAAAAAAGACATCCTATATCTAAAAGATGACCCGTCAAGCTTCCCTGCTCCTTTGTTGCTACCTGAAGATGATCTTTTCGAAGACCAAGAGGCTTACACCCAGAGCTTTCAAGAATGGAAGGACGGAGAAGACCGCAATCCGGTTACTGCAAAACGGAAGACTGTTTACGTCGTACCGACTCCGGAGATTGATGCAGAAGTTTCTTTCATGCGAATCTGGAGCAAACCACACTCCTCCAAAATAAGGCAAGAGACGCAGGCCCCTGGTACGAAAGACGTTCGGGATTATCTGGCTGCTTTCTATCATGGCCTAGAAGTCAAGATGATGCAGTCGCCAGTCCTGCGTTTCATACCTTGGGAAGAAGGTAGCCTTCGGTCTAAGTCATCGGCTGGTTCGCGTGTGCCAAAATACGTGGGTCTAGCAATTGGCGGCGAGTGCGTGAGGATTCGGGCACGTCGCTCTCCAGATGGTCTGTATGATGGCCAGCTAAATCTTGACGATCTTCTCGATGCCGCAATTAGCCTTTTACCAAAAGATGCATATTCACTGTTGCTGCTCGTGGATTTTGATCTCTACGAGGATGAGGACGACATATTCGTCTGTGGCCGTGCATACGGAGGCAGCCGTGTTGCTGTGGTGTCCAGCACGCGATACAATCCCAGCCTAGACGAGATCCAGCATATTGATCGTCTCCATTCTTGGCCAGCATCGCATTGCGAGAAATACATGTCTACATTTGGATCAGCATCAGCTCCGCCCAGCACAAAACGACGGAAACAATCCCAACACAGGACCCGCGGAGCGCAAAATTCGTCGTCACCACTGGATCCTCCAGTTGGACCTATGAAACAAGCGATATCAGCCTACCGGTCGCTCCCCCATGTACCGTCATCACTGTCGCCCCTTTGGTTAGGTCGGGTTTGCCGTACAGCAAGCCACGAATTGGGACATTGCTTTGGCATGGCTCACTGCGTGTACTACGCATGCTCAATGCAAGGCACCGCATCTGTTTGCGAAGATGCGAGACAGCCACCATATCTGTGTCCAGTAGACCTGGCCAAGGTCCTTCATGCGACCTCAACCACTGCATCCGATCGATACCGTGCCCTTCTGGCGTTTTGCAAGAGACCTCAGAACAAGAATACTCATTTCTTTGAGCCTTTTGCAGCGTGGCTTCGATCACGATTGAGTGAAAGCGAGAATTTCTGAACTCTAAATAACAACGTTTTTTGGCTTCTATCTGGCCATTGCTTTCTGGGTTTTCTCTTTTGCATCTCTCTGCCATTGGTCCCATGCTAGGCTTAGATCAACTGTATCCCTCCACAAATCCGCTGGGTCACTTCCAGGGGGTGCTTCTTTGCCGTTTCCAATTTTACCCTTCTCTTTACCCTTGACGAATCGCATGTGCCACGGCGTGAATCCGACTCTCTCGAATCCCATTCTCTCTGCAAGTCGCGAACTGGCTGAATTGGCCGCACTAGCTTTCCAATGCACCCTGCGAAGACCAAGCCCTCCTTGGTCGGGCTCATTCAGAGCATAATTCAAGACCAGTCCGAGAGCATTGGTTGCCACATGGCTCCGTTGATACGGTGGGAGAATGATGATAAAACCGATTTCAGTGGCGAGATGCTCTGGCGATGTGTGGCAGTAACTCACAGTGCCGGCTAATTCACCCTCAGGGTCCTCTGGAGATGATGGACGTGTCTTGTCGATGATAGCAAAGGCGAATGTGTCTGGGTTGGTGAAGGAGATTAGGTGCTTGTTGCCTCGGTCATAGAACTCGGCTTTGAGCTTTGCGGCAGATGGGTATGGCCCGTGACTCATATGCGCATACAGCTCTGGGTGCGACTCTGATAGGCGAAAGAACGTGTCTATGTGATGCTCGGGGTCGAATGGTACCAGCTTCACGCGGTCATTGGACAAGGTTTGTACGGGGAAGTGGAAGACAGAAGAGGGGGCCATATTGAGTGGTGTTTCCAAGTTATTATAAAAGTGGCATCCACCTGAAGTATCGGGTGCAATTTGACTTGATTTATTCCAAGTCTTAGTTCCGAGAATCGCAATAACAAATCTGGATTGCTCCGAAAGTGACTCAGCGTGGGCGAGTTCGGCTCCCATCGGCATCACTCCCGTATTCAACATCGCGGGCAACATTTAAAGCCAACAATGCTGACAAGTGACACAAGTAACTTTCTCACTAGCATGTTATAATGCACGGATTTTGGCACCACAAATTGGGATTCCTTATTGGACAAATATATGTCATCACTCCACTAACCAACACCTAGAGAAGAGATTAACTCCGATAAATCCATCGGGAATTGAACATATAACGACCAACCTGTTCCTCTTGGTCTCCGCAACGGTCCCTTCTCTCTCGTCAATAATTCACGATGTCAACTCCGAGCCAACTAAATGCTCAGCATATTCGGGATTTCGTCTCCACCCTCCACACAAAGCCCTACCCAGCCATTGACCCATTGCTGGTCAAGCTGCCTTCCCCCTTTGTAGTCTGCATAATTGGTGGAAGAGGAGCTGCAGCAAGTGGGATCGCCAAGGCATATGCGCAAGCCGGGGCATCCGGTCTCATCCTGGCTGCAAGGACACGCTCCGCACTAGAAGAAACAGCCAACGAAGTCCGCTCCATCAATACCGCCACCAAGGTCGTGATTGCCGAATGCGACATCGCCTCCAACGCTAGCGTCGAGTCTCTTGCCAAAACGACAAAAACCGAGTTCGACGGCCATTTAGATGTTGTGGTGGTGAATGCAGGCTACTCAGGCCCGATGATTGCAGATGTCGTGAAAGAGTCGCCCAGCGACTTCCAGACCGCGTTCGATGTCAATACAGTAGGCTGCTTTCATGCTGCCCATCACTTTCTGCCTTTATTGCTGGCAACTGAGTCTGGCGCCAAAAGCTTTATTGGAATTAGCTCTATGGCTGCGCCCATGGTGGCCGGGTGGGCTGCGCATGCCCATTACTGTGCAAGCAAGGCGGCACAGACACGCTTGATCGAGATGATCAATGAGCAATATGCCAGCAAAGGCATATTTTGTGCAAGCTTGCATCCAGGTGGGCTTCAAAGTGAATTCGCACGCAAGGCTGTGCCGGAAGCGTTCTGGTCTGGTATGTTTTTCCCGTTGTTCGTCTCCAATAAATCATTTGAGCTGATGGTTGTTGGACCTGAAGCGGCCTTGACCGACAGTCCTGACTTGGTGGGTGCTTTTTGTCTCTGGTTGACAAAGCCCGGTGCTAAGAAGGAGGTTCTGAATGGCCGGTTCCTCTCTTGTAAATGGGATGTCAGCGAGCTCGAGAAGAAGTTCGATGATATTTCGGAGAAGGATTTGTTGCGGTTCCGGATTGCTGTGGATTGATCACCCCGGTGGTGGAATATCATTCTAGCCATGCTGTGGAGATAGCCAATCGAATATTTATGCTATGAGCAGTACGAGCGTGCTGAACTTTAATGATAAGAAGCTAGAGATCTATGGGTGTTGGAAAAGTGGCATCCCTATTTGATCTCGGCGCCGTCGACCAATCCACAAATCAAAACATTCAATGTGGCCCAAGCGCAAACAGCTTAACGTCGCAACATAAGGATACCAACTGTGCTCAGCTTATCGCGCGCCCTTGCAACAATTAGGTCAGATGCGGGCTATCAAATGTGGATCCGACAAATATTTCCCTTTCGGGAATAGCCTTCCGGGCGTCTATCACCTTGTCGTCTACAATTGTGGACAAACACATGGTGAAAGTCGCCAATCACGGTGATCTGTCACGGATCCGTCTGAGATGGCGAGTCTGGTCGGCAAAGTCAAGGTCTGTTCTTGGCATTGGCCAGGTATATATTGAGGCGTGTCCACCTCCATGAGTAAATTGATCTTTGACGAGATTATTCCTCTCCGCCCACTTGAAGCGTGTTTCATTTATTCGCGTCAATTTCAACGAGCACACATTATGGGTGACTATAAGCCAACCAGCGCTATCTCCCCGGCACCCGCCATGACTACAAAGCCCATTGAGAATGAAGCTCTCGATCCCCAAAGTGCGGTCCTCTACCGACAACTTCGCCAAAAGCCTCTTAACATCGTTGGAGGAAGAGGGAGCTACCTTCTCACGGATGATGGTCAAGAGATCCTAGATGCCACCTGCGGCGCTGCGGTCTCCTGTCTCGGCCACAGCGACGAGCGTGTACACGCCGCCATCTTAGATCAGCTACAAAAGATTCCCTACTGCTACTCTTTGTACTTCACCAACAGCGCTGCAGAGAATCTTTCCAGGTTTCTTGTTGACTCGACCGGGGGCAAGATGTCCCGCGCGTTCATTGTGAGCTCGGGTAAAACTCAAACTAGCCCTCTTCGCGCAATGTCAACTACTAACCACCTCCGTTCATAATAGGTACTGAAGCTGTCGAGGCAGCTGTCAAAATGGCAATGCAGTATTACACCGAATTGCCAACGCCACAGCCCCAGCGTATCAATTTCATCTCCCGCCAGTCGTCTTACCACGGCAACACGTTGGGATCCCTTGCTATCGGTCATCATGTAGCTCGCAGAGCCATCTATGAGAACATACTGTCGAAGAATATCCATCATGTCTCGCAGTGCTATCCTTACCGCAATATGCAGATCAATGAAACCACTGAGAGCTATGTAGCTCGACTAGCCCAGGAGCTCGAGGATGAATTCCAGAGATTGGGCCCGGACACCGTGTGTGCATTCGTGGCTGAAACTATGCCCGGCGCTGTAAGTAATCCTGAAAGATACACGGAACGACATAAATTAACCAACCCCGATCTAGACTCTGGGCTGTGTTCCCCCATTGCCAGGATATCTCAAAGCAATGAAGAGTGTCTGCGAGCGGCACGGTGCCCTATTGATATTGGACGAGGTTATGTCTGGAATGGGACGAACGGGGACCCTTCACGCCTGGGAGCAGGAAGACGTCGTCCCTGATCTCCAGACCATTGCCAAGGGTCTCGGTGCTGGGTATGCACCAATCGCAGGCTTGCTACTTAACAAGCACGTGGTGGATACCTTGACCAAGGGTACGGGAGCATTTGTTCACGGACAGACGTACCAAGGCCACCCAGTCTCATGTGCGGCCGCGTACAAGGTGCAGAAACTCATACAGGAAGACAACCTCCTCGCGAATGTGCGGACCATGGGCGAGTACCTCGGTCAGCTTCTTCACGAACGACTGGACAATCATCCTCATGTTGGTGATATTCGTGGAAGGGGTCTATTCTGGGCTGTAAGTAGCCACTTCGTTTTGTTTTGTGGTCGGTGCTTGACTGACACTGTTCCAGCTCGAATTTGTGCAGGATAAAACCACAAAAGAACCATATTCTCCCTCGAAGACCCTGTCATGGACGCTTCACACTGCTGGCTTGAAGCCCGAGTATTCCATCTCCCTCATGCCTGGAAATGGTGGGATTGATGGCAAGAATGGCGATCATATTATTCTGGCGCCGCCGTACAATACTACCAAGGCTGAGATAGAGATGATTGTGGATCGGACGGCTCGTGTGATCCAGGAAGTCTTGGGTTAGTTGTATTTGTTGTGCTATAATTCCTTGTGTTCATTTCATTTTGCCCTGTAAAGTTCCAAGGCAGTTGGCACTCGAGAGATGTCATCTTGAAACGTACTGGATATCTATTTTATATAGGCATAGCTAATATGCCCATCCATTTTGATTTTTCAAATTGCCATTATTGGCCTTGGGAACTCCCTTATATTTCAGTCACTATTTTCCAGTTGATTCATGGCTATTCTCCCCTTCTAGTAACGTGAGTTTAGATGTATGCCTTGCCACCAAGGCCGCAAACTAACCCTAGTCCACAAAAGGAATTGTTAAACTGGCTCGCTCTCCACCGAACCAATCAGCGAGTGACCAGCGATAAGAAGCGGGGAAACCAGTCCAACTCATCATCAGGAGTTCTTAGTCTTACAAAGGATGCCTCGGGAACGATTCTCACGATCGCGAAGTGGTACGGAATGTTTTGGTGATCGGATATCGGGCAGGTAACTAACAGGAGCGGCAGGATGTCTCGAGTGTCGCAAGAAACACCAGAAGTGCGATGAGCAGCAACCTCTGTGTTCGTTCTGTGTCGACCGAGGACTCAATTGCAAGTACCCCTCGGACTTCAAGTGGATTAGGCAGACGGAGCCGTGTCTGTCAAGACACAAACCCCGCTGCAGACGAGATCAGCCACCCGCAGAACGGATAAAGAGGTCACCTGCATTTGGGGATGTCGGATTTGGATCTACTGAAGAGAAAGTTGCGTGGGAGTATTGTATGCTTCCATATACTTCACACCATTCGAGTACTGATTCCTTTTTCAGATGTGAGACTTGTATCGTCGAACGTGCCCGCGTTAGATGGGCCAGACAACCCCTACCGCCAAGTATCCGTCGCAGCTCTGTCGTCGCCGATCCTGCTCGAGACCATCGTATGCATCGCGACCGAGCACATGCTCAATTTCGGACTGAGCAGCGTACCCGTGGCTGCAGAGCGTCAGCAGCGAATGCTCCGAACAATCGGACATAACCTCGCCGTCATCAACACGGAGACTCGCCGTTCTCTACAAAGCACCGAGGTGCAACGACACCAGGACCACGAGGCTCTTCTCACTGCCGTCGTCCTACAGGGCATCGTGGTCGCCCAGACTGCCGATGGAGTGCTCGAGCCGCATATCAAGTGCGCACTATTTCTCATGCAGACATTGAATCGTTTTCACCAAATCCCGGAGAGTCCGCTCGCACGCATGACAGCTCAGCGCTTCGCTATGGTTGATGTGATGCTGGCCATCTCTCGACAACGTCGACCATATGCGCCTCGGGATTTTGTGTTACATCAGCCCGATGGCCCGCGGTGGGATCTGACGGAGCCCTCGTTTCACAAAATGACGGGCTGTCCTCAGCCCTTGATGTGTTTTCTTGTGCGAGTGTCCCATCTGGCCTGTGATGTGGACGAGGGACTTGAGCAGGGTGCGTCTATGGACAGTATTCTCGGTGAAGCATTTTGCCTAGAGAATGAGCTTCGTGCTTGGGGATTGCGGTACACGGGGATGATCACCGACGGCTCTCCACCACTCGATATTCTTACAGAATGTTTCTACTGGACCGCCCATCTGCTGCTCGCACGCCGCGTGTTCCGGGACGCCACCTGCTCGGCTCGGGTACAGCACTTGTCGCATACCTGTTTTCGCCTGATGGACCACCTATACACCGGCTGCGGGCCCGATTCATCTCTCCCACAACCCTTCTACCTGGCCGCCCGAGAAGCCGTCACGCCGACCGATCGTGACTGGGTGCGACGGAAGCACGAGGAGATGACGGCGTACTACCGCGAGCAACAGCGCAATCTGGCGATGTCGCTGACGGAGCAGATCTGGCAGCAGACCGACACATCGGCGACTCCGGAGGGGGCGATCAAGGCGCTGGACCGGGAGTCGTGCTTGTTTATATTTTGATCCGTGCAGGGGCAATATTCCGTTACATAGGGCGTTAGGGCACGGCCAGTCAGGCGTGTGCTAAATATAGTTAGTCAGGGCGGCCAGACTGTGGTCGCCCGCAAAATCTGCCTCTTGACGTGTCACGTGCGCCAGGAACAGTGTGAACGGCGACCGACCATTGTAGCGTGATTGGCTGCCCCTGTGTTTAGTGGCCCCCTGGATCCGTGGACACAGTTGGTCTGGTCAGGGGAAGAATACAATTGTCGAATGGGTTTTTGTGGGAAAAGTCGGAGATATTATTCATAATAGAGAGAGAACTATCCGAGTCTATTCTAAAATGGATGGGCTCTGCAATAGTCCTGGATCCTCAGTCAATGATCCGGAGAATCAAGATGTGGAGTCCCAAACACCTCCTCCTCACGTGGTGGCTGTGTCGGCAGTTCGCGACGATCAATGGGAAGGCGTGTGGCTCGGACAATAATAATCGGCCAGGGTAACAGGAGGAGTTCCAGCAAGGAGTCAATGCAGGGGCCAAACCAGCCTTGTCAGCGTGTGTTGGTGTTTGGGCGGATGCAAGCGACCCAAGCCCCACGAGCCAAGTCCAGTCAGTTCGTCGTGTAGTCAGCATCTCCTGGATCTCCTCTTTCTCTTCTCTTCCTTCTTCCTTCGCTTCCCTTCCCTTCCCCCTCCCCCATCCCCTCCCCGCCATTCTTTCTTTTTCTTTCTCTTTTCCTGCTGCCTGGTCGCTCGTTTCACTCTTTCACGACGACCGTCCCGCTCTTTCTGCCCTGTCACTTCTTCGCTTCCCCGAACGGGTCCCCCATCCGTTCCTCCCGTTGATCGACTTCAACCCGGCTTTTGCGATTCACCGCCGCGCTTCTTCGAATCGGTCGCGTCCCGACTTCGATTCGCTGCAGCCGGAAGAATCCGACTGCCCTTTGATTCAAGCTGCATAGGCCAGCCTTTTTTCTTCTTCACTCTTTATTTTCCCCGGGCGCCTCTGTGACGCGCCCCGATTCCCCCTCCCAACCCCAATCGCCCCCCCCCGGGTCCTGACGTCGACGTCCTTCCGGCCCGTTTCGTCAGAAGACCTTCCATTCATTTCACCATCAGCGATCGAATCCTCTCGCGCCTGAGGCTGCTTCGAGATACCAGGTTTCGGAAAATTCGCTGATCAACCGCAACCATTCACCTGTCGACCGGATCGTCACGCTCTGGTGGACCACCTATATACACAAAAAATTACACCAAATACGTCAAACGCCGTTGTCAATTTGCTGGCCGAATACTTTGATATCATTGCGACTGCAAGATGTCTTCGGAAACACCCGACCCACACGGTCACGGCGCGACCATCAAGGCACCCTCATCCTCACCACCTGCCTCAAACTCGACTCCATCGCCATCCACGTCGAGCGCCACTACGGCTCCGTCGTCGACGGCGTCCCGCCGACCTCCGCGCAAAAGCACTCTGACCCAGCAGCAGAAGAACAATAAACGGCAGCGGGCGACTCAGGACCAGCTAGTTACTCTAGAGGTCGAGTTCAACAAGAACCCGACTCCGACTGCTGCGACGAGGGAACGCATTGCGCAGGACATCAGCATGACGGAGCGGTCGGTTCAGATTTGGTTCCAGAACCGGTAGGTCTGTCTTTTGCAGTTCTTAGGATATCGCGCTGACCAAAAACAGTCGTGCCAAGATTAAGATGCTCGCGAAGAAGAGCATCGAGACTGGTGAGGGTGTGACTCCATCCCAGAGTCTATGCGCCATTACCTCGCGATGCAGTTCGACCCGAACAAGCAGGGCTCCGGGGATTCTCTTGGGCACTCGGGCAGCTTCGCTGCACCGGGCACTATGTATGCCAACGAGAACCCGTCTGGCAAAGTTGGTATGTAGAGCGCCCCAAATATGATGACCAACTTGCTAACTTGCCCAGTGATCTCTCACTTCACCTGCCGCTCTTTGACTATCGGAAACTGGCGCCGCATTGGCCAAAATGCGATGGATCTTGTCATCTTCTATTCGCCCGACAAGGCCTGCATGACGTACTATATCAACAATGACGCTGCTGGATATAAAATCGAGTACCCTTTTGCCTATATCAAGAACATTACCTTGGAAACTGGTGATTCTGTCCCGGGGCCGAATGGCGCGCCGCCCCGACCCGGTGGCCTTGTTGTGGAGCTGAACCGTCCGCCACTGTTCTACATGGACTCCTCCAACTCTGGCGGATTCTACCAGTGCGGCGACTTCACGGAAGAGCAGCAAGCCAGTCGTATTATGGTGCACCATCTCGGTGGCCACCCGAAAGTCCTGAGCGTCCAGTTGGCCAAACTGGTCTCGCTCGAGTCCTTCCAGAACCGACTGGCATACAACAACGGCAGCAACAACAACAACAATTCCATCACGATGCAGGGGCCGATGTCGCCACCGTTTATTCAACGTCCGGCTTCCCAACCCAATCACTTTGCCAATGCTGCCCCCTTCCCAGGCATGTATCATGACACCCATCATTTGGGTCTCATGATGCCCCCTGCTGCGCGCGGTCATAAGCGCCAACGAAGCCGTTCCGTGCCCGCAGCGATTGACCTTTCGGCCCTTCAAGGCCCGACCTCTTCGTACCATTTCCCGCAGACCCCAGCTGCCTTCAGCCATGCTGATACTGGCATCTACGCACCGGTTCCTCAATCCATGCACGCTCTTCCTACAGACCTGCGTCTCGAGACTGATAGCTACGGGCTCGAGTTCCGGAACCCCATGTCCGCAGCGACGACTGCATCTCCTGATTTCGCGAGCCCGTCCATGTTTAGCACTACTGCACAGGGAGAATCAACACCTGTTGCCAGCATGGCTCCGTCTTTCAACGTGTCGTACGTCTCTTCCGGGCCGAATGACAATTCCACCCTGGGCTCTCACACGGCGTCTCCGTACTCCAGTGTGAGCCCTGCAGATCCGTTGATTGCGGACCACTCGCCTCCCCTGTCGAACATGTCGCACACTTCGTCTGATGTGTACGGTTTCACGCATGACCAACAGTCACCGTTCGTTGACGATGGCATCTCGATGAACGACATGTATTCCAAGCAGCAAGTCAACTTTGGTGTGTCGCAAGATGCCCCCAGTTTCGACCTGCCCATGCATGGGTTCACCGGGCACCCCTCGCCTGCACTGGGTGACTACTCCCACCAGAACATGGGCAATCTCGATGATGTGAACTCACACGGCATGCCCTCTGGGTCCTGAACGATGCTTTTGTCTTCTTGATCTTATCATTAGTGGCGCGTGGAGTGCTCGGGGCGCTTGGTGGTGCATGGGACCTCAATTTGAATCACCGCGTCGTCCGATGGGACCCCTATCGCCCGGTTTGGATACAACTCAAAACCTGGTCTTCTCATCCGACAAATCGCCCCCGTTGGCGGTGACCGGCTCGATTTGGTCTTCTCTTTTGTGTGTGTTTTTTTCTTTTTGTGTGGTTTTCGTGACATATATTCCCCTCTTGTGTCTGGTTGGTGTATTAATACCCTTTTTTTTTCCTTCTTTCTGGGGCCGGTCCTGAAGCGTTTTGACTTTTTTTTTATATCCATGTATTCCCAGATACTCTGGTTGAATCATGGATCTTTCTTCCTCCCTGCTCGTCTATTTCGGTGTCAGGTTTTCTCACTTTTTTGACTTCATTTTCATTTTCATTTACGTGACTATGCCAAGCAGCCCGCTCAGGGCTGCGAGACTATTTCTTCCGCTGTCATTTTTTTCCTTGTGTTTGGTGATTTATTTGAGGAACTCCAACCCTCCCGAGATTGTGATGATCCTTCTTCTCGCCATGGGCCTTTTCGGCCCTTCTCCTCACGCAGACTGCCCTGTTTGCGGCCTCGGCGCGACCCTTGACCCAAGGTGGCGCGCTCGCGGACGAGTGATGTCGTCCGCGCCCCCGGCCTCAGAATCCGGATGGAGATGCAGGGCAGACTATAAACGGGCGTGTGGGATTTACATAGGCTGCATCAATTCATTTGTATCATTTGAAACTACCAGTAGTCCCGCCGAATAGTGTACACGCTTGGTATCTTAACAATCTATGCAGTAGGTATTATACACTTCACTCCTTCATTCATTCATCCCACCCGCTCGGCGCCGGCGCTGTATACCCCTTCGACTCCCTCAGATACCTCTCCACCCAAACCTCCATCCTCTCCAAAAGATTCCTGGTCGCCTTCCCTTCCTCCCCAGGCTCAAACACACCCTCCTTGCACCACACACTCCAGCTCCCCATCATGCCCGCCATAAGCACATCAGTACCCAACCGATCCCCCACGACCGCAATCTCATTCGGCGACTTTATCACCTCCCTCTCACGAAACCACTTCACAACCTCCTCCCCGCAAAACGGCTTCTTCTCGGTTCCCGCTGGAAGTCGAAACACGGGGATGGGGATACCCTGGTGCGACAACTGGGTTTCTAGCTCATGCACTTCGGACTCGAACGAGGGGTGGCTTCCGGCGCGGTTGGACACGATCAAGATCGCGTGTGGGTGTTTGAAGGCCGAGGTGGGTGAGTTGCGGAGGGAGTGTAGTTTGGTGAGGATTTGGGGCGGGAAGGTTGTTGTTTTCGGGGGGCAGAGCGTGTTGTCTTTGTCGAGGACTAGGGCGCGGATTGTGGGTGTTTTTGTATTCTTGGACGAGGGATTGACCAGGTGGGCGCCGAGGTTCTCTTCGGGGAGGTAGGTGAGTGTGGGGATGGTGAGGTGTGGGAGGAATTGGGAGGGTTGTTTGAGGAGGGTGTGCACGGCGTGGTTGAAGCCACGGAGGTTGGTGTTGGGGGTGGCCATATCCAGTCCGTGTCGTTGTCGTTGTAGAAACCTACAGTTCAGGTGTAGACTTGGTGATGGGGATAAGTCAGTGACTAAAGCGGAAACGGGCCAAGCGCAAAACTCGCGCCCTTCGATTTCCACCGCAACTCACTCACCTCATTATTCCCTCCGCCACCTAACGCCTTCCCTTCTCCTTCTCGACAGCCACAGCGGTCAATATTAACGAGGACCGGCTTTTCGAATACATTCTGATTGAATTCCCTCCCTCTCTCGTTTTCCCTTCCCACACACCGCCACCACCACCATGGGCAAGCTCACCAGCACGATCGGCATCCCGATCAAGCTCCTCAACGAAGCACAGGTGCGTCCGCTGTCCTTCCCCAGAGCCAGGTTACACACCACTAACCCTCTAAACCCTTTTCTGTAGGGCCATGTCGTCACGCTCGAAATCACATCCGGCGTCGTCTACCGCGGGAAGCTCCTCGAAGCCGAAGACAACATGAACGTCCAGCTCAAGGATATCACCGTCACCGCGCGCGATGGCCGTGTTTCGCATCTCGATCAGGTTTATATTCGGGGCAGTCATGTGCGCTTCTTCATCGTGCCGGATATGTTGAGGTGAGTTGAGCGTGGTTCTTTTTTCCTGTCGGATTTGCAATTGCAATTGCCTTTGCCTTTTCTTTCCTTTCCTTCCTTTCTTTCTGGATCTGCTTGCTAACGTCCTCTTCTCTATCTGCAGAAACGCTCCCATGTTCCGCTCACGAGGCCAGCGCGGGCGCGGTGTCGGGTTGGCGCGTGGAAAGGCCACGGTGCAACGCGCGCGTGCCGGCGGGCGTGGACGGTAAATCCGGTTGCTGGGGATGGAATAAGAACTTGTTTCACGTGGTCGGCGTTTTTTGACCTTGTTTTTCTCTTCTTCGTCTGGTTCGTGGGGTCATAAATATTCTCAGGCTTCCTTTCTTTCTATCTTGCTGGACTGGCTGCTCGGCTCTGTGCGGTCAGGCGTGGATACCACCGAAGTATTAGTTATCTATCAAATCAGAAGACATCCTTGAAGAAGAGTATCCGTGCAGATTGTGGCAATCGATAGCTTGGGCGTAGTTAATATATTGTATGTGTTGCGCCTCTCCGCAACTTCTGCGGGGACAAATCTTCCCTTCTTCATCCACACCTTGACTGCAACCGTGATATGGTCACTTCCTTACAACTAACCGCCGGTAAATGAACCTCATCCTCGAGAGCCCTGCTGCACTCTTCCACCACCGATAATGGCCTCCGCGCCATCGCCCGCCCCGTCCCCCGCGAAGCCCACCAAGCAAGTCCGCCACATCGCCAACCCACGCCGACTGCTCATCCTCTCGCCAACCTCGCAATCCGTCTCAGTCATCCCACCACTCCTACACTCCCTAACCGGCGTGCCTGTCCAAGATCCTCCTCAAAAGCAGACCTCCTCATCCTCCACTGCCGACTCCTCAACCCCGCCACCACCTAGCACCGACGCCACAACCACCACCTTCGCGGGATATACAACGCACAGCCCACTCAAAATCCAATCAAAGTACTACACCGCTGAAATACCCGTCTGGGTCGATGAGATCCCAATCGCAACAGAAGCACCAGGTACTGTCGCCACAGACACAACCCCTCCCACGGCTGAGCAGTGGCGCACCGAGTTCCTAAGCGCAGAAGCCGAGATCGTCCGCGAAGCTGTCGGCGCGTTAGTGGTTTGCGTGCGCAGTCCGCGCGATACCCCGTCCGAACCACAACCCGACACAGATGGGAATGATGATCCGGCGGAGCGCAAAGATGTGCGCGCGTTGAGGGACTTGATGCGCGGCGTTGGCGCTGTCAAAGAGCGCATTGATGAAGAGCGCGGTGGGATTGGTGATGTGCCTGGTGTTTTTGTGTTGGTTGGTTCGAGACAGAGGGCCTTGAAGGTGGCGCAGACTGCTGATCCTTCTGATGATCTGGGCCTACGGGATGACGAGGATGAGCTGAGAGATGGGGGTGATGATGATGCCCCGTTCTCAGTTGGGTGGTGGGAAGACCAGCTGTTTGATATGGGGTTGTTGGGATGGGAGGTTGTCGAGTGGGATCCGCGAGAGCAAAATCTGGAGCCGACGAGGAATCGCTTTGGAGGTATGCACACATTGGTCGTCATTAGGATGCAGCTGATTTATTTTGTGTTTGGTAGAGTACGAGGGCATGCCTCGCATCAAGGAAGTCCTTGAGACACACGACTGGACGTCCTCGGTGGATGCGCCTGATCCAGACGCCGAAGTTGATCTGGACTTTGACGACGATGAATTCGGTCCGACAGTCGGGTTTGATAATGAAGTCCATGAACTGGAGCGTGAGATGTTTGGTCTCCGGATGGCAATTGAGCGAGGCGGCGGAGACGGAGATGCAGACGAAAATGAGCTTGACCACGAAGATGAGCATGGTGAGATCAAGGTTGAATCTATGGAGGCGCTGATGATGCGCATGAGAGCTATCCGGGGTACGTTATGACCACGGCATGATATTCTCAGACTCACTAATATTGTCTTTAGATATGAGCTCCGATCTACCGGAGCACGAGCGAAAGCGATTCGCTGCGAAGGCTGTGCAGGATATCATGCGGGAACTATGAAGTTATTTATGTGAGAAATTCTATAGACAGCTGCTTTACTCTACTACCAAATATCATCGTCCCAGTCAGCACTAGAACTGGATAGACACTATGATTACAATGGACGAATCCATATTTTGAACCGAAGTTCGTTCTCCATGCCCACACCACGTCCGCCATTCCTGATTTAGTTCGCCTTGTTCTTCCCACGCAGAACCTTGCGTCTCTGCGCAATCATGTGCGTGTACAGGATATACGACCCTGAGCAAGAAAATTAGCCACCGCGAAAGATCAATTGCACCGAAGACAAAAACATACCGGGCACGTAGATAATGAGGATGACGGTAAGGGCGTACGGAAAGACCGGGCTGATATTCGCCGCAGGCGCGAGAGCCTGGAAGATGAGGGTGCACTCGCTCGAGATACCGATTGGGTAGAGCACGTAGAAGGTGTTATACCTAGAGAAGAATGAGCACGCTACTCAATTGACCAACCACAGTCCGCAAACTCAACTCACCTTAACCAAGTCCACCACTCCGGCACCGTATTCCCGGAAAGCGTAATAGCAAAGAACCCATACCGAATCACCTCGGTAACACCCCAAGCTGCCACACAGCCTAGATACGCATAGTCGCCCAGCTGCGCCTTGCGCGACGCCGCACCGAGGATGTCTCCGCCGAAGGGGTACATGATGCCCCAGACCAGCAGCAGCCGACTAGCAACTTGCATGGCGGTCGTCATGAGCGGTGCTCGCACCAGGCCCGCTAGACTGTGAAGGATCTCTAGGATTGCGAGCGATTGCGTTGCCAACAGGAGGGGAGAATAGGTGCGGTTGAAGATTGTTGGTAGGTCAGTGCCGGAGAGGAGGAGGTTGGCGGAGTAGATGACGCAGGTGCCCCATGTTGCTAGGTTGAGGGTGTTGTAGGCGAGGAGGTAAGTTTTGGTGAGGCCTGATGGACCTGAGGGGGAGGACTTGGGAGGCATGGTGTTTGGTGGTGGTGGTGGTGGTGTCAACAAGAGATTATTCGCGTTCTTGCAGAAAAGGGTCACGCTGACATAATCATTCTAGAAGGCTACTCGAAGTAGTGGGGGATCATCTGGGGTTGGGCTTTTGAATGTTGCTATTACTAATATGATTATTATTCTGATCGTTTCTGGGAGTTCTAGAACTAGTGAAAAGTAGTGCGGTTGCCCGAGTTATATCCGTATGAACGGACCCGATTGGACAAGTCGAGAGGGCTGAAAGGGAGGGCATTGTATGGACGGCCCAGATTTAGCGTACTGCACGATGGACATGGTGTCCCGGCTAGATGGCCACTAGCCTCATCAGGGAGATAGCAAACAATGGCTACTCCGTAGTGGGGTCATTGTGGCCAAGGTAAAAAAAAAATAGACATTATTATCGATGTAGTCGTTGGATGGATGCCACAGACGGTAAGCAGCAGCACTAAGAGCACACCAAAGTTAGACTTGTCAGGGCTCACGCTAAATCTGCCGGCAACTCCGCACAGACGCTGCGGACGACAACCTTTAGAGATCGAGTATTCTTTGGGTGTTGATCATTGGCGGTTCGGTCACACTCCTGACGACAGTCCTAACACCGACAGTCGGAGACTGTACGACCGGGATGATATCTCGCCCCAAACTCCTGGTGTCGGACAGGCTGTACCAGCAGAACACACTCTCATGCAGGTTGACATCATAGGTCCGCAATGATGTCGTTCTGCATTTTCTCGAAGAAAATCAATGTTGATGCCATCCATGTCTACGATTGCCTGCTAATAGGATCGGGGTGCTTTTTCCATGAATGAGTCTACGACAGTATAAAAGAATCCGTACACTGCTCGGCCACAATGGCTCTTGCATCAGCGGCTGCTTGGCCCGCGTGTTCCACTATGACATCATGGCTGATATTCGTCGCTAGGATTGGTCGCATCCACGTCGGCCAAACCAGCAACGCAAGGAAGAAAAGATCCCCAGCCTCATATATAACTCAGGGTCCATGGGCGAGCATCGGAGGCGTTGCTCGTGAGAATTTTCTGTTCTTTTGCAAACAGAGTCACGCTGTCTTCCTCAATTGATTGACATTATAGTCTACCGACCAGCCAGCGCATTTTGGTTTCCTCCCCGACACAGACCCGAAAAACCAAAGAAAGTGTCCACTCCATCGTCATCGGTGAGAGCATAATCCCTTGTGTCTTAGCCCAGCGCTGTCTAGCGCCCCTCCCCGCAATAAAAAAAATTAATAGGAAAGGCCCCCTGGTTGCCGTGCCCTTGACTGACCCCTTCCAGCGTCGGCTGTCGCAGAGTAATACGTCACAACCAAGGGAAGAAGATGCAACAACGGCGAAAAGCACATTCTTGTTCAATCGAGTACACGGTCCCCGAGGGCCCAGACCCTTCGTCAAACCGGGTCGTGCCCGGTTGCAGTCCAATACATTCTTCCCTCCCCGCCCTTGGACGGGGCAGGGCAAGGCTGGGTCAGGTAAAATAGGTCTGCTGTTGTGCGAGCTGGACTGACTGCAGTTCTGTCGCCACTTTTTTTCTGGTTTAAACCAAGGGAAAAAAAAAAGCAAAGTGTATCCAACCGGTCGTTTAACTTACCGCTGCCTGGACCAGGTGGAGATGTCCCCGTTTCTCATGCTCGCTAACCACCGGTTCGACTGGGTCTGGACAGGATGAGCACGGATGGTTTCCACGTGTGGTACGCAGCGCAGAACCTGGGCGAGTGACGTCCCTGGCGCTGGGATCGGCGGCCCCAATGATGTCGTGCCCGCGGCATGTTCCCCCTGCCAGATCTCATTTTCATGGCTAGCAGGTTGAGTCCGCGGAGGTATTATTATTATTGTAGCCTCGTGGGGTGTCCTATTTCGGGGCCAGAGTGACCCCTCACCTCGCGGCGGTTTTGCTGGGAAGCAGACTGTAGTTCCACTGGTTCAGCGCATGGTGCCCGGAAGGGAAACGGAGGCCCTGATCATCGCAGGCCTCTGGTTCTCTCCTCAGGCCCCTTTCTCGGTGGTGGAGCATCCAGCCTGAGGATTGTATCAGAACTGACCGACAGTACTGTAATGGAAACAGACAAAAGTCATGGGTAGGCCAGGCTGGGAGCATGAGACGAAATGCCCGATTTAGAGGCCGAGCCAGCCGGAAGGGAAAACTATCTGGCGGAGTCCAGCCAATTTACACATTTTGGGAGACCCCATGGAGATAGATAGATCAAAGGAGGATTGGATGTATGTAGTTGAGTGTCCAGAGTGATAAGTAACTAATCGGCTAAGTTAACTAGGCGGATTATCAATACGGGAATTCTGTCATTTTGACGCGCCCCTCCACTTCTTCCCTTTTCTCTTTTTCCCTGCTCTTTTCTTTCCCCTAGCTATTAACTAATCCATCCCTGCCCTGCTATCTCCACTAGTTCCTTCGCTGTGAGTGCCGACTGTTCTCCTCCTGCCTTACCCACTCAAATCCAACACTTCCCCCCCTCCCTTCTTCACTTCCACTCTTTGATCCCCCCTCCCCTGTCCTGTCTTTTTTCTTTTGTCTTCTTTTTTGGTTCTCTTCCTTTACCGCCTCCTGGTTCCCCGGGCCAACTGATACCCCCGGCGTTGCTTGTGAACTGAAGCTCCGACGCAGCTTCGAGGGGATTCTGAAAAATAAAAAAAAAGGTGGGTTGAACAAACCCTGACTGACGGACTACTGCCCCTCCTTCTACACCTTCTCCTACGCGCGATACCCGATTGATTGATTCGCTCTTTTTCCTTGTTCCTTCGTTTCCTTTCTGCTGCCTGTGCGTTCATCCCGCACTCAATAATCCCCCGCTACCGTCTCCGGTGCCTGTCCGTGCCTCCCGTGGAAAGTGCATGATACACTATTTCACTCCCACTCTCTCTCTCCTCCAATTAGCAATTTTCTTTTCCCTTGTCCCCTTCTTCGTCTTCACCAACCACCCTGCCCCTACCCCCTACGTGCCGCTTCTCACACAGTAAGCGCTCGCTTCCCTTCCTATCCGCCCTGACAGTCAGTCGATGCATTCTTCCCTGTCGGGCACGATGCAAGAGTCATCTTATCAATCTGCATCATGCACTCCCCTGCTTCGTCGTCATCTTCTTGCCTCTCCTTGCCTTACTGTGTAATCCCCCTGTGTATAAGGCAGATCGTCCACAAAACCCATAGTACTGCGACAGATCGGTACGCCCTGGTCGATCTTATTCTTCCTATTTGTGTGCTTGTTATGATCGATCTCAAAGCAATATGGACTGCGGCTAACGGAGATCCAAAGCAGACCAGGCCATTCGGCTCTAAGACTGGCAAGGCCAAATCCGGTGCTCAAAAACAAGTGTGAAAAGTCGCTTTGCAATTCTCAACTCACAACATGCCTCCTGCCGACACCAAGAAGGCAGAGGACCCTGTAGGTCTTTGTGTTGGCATCCTATAAATCCAGACTAACATCCATGCACAGGCCAAGAAGCAGGGTCCGCCCAAGCTGTCAGATGTCAAAGATATCATCGATGAGAGCACCTTTGAGCAGATCCTCGAGATGGATGATGAGGACGACCGTGATTTCAGCAAGGGCATTGTCTATGGTTTCTTTGACCAGGCTAAGTCCACATTTAAGAAAATGGAGGATGAACTGTATGTGTTGTGTTATCCTCTTTTTTCTGAAATCACCTCTAACTCGCCCAACAGGAAGAAAAAGAACCTTAAGGAACTTTCTTCTCTCGGCCACTTTCTCAAGGGCTCATCTGCTACCCTGGGCCTGACCAAGGTCAAGGATTCCTGTGAGAAGATCCAACACTACGGCGCCGGCAAGGACGAGGCCGGAGTCGTCGACGAGCCCGACAATGAGGTCTCCCTGAAGCACATCCAGTCCACTCTCACAGATGTCAAGGCCGATTACACGGAAGTCGAGAAGTTCTTGCGCCGATTCTATGGGGAAGAGGTGAAGCCCGAAGATGAACAAAAGGAGCAGAAGGAGACAAAGAAGGAGGAGGAGCCCACCACCACCAAGAAGGAGGAGAAAGAGACTAAGAAATAGTCGTGGACCACGCGAGACGGTTTGATTTCTCACCTTTCCATTTTCCTTTTCCTTTACTTCAAGCGCAGGATGGAGCATTGCGATGGCTTTTTCTGGTTTCTGGTTTTTTTGACGTACATACAATCCCGCAATCCCCCCTTCCCTTCTCCAACCTCTCGAAAGGGGCCCTTTTTTTTCTTTCTTTCTGGTTCTGCCATTTGAGGCAGATCTGAAGAAATCGCAACGAGACTTACACCCCCCAAATGCCGAGGAGACTACAGAGTACCAAAGATACGGAAATCCGAGCGTCTCTGTCTAGCTATGCTGCTTCTGTGCTGTGCCTCCTAGAAAACGAGTACATATCGGTAGGTCCAAAACGCCCACGCTGCCGTATATTTGGCTGGAATAGCCGCCGTAAACCCAGGTGCCGCGTTAAACTCACGCCCAGCCCAAGATCAACACCGCGAGGCGTCGATTGGCGCTCCCTGCAAAGCTTCCTTCGGCGCCACTTGCATGAGGCTCAAGTGCGCCCCGATAAGCTTGAATCGACTTGCCCCGGATCGAGAGATAAGGCACACGACCTGCACAATCGAAGCTAGTAGTCGATCGCAGGAGCCGATCGTCCCGACCTAGTCGCCTTCATGGTAATGCTGCTGAATACATACATCCATGGACGTAATAGATATCCTCAATATGCTCACATGATCTGTCCGCTCTACCGCTCTACCGTCTTTTACTGGACTTCCCCCGGGGAGAGCACATAAAGCCGCAGGCAACAAACGCACCTCCAAACTGACAGTTGACATTCGGCCTAGAAATTGAGATCCGCCTTGCATTCTTGAAAACGGGTGTCGGGAACTTGCAGTGGCCAGAGCTCCTTCCTAGTATCTTTTCTCGGCTCGAGTTTTGGACTGCTCCTCTTCTCTTTAACAGTGTCACGGCAGTCTGTCTGGGAACAACAACGGCGAGGACGGGACTGTGCAGAACTAGGAACAGATTCTGGATACCCGCTCTCCGAACGAACGACTCAAGTCTTTTCTTGCGGTCTTTTTCTTGGTTGTTAATTGACACAGGGGCAAGTACCTGGTTTCAGGACAATAGAGAAGACGATCCAATCTCTTATCCGAATCTGTGTACGACACAGACAGATTTGAAGTGACTTTGATTTATTTGGCTTTGCTTCCTGTCCCACGCGGCTCTGCGGCCGTGAGCTACGAGACAAACGAGCCACCTACCTAGAGTCGAGTCAAGCCGTGCTTTCCCACACCGAGAACTGTACAAAGATAACGGACGTGCAGTGCTGAAATGCAGGCAGGAGCAAGTGGGCAGTTTTGGCTGGAGGTATTGCCTCTTATTGCAACCTGGCCTGGCGGCGGGTCGGGCGCCTTGTTGCACTACAGCTCCAACGGGCCTCGTTTTTTTATTGCGCAGCTGGATGCCTTGGCAGCACCACCGGACAGGCGCATTTTTCTATTCTCATTCCTGTTGTTCCTGTTGTTTCCAGGAAGACTCTGGCAAAGTCTGGAATGTTTAGCAAGGCTCGACTTCGTGGTCAGCGTACACTGCTGAAAGTGATATACATATATACAGCTGCAGGTATCTGCACTCAAGAGTCAAGTTTGGAATTAGAATTCCTAATTTCGGATATGCACTTGCCCGTATCCACGGTTCGGAGTCATCCCTAGCCCAGTCAGTCAAGATATCCATCGAATTGCTTGCACTATACCTATCATCTTACAGACACAGAATCGATGCCCATCTAGCCTCGACGAATGATTCAGCATGCATGCACGCAGACATATATCTGTCTGTCGTCTGTCTGTCTCGGCTAGCAGACTCGACTCTCTTCAGCGGGCTCCGTCAACAGCCAGCGTGCCTTGCGCGACGTCGCTCAGTCCTCGACCCCGTCTTCCTGACTGCCAGTTGGGTCCTCTGTTTGTTTCGTCCGGATGAAGACACGCTTTCCTATCCCTCTGTAGTAAACCGTTTGTCTCCAAGAGCAAGAAAAGGGTCCCAAGGAATTAGTCCTTGCTAAATCTACTCGGAGCTCTCATTGGTCTGGCGTGTGCAGCTGTGCCAGGGTTGGAAGCTGAGAGACGCGGGCGTGGTTGGCGAACAGGCGCATATTGTACAACCCTGCTCCATACAGAGACCCGCGAATATCCTCCCATCGACATCCGGATTCGGTCTACAGGCCCTCCCTCCCTGCAGACAAGCTCTATAATTCCCTCTTTCCCCGCTCCTCTGCACCCTGCCCTGCCGTGCTGGTACATGCATATACAACCAAGCGCACCAAAAGCAGGAGAGCTCGAGCAGCTGTCACATCCAGCAGCCTCGACAAGACAAAACCTAGTTGCTTTCCCGGCTGGCGCGCGTCTGCTCCTGGCACGGCCCTCTTCCGCCTGATTGCGCCTGGCCGCGTGCTGTGTTGGCGAGCTAGACCCATCCATTCGTTCGTTGTTGATACGATACGCCCCTGCTCCATCCAGGATCTCGGAGAAGCGATCCGATTGCTGGCCTATTCCCCGATAGCTCCCTTCGCAAGCAAGCCCTGGCCACCACCCACTGGTGGTGACGGCCTCGTGCAAGCAGACTGAACAACGGCCGTTGGTGGGGTCAGGCCGGGGAACTAATGGCCTCGCCGTTGGTCCTTGTTTGAATGCGGTGCCGTCGTCGCTGGATGGATATAAAGTCCTGCTTCTTGATCGACTGATCGACTTTGTCTACACCTCTCAAGTATTTCGATATATTGCAAGCATCGAGTAGCATCCTGCTCAAGCACTTGCCCATATTCTTTATATCATTCCGCACACCTCATCTCTATATTCCTTCGATCCAGCCAGCGCCATGGCCGTCGGCCCGCGAGTTTCCAAAGAAGAATTCATGCACGCACTGGTGCTAGATCCTCGCGACTCGCAGCATGAACAGTACTACCGAGCCATGCGAGTGAGTAACCACCATTCTAGATTTGGACTGTACACCTATATGCGATCCTTCCTTCCCTTTCTATCTCTACCCAATCTCCACAGACTTCAAACTAACAATTTCCAGGATGAAGCAATCATGGTCTACAACCGCATGAACCAAGACACAACGCACCTGCTAGACAGCGTGGCCGCCGATCCAGCCACTCGCCCGCCCTTCTTCTGGCACCATATTCGACCAGAGCGTCAGCGCTGGGCTATCCTAGAGATCTGGCGCAATGCGGGCCCACTGACTCGCCCACTGTTTGACCGCGGTGGAACTAATGGCGAGTACGGGCCCAACTGGGTCGCTGGGTGGTTGCTGTACAGCGTGTTTCGGTCGCGGGATGTGAGGAATAATCGGAATCGGAGAAAAGGGGAGAGTCATGCCTGTGATGGTGAGTTTTCTGGCTTTCTGAATTATTTGAATTATATGCTCTTGCTGATATGGTCTCGATCGTAGACAAGCGGTCTAAACAAGTCGAAGGGGCACCGCCTCCTCCGAAGAAGTATTACGATCCAGTGCGGAATGGGACGCTCTAAGGTGGTGGAGGGGTTTTCAATTCTAATTTGTCTATTTTTCGCTTATTTTTTGGTATCGCTTGATGAAGTGCGTAGGTATTGCTTTGGGGTAACTGAAAGCCAGAAATTTAATGCCAATTGCCTGCCCACGTCTGAGCCCAGTTACAAGTAAGCTCTGTAGTCGGAGCTTGGGTATGACTGTATAGCGAAATTGAAATGACTGCTATGAGGTGCGATGCGATTCAAATGGACACACGCTCCATGTCTACCGAAACAAAAACATCCACGTGAAGAGAAGGGTGTAATCGTACAATCCCCTAATCAGTCGTCGTCCCCGCCGTCTTTGCCGTCTTTACCGTCTTTGCCATCTTTGCCATTACTTTTGCCGTTCTTGTGGCGTCGTTCCGACCTCAGAGCCTCAGTAACTGACTCATCATGCTCGTCGGCACGCTCATTCCACTCGGCGTCGTACTCGGCTGCAATGCTCTTTATTTCGCGACGGAGTGCGTTGCCCTCGTCAATCAGAGATTCCCATAATTGAAGGTCGACATTGTGCAGCTGGTAAAGTTTGTTCTGCCGGGCGCTGATGGTGAAATCAAGCGCGGATCGGTACGAGATCTCTCGATTATGGTATAAAAACCACAGGTAGCCGCCCATCAGCGTGGACAAGCTGACCAGGTAGGTGACTGGTTCCATAGTATCCCAGCCCAGATCCGTCTCGAAGGTCAATCTGTACACTATGTACCACCACGTCGACAGTATCCCGAACCCGCCAATAGCCACGCGTTGCGCGCCGCGGTGAGCAAGCGTATCACATTCGTGCTTGATCTCGGCAATGCCCTTAATTCGCCGTGAGAGCTTGCGCAGCCGCATGCGAAGAAAATGGGTGCGCTCGCTAAACGACGGAACTCCAATTCGGATCTGACCCAGTCCGGATGGAGCCCCTTCTATCGTGACGATGAATTCGCGTGCCCGCGCTGCGTCGCGGATGAAGTCTCCCACCTCTGTAGCTTGGGACCACCGCACAAAGCGTTCGGCTTCGGCTTCGTCGGAGTTGGTCCTGCGCGGATAGCTGTATGTCTCTGCATCTTCTTCTCTGGATCTTCGTCGGCGCTCTGCAGGTACTCCACTCCCAGGGTGCTTCTCGCTGTCGAGAATATCCTCATTCAACTCTGCGTCGTGTTGTCCGGCATCTATATCCATGTCTCCTGGAATCTTCTTCTTTGGTTTGATTGCACTGTCGTCATGCTGCAATACAATAAACGAAATTGCTGGTGCTCGTGGTTTCCCATGCTCGCCCTTGATTGGTGGCAGTTCTGACTGAATTAGCCGCTCCAAATACGAGAGCGGCTGTTGAGGATGCACCAAAATAGCTATGGGTTCAACCCCTACATGGAAGTTAGCATACTGCAGTACAGCTCACGCATAAAGTGGATATTCACCTTGACCATGGTTTTGGTTGCCAATGGTATTTAACGGAATGATCAATTTGAAAAGCCGCGATGGTGTCGTCAACAATTTCCCTGTTGGTGATCAGAAAGTATCAAGTCTAGATACAACGAGCCCACTTACCCTTGCTCATACTGTGAGGTTGTTTGTCGGATTCCAAGGTGGACTGCGACCTTTTGCCCTCTTCATTCAACACCTGCCGCTGTGGTCGAGTGTCTTCCTCATCCTCCTTGGTCTCAAAGCGCTGAAGAATCTCTTCCGTTTTGCGGCTGTCGGTGGCCTTGGTACAGTTTATCTTCCTAAAGAAACGGGTTTGGTGCATTCCGTTGCGCATATATCGACCTTCTGCCACCATCTCAAGAGATGCTCTAGATGGGCTGGCTGACACCAATAGTGTTCGCACCCCTGAAAGTCGAGGATGTGAGCGACCTCCATTCTGGGCTAGGCAGTGTATCTGCCGGAGAGAAGATGAATGACCAAGTCCAGTCGCATTATTCAGTGCAATCGACCGCAAGCCCCGTGGTGGCGGGTATACTCTGACACCCGGCTGCCACACTCGGCCAGCTGCTGTCCCCGAAAGCGAGCTGGCGCTCCGTACCCAAGGAAGCATGGTTGGATGCTAAGCTCGAAGGACGCTCTATGTCTCAGCTGTGTCTTTTCGAAGATAGAGGCATGGTTCGATGAGTGAAATCGTGGACGGTTTAGAATGGTTTCAGGTCATTTTATGCGACACGTTCCCTGTTGTTTGAATATGATGTGGCAGGCTCAACCAATTAGGTGTGGCCATCCTTGCAAGCGCATCTCAACCTCCCTGCCTTGCTTGGATAAATCCGTCTGACGTCAGTGTGGCGCACGTTGTGGCGGTGCTCGCTTCGGGAGCTATCTCCTCCGTGCAGGGATTTGAGACATGAAACCGTCGTTATTTTGGTGTGTTTACTAAAATCATTCGATTTTGCATACATATTAAATAAAACAAACGTCCTATAGTATGGTTTACCCTCTTCAGTGATCACGCGACTCAACTATCCCAAACATAAATACCTCCCTGATCCTGCACCTCAGTCTCCAAACTGACAAGGCTATTCATATTGTGCTGTCTCATTTTTGCACCAGTCCCAAAACGCGGCAGCGACCCCGGTACCACCTTCTTCCCGGCTCTTCATAGCATCCACTAAATCTTTCCTCGGGACATGTAGTCTGCCCCATGGGATGACATATGAGCCATTCTGTTCCGGTTGGATATCGGGTGACAAGCCGGCGTATAGTTCAGTAAAGGCACCAAACTTGGGATGATGGAGCAACCATCCCTGTTAGAATGCCAATGGCATTCAAAATTAGCCCTATCATCATTTGGTAAACATTGTAGGGAATCTTACGGTCAGGGCGTTCGTAATAGTCCCCATATGTCTTTGCAAAGGACTCTTCAGGTTGCCAGGATTGAACGCAACATGAACGACTCCTTCGCTTTGAGTCCTTTTAGCGAATTCTGAGGCCAAAAACATGTTTCCGGTTTTGCTCTGGGAATATTTGTCTCGCTGACTTCCGTCTTTTTTCGACCATGTGATATTCTCCATATCAATTCCACCGGAGGGGGCACCCAAATCGATCGCTAATGATCCGGCCCAGGCTACCCGCACGGAGCCTTTTGGCTCAGTAGCTGCGGTTCGTTGAAGGATTGGCAGTAATTTTTGGGTGAAGAGGAAAGGAGCCAGGCAATTTGTGCCCATTTGAAGTTCATAGCCCTAATGCCACATACATGTCAGTTTAAGGAAGAAAACCATATCCCTGATCTCAGGGTGTATGCATCCTAAATTATCTGATCGATAACTCACCTGCTTCGTTTTGCTCCCCGCTGGCGGTACCATGACGCCGGCATTGTTCCAAAGCACATCCAGTCGGGTTTCATTTGCCATGAACTCTTCGGCGGACTTCTTTATTCCCGATAGATCGTCCAAGTCCAAGTGAAGAAACTTCACCTTGCCACTGGAGCTCGGGTGCTCTGCCTCGCACCATGAAATAGTATCCCGAGCCTTGGGCTCGGATCGTGCAGCAACATACACGGTACCATTTTTTGCAAACAGGATGTTGACTAGCTCACGGCCCACTCCAGAAGCTCCGCCGGTGACAATGAATACCTGCGAAATCCCAGTCAGAAACCAGTCTAAGATAATTGTCTGCATTAACACACCTTTCCAGACAGGTCTCCACATTCCTTGTCCGTGAACTTCGGCGCGGGAGGGTAGGACTGACTCCAGACTGACATGGCTGCTGTGAAAGTAAGGAATCGATGATGAAATAAGAATTGAGGAGAAGTCGGGCGAACCAAATATTTATTACCGAAAAACCAAACCGAGAACGGCGTTGATATTCAGTGGCGACTCCGCGTGAACCCGCCCCACCCAAGCTCGCAAGCTTGTTCCTCGGTCGCGGCCACACTTGGTACCCGGCCGCCGTTTTCGCTTTTACACAATAACTTTGACGAAGGCTGCGGACTTCCCACATTATTATTCTGTAAGGGATTTTGGTTTATAATTGGCCAATCTTGTCGGGCGAGTTATAACATCGCGACGATGACAATTGAAGGTCGCGATTCTGTCAAACCATTCGAGTCGTCACATGGAACTACTCCGTCTCTTCTGGAACTTATCACGTCAACCTCCACCAATGGAGACATGGAGTATAGTTCCCAGGCGCTCTGTCTCAGATGACTGACTCTTCTTCCCGAGCAAGTTCAAAGTCATCTTTGGCTGACATATTCCAGTTTTTTGATGAAACTGACAGGCCAACATTCATGCGACTCCTTCGTCAAGAACAAGGACGACTTGGATACACACGGATGCTCTCCTTCGAGAATCTACTCAGCATATTATTCAACTGATGAAGGTTGCTAACTCCCGTGTCGTTGAATTTGCATTATTTCTTGAGGAAGTTTCAAAGACGAGAATGGATAATATGTCACCATTCGTTCTGCCTTGCATATACCAGTGCGCCCATTCACTCTCTTGGCTGGTTGGAGAATCTACCGAAGAAGGTTATGCAATGGGTTTGTCTGTCTGTAAAAGAACCCTCCGACTATTGGCCTCGAGATGGAAACTCGGACGTATTCAAGAGTTATGCTTATCTACGGTTTACCAGCTACTGGATCTGATAGGAATTTACCTGAAGGTTCTCCATGTAATGGAAGATGAACTGGAAAAAGATGCTATGGAATAGAGCAAAGTTATCTGGACTGGTATGATCTTATTCGACTGGCTGGATGGTTCAAAATTCCCTCTTGTCAGCCTCCCAGAGTTCTGGCGCTAATTGACTGACTAGCAATATATATTGTCACCTAAACCACATATTATAGTTCTCAATTCCAATGAGAGGAGCTCTTATTTGCAACTACAAAGAGGCATCTAAAGATAAAGCAGACAGAAAAGACCGACGCAGAAACAGAAAAGCCACACATACACACACGCACACACACACACACACACACACACACACACACACACACACACACACACACACACACACACACACACACACACACACACACACACACACACAAAAAAAAAAAAAAATCGCCGACCTCCACGATGATGCAAATTCATCAGAAACAGGAAACACACAATCTGAGATGATCGATTCAAGGAACCGCTCAGCCCCATTCCACCCTCTATGCATCATTAGTTGGTCATGGTCATAGTCATAGTAATCATCAAGCATAATTGAGCAGTCGTGTCGACAAATCTCCAGTCCTGACAACGTTGTCGCTTTTCAATCTATCAGAAAACAGTCTGCCAATGACAATGCGCAGTCACAGTCGTAAATCATAGCTTCGTAAAAGAACCTCATCACAAGCAGGGCAGGGCCTAAGCATTTGCAATAACGCAATGGCCCCTCTCAATTCCATCTCTTCTCTTTCCCTCCAAATTAGGCGCCATGCCCACCATAAGTAAGAGCCCTAGCCGAAGTCGGAACCGTAACGTCCACCCCACCCTTCAGCGAGATCTGATGATGACCACCGGCACCACCCAGCCTCACGATCCTCTCGCGGTTCTCAGGGCTACTCCCGCCACTGGAGCTACCGCCACTGCTACTGACAGAGGTATCCGTGTCGTCATCACGACTAGACTTACGGCCCGTGCCTATCGCAACGGGAATCCCCTGCACGGCGCCGCCCTGGCTGTGGCCGGCGGGGTACATGCCGTCGTTGACGGAGAAGTTGCGGCAGATCAGGTACGCGCGCATGGCGGCGCTTTCGCGGGCGCGCACCTCAGATTCGCAGATTGCGTCTGTTTGATACTCGCGATTGTTCACTCGGACCACGCAGCTGTACCCGCCTTCATTGCCGGATGACTCGTATGTTGGCTCTGGCCAGCGGCGGCGCCGGCAGAGACCTGTTGGAATGGGTTAGTGTGGTTTTGGGGCTGGAGTTGGGGGATGCTGCAGGGGGTGGTGGTTGGGTATGTGGTAATGCAGATGATGAATTTTGGGATGCATATCCCGAAATAGAATAGAAGCCAAGTCAAGTATACAACGAAAATTAAGTACATACTTGCCAGATAGAGCATATAGTACATATCTCACGACGGCAAGAGCGAATGGGTCGAACCGAGCATAAATTGAGGCTTGCCCCAGTGAGACAGGTAGGTCAACGGCGTTCGTTGGCCCTGGCGACTCTGCAGTGAATCGTGACAGCTACCCCGACAGCATTGGACGGAATTGGGCCGCTGAAGCAACTGGTAACGGGTAGGGCTGAAAGAAAAGGCTAAGCTGCTGGACTGAGGCAACTCCAAAATGCGGAACTTGATGCCCAACGCCGCGACACTGTGTTGTGCTGTCACGGACAGCGGACTGGGTGACGGGATATGCGTTTGCCGGCCTCACAGGGAACCCACTTTCTAATTTCTTGCAGTGGGAGCAAAAAGGTTTGCTTGCCTGATAGGGCTGCAAGTAAAGAAAAAAGCAAAAAGCAAAAATGAGAAAGAGAGGAAGAGAGAGCGGACGAGGACGAGGACGAGGACTAAAAGGTCAACAAAGACATCCGAAGATGCCACGCCACCCCGCCATTCACATATACAAAATACACGGTTTCCTCCGTACGACAGAAGCAGACAGAAAACAATTTTTAATTTTTTTTTCTTACCAAGCAAAGAAAAGAGAGGGGGGGGGAGATCCGGATCCAGACAGATGAGCAATTGATTGAACTACTCCATCGCCAACGGGTGGGGCAGGACGCTGCAGCAATGCAAAGGAGTCAGACCCGTGTTAGAGGTAGGTGTGTGTTGTCCTCAATGTACACGACACGACACGATACAGGACAGGACAGGACAGGACAGGGCCGAAGCGAAATGCGCCGTTGCAATTGTTGCAGAGTACGAAACGAAACACAAAAAGGCGGATCCCTCGCCGCGCCGTCGGGCGTGTCGATAGACAAACGCTGCCTGAAGAGGGAAAAGAAAGGACAACAAACTGATACGCGGACAGACACGCTAGCTACACGAAACGGCGGGTGGCCGATTCCAATACCCACTGTTGGAAAACTATCCATCTCCCTGGAACCGGGCTGACCGTATATTCGCCTGTGTCAAGGTTACAAACCCCGAACGCGAGATCCGAGAACACAGCGGCCACGGCCACAATTGGCCAATAATTCGGGAGGCAACGAACAGACAGTACTGGAAACTGTCTCCGTACTCTGGCGGGACAGTAATTAAAAAACAACAACATGAAAATCGGTTTCGGAGCGTACTAAGAACCGATGCGCTGGCATGGCTGCGTGCCAGTCGAATTCCAGCCGAGTAATCGCCTCCAGGTTGCCTACTAGGAGTTGCTCGATTATTTCCCGCTGCAATTCGCCGATCGAGAAGGAATCCACCGGAGACTAAGAAAAGGGGATCTATCTTTTTTTCCCTGACTATTTTCTGCAGCGAGAGGGAGGAATTGATGGTCCTGGCGCTGCCGCTTTGTTGCATCTCCAATCCGTCATTGAGTTTTTTCCCACCCGTGTTGTGTCGCTAACGAGACCGACCAAAAAAACCCCGCAGTCGACGCGATTTGCCGCTGGATGATCATTTTATCGAGACGCGCAGGATCCACAGCGACACCACATGTTGTGCAGAGCGCGTCTCTCTCTCACTCAGTGTGGGCGGAAACTATAGCCAGGCCTTGCTAACTGTGCTGATTGACTCGAGCCACTGCACGTTCCCCTCTCGGAAGTTACGCGACAGGCATTATTCGGACGCAGTGATGAGTTGGCACATGTCGTGCGGTGGGGAGGGCGTTATGATTCAAACAGGTATGATTGCCCTGTTGGGCGTCCTGCAGTAATTCCGCCTGCTGGTCTGGGCGTCGATCCCCGATATATCAGGATCGGCGTAAAGGACTGGATCTCGGAGGGTTGTTAGATCTAAGGAATGTGGCCGCTGACGACATGGGCAAGAAGTCGGTAAGACAAAGAGAGGGAAGAAGTAAGCTATGACGCTAAGTAACTAATTCTGGAGCTGTCGTGTCAAGGATGCCATGCCATGAATGCCACACTCCGACAACGTTTCACTCGCTTTTTTGCAACTCCCTTGCGTTCGCACGCCGTGGGGATACATCACCCGCGTGGCCTCAGACCCTATCGCTACCCCCGAGCGGAGTCCCCTGTGCCGCGGGGTTCGCAGCAGCCCGCTCTAGAATCTACCACCTGAAGGGAGAGGGGCTGGGGCGAGCAGCAGGCCCCTGACTATCTTTGCTAGATGGTATTGCATCGGTTGGCGCCCCTCCCGGCCGCTATGGCTGCAGTGGTTGGCCTTCAAACCGGAGCCTCATCCTCTCCGCTGCCTGGTGCGGAATGACATACACCGGGTGAAAGGGTGCCAAGCGATCACTCTTCTCAAATACGTTGTCCTCTGCGCGATTCGGCGAAGACCGCCAGGAGAAAGCTGACGAGAAGATCTCGCTCGAGGAGACGCTGTGGTCGGTGCGATAGTGGTGGTGTTGAACTGCGCTCAAGCCCGCGAGGACATAGCAGCTATGGTAAGAGTCCGCGTGTCTGGCTTGCATGTCAGCGGCGCCCGCGTTGCCAAAGCCAGTGGTGGGAAGACTTACTTGCCCGGCTTGTCACGGAGGCCCCCATTATGGGATTGACAGCAGCCCAGAATATACCGAGTGAGGCCCTCGCGGCTAAACAGACTGCCTACTGAGATCTCCGGGCGGCCAGTGCCCTGTGGCTTTCCATCCAACGCAGACTGAAGCAATGGCCAGCACCCACCGACCCAGTGGCTGTAGCACCCATCTACTAACTTGTTCGTTCTCCCTGAAAGACCGCCCTCCGGAGCATACTGGCGTGAAGATAGCCAAGACAGCAGAAGAGGGACATTCATGTGCCTAGAAGCAGATTATGAGACTTGAACGATAGAAGTTCAGAACATAGGTCCGTACTGGAATATTGTTTCTTCAGGAGGCCCCAAAATAGAGAGGCAGGCCAGTGCACAAAAGGCATATGCGCCATGCGCTTCGCACCCGGGACTGCCGGATATGCCTCCTTCAAATGTTTGGCCTGGGAAATATCGATCAGCACCATTGATGAAATCCAAAGGTCAGTAGATTCTTACTTCGCGACAAGTATTCCGGGAGCCCGCTGGTGAGATTCTCGAGACCCACGCGGCGCGCTTCAACATCCGGCGGAAGTTCCAGCGGCAGGTCGAGTAGCGAGATAATGGTCATAGCACAGTAGGCGCCACTGGCGGCAAGTCAGGAATCCCAGCATGCATGAAACACATGAATCGTGATAGCTTACCGCATATCCTCCTCCCCGCCTTCGCACATGCAGAAGCCTCCATCTGCCGCCTTCACGCGGCCCAGCCATTGCCACCTGGACACCGGTCAGACTTGAAAGGACATGCAGTAAGAGAGGGGTTCCAAAAAAAGAGACAACTCACATTGCCTTGCGATCGACCAATGCGAAAGCTTCCTCGCCCCCAACCATTGCCAGTGCCAGGATAGTCGCATAACTGCCTGCCAGATGCGAGCTTTGACCATGGCCGCCCCCGAAGCCGCCGGTGGGGTTCTGCATGGGCCGAAGGGATTCGACCACGCTGGGAGAATTTAGAATCCGTTGCGAATAGCGTCACAGCCATGTGGAGGGCAAGCAGAAAAAAAAATGAATTGAAAAAAATGAAAAAAAAACTCACCGTTTGCGAAATCGCGTCACATCCTCGCCTAGGAGCGATAAACCGGCCAGCGCCCAGTAGACCATCCACGGGCGGCTGGCGTCCATGGCGACAAAGCCGGCGGGATAGTCCTCCAGGGAGTCATAGAGATAGGCTATATGGTGGTCCCGCTGAAGCGCGGGAACCCCGAGGGCGTTGAAGGGGCCTCGTTGGGTGGTGTGGATGCCTTGCAGAAACGGGAGGCACTTGTTGACCGTCTCGGTCTGCAGATCCAGGGTCTCTGTGACGAGCGGGTCCCGGATGGGCGGCGGCTGCGTGAACAGGACAGGGATTCCCGGGCGCGGTTCTTGGCTGATACTGGCCATTGTTTTGCGGGAGGCCCGTTCGGCCTCTCGACCGGGCTTCTTGGAGGTAGTGGAGGTGGCGAGTAGTGGGGGGTGAGTAGTTGTGGAAGATGGGAAACGAACAGGACGGCGATGTTTGGCCCGCACGGTGATGGGTGGCATCAATTATTATATTCAACACCGGACAGTGGTCTGTCCATGGTGGTTATTGTTCGTAGTTAATCAATATTGTTGTCGAGAACCGAGTTTGACGTTGCTATTGTTCGACTCCACTTGACCCGTGCTTCCCTGCTCTCAACCCTACGACTATTACCACTACTATGTAATCGTACGACCACTCCTCCTACACGGTCGGAGATTCTCGTGCATTTATTTAACCTGCATGTCAGAACTGCCATGCCAATGTGACAGGTCTCCTCCCTAGATAGGCGTGGCTGGTGCTCCCCTTGCCTCGGGACATCCGTGCGGGCGAGTCGACCAGTCCAGCGTGTGGCTAATGGACTACTAACGACTGCTCGCTACTGCACGGTCAGCGGACCAGCGAACTAATGGCCCAAGACAACGTGCTGATTGGACTAGACAAGCCATCTGATCGATCTGGTATTGCCACGACGTCGCTCCACTGATCGCCTCTTCCCGTCCTCCCGTGCTCATCCATGGTGCTATCCATGGGTGAACAGAGTCTAGCAAATGGAGTCTAGAGTCAACAAAAACAACGGAATAAATCCAATCAGGACCAAACTCTACAGTCTCATCCACAACAACCACCGACTAGTAACGACGACTACGCCCTGTCAATAATCCCAACCACTAAGGATGTGGCAATAAGACACCCCACACTCCTAGCGCCAGCCCTTCACCGCTGCTTTGTCCCGCCCACCGCTACCCTTTCATCGTCGCCGGTTGTGCGACTCGCTTTACTTGAGTCCTTCGCTTCCCTCTGGAACACTCCGTCTCCCCCTTCACCTTTCTTCTACCCCCCACGAAGCCATGTCAAATGTTGAGATGCCGAACGACGGCCTCATCGGGGTGGACTACGACTCCCGAGGTTATCTCCACCACCCAACATGGCCCGTGAGCGTCGACCAGTCCTCCCAGCGGCCCCAGGAAGGCCATGATCTCTCCCCCTTGCAAACCAGCGGTCACTCGCTTGAACAGTCGGTGGCCCACGACCCAGCCTTGATGCTCGACTGGCAATTTCAGATGCAACAGACCCCTCACCATCATCAACATTCGCTACCCTATTCCGCTGAAGGCCCCTCGTCGGCGCCCCAGTTCACCACCGCGAGCTATGGCATGGCCATCCAATCTTCACCCGTGGACATGATGTCCGGCCCGCAGGGTCAAATGAGCGCCGGTCTGCTCGACGGCCCCTATCTGCCGCTATCGGGGCCCCCAGTCGATGCCATGGTCCCTTTTACGTATCACGATTTCCGGGCAGATCTGATGGCCTTCCCCGAGGGTCTAGCCGAAGTGTCACCGTATGGTGCCCCGCACGGCGTCCTGGAGAGCAGCTCGCCCACGGATACGTATTTGGAGGTCCGTTCCCTGTCCAGCAGCGACAACGGCTGGAGCACCATCGATCATCGCCGCTCTCTAGACTTTACATATGAGCAACAGGGTGTCTTTGTGAACCCCACACAGACGCTGCATGATCGGAGCCTGTCAGAATCGTCGTACGCCACCTCATACGGCAGCTTTGTGGACATTTCGCACCCTATCAGCTCCCCCAACTCAGACACCAACCTAGACTTGCCCTATACCCACAACACAGCCATTGGCAGTGTTGCCGGGTCTTCGCCTCCAATTAATACGGTAACTCGCCGCTCCACTGATGATCATTCTTCTGGTTCACGGTCACCGCCGGCCGTCAGCCCTGGTACGATGATGCGGGCAATTCCTGTGCCCATCAAGAAGTCAGGCTCCCCGACCCGATCCTCTGGATCCGGGTCATCGGCTTCATCGTCTTCGCCTCCAAGCCGGAAACCGTCCCGCAAGAGCCCCATTGCGGCCAAGACGGCAGAGACGAAGGTCCGTAAACAATCGCAGACCGGCAAACCCGAGACCGAAAAGAAGGTCGGCAAGCGGAAGGGTCCGCTCAAGCCTGACCAACGCAAGCAAGCGAGTGAAATCCGGAAGTTACGGGCGTGTCTGCGCTGCAAGTTCCTCAAGAAGACTTGCGACAAGGGCGAGCCGTGTGCGGGATGCCAGCCGTCACATGCACGGTTATGGCAGGTCCCATGCACGCGAATCGACATCAAGGAGATCGGGTACTTCATGAAGGACTGGAAGGCCGACTACGAGCGTCACATCTCCCTCGGCTTCTCGGTGGGCAACATTACGGGATTTTCGGACATCGAACGCACCCTCTTCGTCACCCACGGCTATGGCCAGATTCTACCGATCAACGCCCGCGAGGTCTTTGTGCGGGATGAACAGTGCTTCAGTATGGACTGGACCGAATCCATCCTCCGCCCACCGACGCAGTATGAAGTCGAGACCGCCCGGCTCTCTGCTGGCATGGAGGGTATCTCGCACGCCATGCTGTCGGACTATCTGGACCGCCACATCGATGGGAACGGAACCTATGAGAAGTTCGTCGACGACTACTTCGAGGGAACTCCCTTCTTGACCCAGATGCTCAAGACTGCCTTCCGCTTCTACTTCCGCACCAAGATGCCCGTGATCCGAAAAGCGCTGAAGCTGGTTCTTGCATACAACCTAACCCTGCATGTGACCCTCGTGGAGGGCATCGGTGAGGAGGAAGGCTTCCTGGGCAAGATCCACGACCAGTCCTCCAAGTTCCGCGGCAAGACGGTGGCGCCCGTGATGATCAACTTCCAGATCAAGATTGCCATGGCGAGCATGTGGCGCGAGCTCCAAAAGGACGTGTTGGAGGAGCTGTCGGCGCTGTACTCCAGCGTGTACAGTGGCGACAAGCTGAAGAACTGGCCGACGATCTTCCTGCTGGCCTCGATGCTGCTGGCCGTGTGGGAGGAGATGCAATTCGACACGCACTATCGGACCCAGGACCAGCCCGCCGTCGACAAGTTCTGCAGCGACATGGAGACCACCCCCGTTGGCGTGATCGTCGGACTCTTCCAGGCTATCTCGCAGAAGTTGCCCCCCTTCACGGACTGGGACACGCAGAAGCACCACCAGCTGCTGTACTCGAACCCGGATGTGTGCAACACCATGACCGAAGTCCGGCAGCATGTTGAACAACACCGTAAGGTTCACCCGCATTTGTTCTCATGTTACCCTACTGACTGACTCCCTCACAGAGAGCTACCTGCGCGGCCGCTCCAACTCCAAATTCAACCGCGGCGACTTTGACTGCCTTTCGAACAAATTTCTGTCGCGCCTCGTGATTCGCGCGAATTAGCGACTCCAGCGATGACTATGCGCATGATGATGATCTATTTTGCGATCCAGCGTTTTTCTGTTTGCCCGGATGCCGACACGAACTGGATGAGAATACGCGACCGACTATTATTATTGAAGTGATGACAATGCGCTTTGTACCCTCTTTTGATGATGATGATGATGATGGGGGCGCTCCCAGTGAGCCAGCCCTGACGAGCTGCATTGAACTATCTTTTTGTCTTTCTTATTATCTGTGTGTGTTTTGTTAACTTTTCCCTCTTGTCTTTGTGGTATACCTTTCTCGCATAGTTGTGTCTCACCAGCGATGAACGCGGATCACGAATGTTATGACCCTGTACGGCCGACGGTGTCTTGGTTTTATTTTGCTCATTGATGATGTTTTGTTTTCGGTCCGATCGGGACCAACCACTATTACCTACTGCGGGGGGTCGTCCAGGATGTCCTCGGCCTAGCTCGCATTCTTGCCGGTGGCCATGTTTCTTTTTTTGGATCGGGAGCCCACGAGGTGAAAAGAGGGCGTTTTATACCATTTGCGTATGTCAGTATCTCTTACGAGTCATTCTATGCTTTTCTCTTCCCGTGTAGTCCATAACAGGCAATAACTACGCATCATCCGTATACGCCGAGGAACGTGTGGATCCGAAAGCGGGGATCACCTGACGGGGCGCAGTGATCGCCTTATCCACCCCCTCTCTTTCGATCGCGGCCGTCACACGTCATTGCCGTCGGCCCGATCACGTAGAATGTGGCTGGGTTGGCGGGAGTGTTTCCCCTGATAGACACGGAGAATACGTCACAGTACTCGTATGATCAAGAAAAAAGAGAGCCAGGGGCTGCTAGTCGTCTCGGACTAGTGAACAGTCTAGAACCTGCCAGTGGTGGCGTCAGCGAGGCCTTGTCTGTTCCCAGGCACCGCTGACTCACGCTTCTATCTCCTTCTCTCCCTCTGTTCCGGTCTCTGACTAAGATCGCCCCCCGACCGCTCCTACTTAAAGCATTCCCCCTCTTTCAACTCTCTCCTCTCACCATCCACCCACGCTTTCTGCCTTCTTGGTCCTTCCACCTTACCATCTCCCATATCCGGTCCCATCACATCACTGCGAGCACCGCTCATCTCTCATCATGCAGATCTTCGTCAAGACTCGTGAGTATCCCTCCTTCACCCGGCGCGTACTTGGGCTGCGCGGTTTCTTTCGCCACGGAACGGGCGACTAACTTGCCCCTGCTTCTAGTTACTGGCAAGACCATCACTCTTGAGGTCGAGTCCAGCGATACCATCGACAATGTCAAGTCCAAGATCCAGGACAAGGAGGGTATCCCTCCCGACCAGCAGCGTCTGATCTTCGCGGGCAAGCAGCTCGAGGACGGTCGTACTCTGAGCGATTATAACATCCAGAAGGAGTCGACCCTCCACCTGGTGCTCCGTCTGCGTGGCGGTATGCAGATTTGTAAGTGACATAACCCCCAGCCACTGAGGCAACCAAGATGCTAATTTGCCACAGTCGTCAAGACCCTCACCGGCAAGACCATCACCCTCGAGGTTGAGTCGTCGGACACCATCGACAATGTCAAGTCCAAGATTCAGGACAAGGAGGGCATTCCCCCCGACCAGCAGCGCCTGATCTTCGCGGGTAAGCAGCTGGAGGACGGCCGCACTCTGTCCGACTACAACATCCAGAAGGAGTCGACCCTCCACCTGGTGCTCCGTCTGCGCGGTGGTATGCAGATCTTCGTCAAGACCCTCACGGGAAAGACCATTACCCTGGAAGTGGAGTCATCCGACACGATCGACAACGTCAAGAGCAAGATCCAAGACAAGGAGGGTATTCCCCCAGACCAGCAGCGGTTGATCTTTGCCGGCAAGCAGCTTGAAGACGGCCGAACCCTCTCCGACTACAACATCCAGAAAGAATCCACTCTGCACCTTGTCCTCCGTCTCCGTGGTGGTATGCAAATCTTCGTCAAGACCCTGACGGGCAAGACCATCACCTTGGAAGTGGAGAGCTCAGACACCATCGACAATGTGAAGAGCAAGATTCAGGACAAGGAGGGTATCCCCCCGGACCAGCAGCGTCTCATCTTCGCTGGTAAGCAGCTGGAAGATGGCCGCACGCTCTCGGATTACAACATCCAGAAGGAGAGCACGCTGCATCTGGTGCTTCGTCTCCGTGGCGGCCAGTAGCCGGTCCGGTCTTCCTGATTTACGATTTCTGCTCTACTCGACTACGATAGGTTCTACATGACCTGCATGGCGTTTGGTCGGTTTTTTGAAGCTGAGGCTTCTCTTTCTTTTTCAAACACGGGCAGCCACCCATGTTTTCTCGCTGGCCCTTTTAACTGATAGTCTTTACCATCTACCAATTTGAGCCAGGCTGGATTCGCTGCTCAACTGAGCTGTTCATATTGTAAGATGTAGAATGTAAAATGTAGATCCAGTGATGTTCCGAGTAAAGTGGATCATATGGAGTGACATGGGTAATCCACTGTAGAGGAGTATGTTCACACTTCGGGTACCTTCTATCTTTGCCCCAGAAACAACTACCGAGACGACGGACGGCACACCACGCAGAGAAGAATTTTCTTCCTCCCTGCATATCTCCATTTCCCATCCAATCGGGCCGCGCTTCTTTTTCGCCACTCCGCGATACCGGAGGCGATGCGACATTCTGCCACCGCCCTCTTATCGATACAGCCAACAGATGTGACTTCACGCACTGTTCGCATGCTCTCTGCAAGTAAGTGCTCCACCTCTACCTCTCTCGTGTCCTCGGCGTGCAAGTCGGCTCGCAATGTCAGCCACCTTCACCATCGCCCCTGATGCCGGCTTACTTCTTCAATTTGAAACTTGAACTCCTGCTCCGCTCGACCGAAACCTCGTCCGATCAGTTGACTGCGACTCTGGCTTTGGATAACGCATGGGAAGCTCTCCTTCCGTTTCAGAAGCGGTCGACGGCGGCGGCGACGACGCGTCCTGTTACTTCGAGTCGTACATCCTCGGGAACTGGGAATGAATCGCAGAGTAGTAATCCCCCCTCCGAGACCACACTTGCGCAGCGACCCAAAAGCACACCGCTGGTCAACCTCTCCACTCCTTCCTCCTCTCTTGCTGAATACACCGCCAACCTCAACACCTACACCTCCGGCTCCGTGACACCTGGCACTCCCTACCCAGACTCTCAGGTTGAGTCATCGACCTACTCTATCGACATCGAGAACGATAAGCGCTTCGGTGCCATTTCCATCTCGTGCATCGACATGGTGGCCCCGCAAGAAGGGTCCGCGAGACGCGCTTCCAAGCATGGGAATGCGCCTCCCTTTGCTATGGAGGATAATCTCGTCGCTGCGGGTATTGGAACAGACATTCTGGGTGGCCAGCGCACTAAAGGTCGCTATATCCCCCTCGACCAGAAAATCGCCGATAGTGTCTGGGGCATCGTGCACCTGTACCGTGAAGCACAGGAGACGCCTTACCTCACTGGCAACGAAGATGACTACCCGACCTACCTGAAAGGCTCTGCGGCCGTGGCAAGGCAGCCTGGCGACCAGCAGCAGCAACAATCGGCAGTTGGAGCCAGCAGCAAGCAGCCCCAGATGGGCGGTTCTGCTGGTAGCCTCACGGCGTATCCGTTCCCCGCTACTTATTCTTCGTCTGCGCAGAACCCTGAGGAAGAGTGCACAACCCTCTGCATTCTGGCGGTCCCGTCTTACATGTCGTCCTCGGATTTCTTGGGGTTCGTTGGCGAGAAGACCTTGGATGACGTCGCCCATTTCCGGATGATCAAGACCGCTCGCGCGAATCGGTACATGGTTTTGATGAAGTTTCGGAATGCGCACAAGGCGATGACGTGGCAGAAGGAGTGGAATGGGAAGGTGTTTAATAGCATGGAGGTGAGTGTGCCTTCCTCCCTTTAAGATTATATATACTGATTGATTCTACCAGCCTGAGACCTGTCATGTGGTTTTCGTCAAAGCTGTTGAGATCCAAGTCGTTGAAGAGGAGACATCTTCTGTCCTCACCCCCGCCGAATCTAGTACACTCTCGCCCTCCCACAATCCGGCTACGCTTGGGCGCGCTCCCATGTCGTCAGCTGGCCAAGCCGCCCTTTCCATCAAGCCCCTCGCCCCTCCTACTCCCGCACTTATCGAATTGCCTACGTGCCCTGTCTGCCTTGAACGAATGGACGAGACGACAGGTCTCCTGACTATCATCTGCCAGCACGTCTTTCACTGCACATGCCTCCAGAAATGGAAAGGCAGCGGCTGTCCCGTGTGTCGATACACGCAAGACGAGTTGCACAAAAAGCCCCAATCCCTCGAATCCCCAGCCGAGTGCAGCGTGTGCCACTCCGAACTCAATCTCTGGGCATGTCTGATCTGCGGCAACGTCGGCTGCGGCCGCTACGACGGCGCACACGCCTTCGATCACTGGAAGGAAACCATGCACGCGTACGCAATGGACCTGGACTCCCACCGCGTCTGGGACTACGTCAGCGATCTGTACGTGCACCGCATCCTGCAAAGCAAAACGGACGGCAAGCTCGTCGAACTGCCCGCGGCGGATAACCACGCCCTCGATCCACCGGACTGGTCCGATGCCGTGCCGCGCGACAAGTTCGAAAACCTGAGCGTCGAATACACCCATCTCCTCACAAGCCAGCTGGAAAGCCAGCGCGCGTACTTTGAAGAAATCGTCGAGCGCGCCGCCGACAAGGCCTCCCGAGCCGCTTCGGAGTCCGCCTCTGCCAAGGACGAGTGGAAGGAACTCTCCGCGCGCATCGCAGAGCTAGAAGGACAGCACAAAACGCTGACCACCGAGAAAATCCCGCTATTGGAACGAGACCGCGCGCGCTTCGAGAAACGTGCCGAGAAGTTCGAGCAGATGGCGAGGTCCATGGAAAAGGACTGGCGAGAGGAGAAAACTATCAACCAGTCCCTGCTCGAGCGCATTGATTTCCTGTCTGCCGAGCTTAGCAGTATCAAGGAGGTTAATGAGGAGCTGAAGGAGCAGAACCGTGATCTCACTTTCTTCATTAGTGGCTCGCAGCGCCTGCAGGGTCAGGGGGAGGATATCCAGGAGGCGACGCTTAGTGTCCCCGATCCGCCAACGCCGGGGAAGAAGAAAAAGGGGAAGGGGAAGGGGAAAGTGAATTAGTAGCTGTGCTACTTGCTTGTGATGAGCGTCTCGAACTGGCTGACTTATCCATGCTGGTGAAGTTTTCCAGGTTTCCAGATACTTGACTTTGTTGTATAGTTAGCCGACGCAGATGAGCTTTGCATTGGGCGGTCCTTTTTTGTATGATTAGCGACTCGCAATATCATGTTTCATTATTGTCGTTTAGTTTTTATTTTTCAAACTGTAGATAGAGACAAGACATAATTGGAAGAGATACAATTCTATGATATTAACACTATATAAATACAACGTATATATATACGCACCATCACCACCGAATCCGTCTAAACCCCCTTCCTAACAGCCCAAAAATAATTTCCCCAATCCTCCGACCCAGGCACCATCTTCCACCCAAGCCCAGGCACATAAACCGCCCCCACACACCTCCACTGCATCCCCTCCAACAAACCCGGCCCACCACCCCTCCCAGCAACGCCATCACCACCACGCATCAGTCCCTCCTGCAGCCACGCACGCACTTCAGGCGGGTTAACAAACTTGCCCCACTCATGCGTCCCGCGCGGCACGACGCCAATAGGCCACGGAGCTTCGGCGATGACCTGGTTCAGCAGGAATGACGGGAGTGTGCGCGAGATAGTCGAGCCGATGAGCCAGCCGCCGGGTTTGAGGGCGCGGAGGCAGTTTGTTAGGAACGTTAATGGGGTCGAGGTTTTGGGGTCGATGTGTTCGAGGACTTCGAAGAGGGTTACCATGTCGTATTGTTTGGGGGACGATGGTGCGGGTGATGAAGGCGAGGAGGAGGAGGAGGAGGACGGGGTAATTGCGAGAACATCTTCCAGCGTGGTATTCAGATATTTGAACTTGCCGCTCCTGAGATGCGCGTCGACGGCCGGATCCATGCGCGCATGGTCGCGCGCGATCTGGATCAGGTTCGTCGACGGATCGATAGCCGTCATGGACGCCGCGCGCGTGGGGGTCGGCGCAGCTGCATTGGGGTCGGCGGGGATGGTGCGCGCGAGCGATTCGGCGAAGATCCCGCCGCCGCAGCCTATGTCGAGGTAGTGCAGGTCTGCCTTCGCAGGGGATGAGGGAGAGGGATCGGAGTCGGCGAGGCAGGAGGCGATGAATTCGTGGCGGAGCGGGTTCATGAGGTGCAGGATGCGCGACGGGCCCATTGGGTCCCACCAGGAGCTGGCGAGGGCGGAGAAGTGTGTGAGTTCGGAGGCGGAGACGGAGGATGTGGTGCTGTGGGTTCGGGCTTGGGGGGTTGTTGTTCTTCGTTCATGGTGGTGGTGATGTTTGAGGGGTGTTTTTCGGTTTGGTCTTGTTGCTGGCCGGCCTACAAGGAGGAGGCGAGGGGCCAGATTGGATATGGGTCGGAGAGGAGAGGCCATTGTGATCCCAGAGAGAGAAACAAGGAAAAGGTAGAGTTGTAGAGGAAGCGGGAGACCGGAGCTCGGGAGAGGGTGGACTGCGAAGGGGAGCTCGGGGGTGCGGCAAAAGTTGATGGGGACGAGCTCTATGGAAGCATTATGCTGTCAGCCATGGAGGGTAGATGTGGATTGAGCAACAGTTAGCTACTTACCAGCAGGCAAAATCCATGGCCGACGAATCTAGATAGAACGGTGGCAGAAGTGGAAAGTGTTGAAGTGGTGAAATTCCTCGGAACAAACACGCCAAGCTTTTCTGCACTTCACGGCGAGTAAGTATACTTACTACTATATGGTTCTTACTATACGGTAGAGTACCCTTATTATTGGGGCGACAACAGTGGGCATAGGAAAAGAGAAATGAATTCGACTCTATCTGGTCATCCCGGTCTGTATGTCCCAATCCAACCAGCCAGCCAGCCAGTATATAACATCCATCTATAGAAAACTCCATCCATAATGACCATAAACATAAACGTATATCACCGAACATCATGAATACACACCACTTTGAAACCTCATCTTCGACGACGTGTCCGGCCGTATCGCGGGCATATCAGCCCGGGCCCGGTCCCGGTCACTCTCCACCCCACTGACATCCAGAATATCCTCATGGTCAGCAGCCGCCAAATACCAGTTACTCCTCTCAGTTGTCCATGAAACCAGATCATCCGGCGACGCCTCACCTAAACCGGGTAGCCAGTTTCCCGTGGTGATGGTACAATCCAGGCCCAGGACGGTCTTGCAGCGTTCCAGCAATGTCGGAAATAGGTATGATGGCGAGCCTCGGATTTGCGAGAGGGTATGCAGAATCCCCCAGAGTAGTTCGCGAGGGTCAATAGTCGAATCCGCCAGTCGGTGCATGCCCTTCGACCCGAGGGAGTGCGTCACGTCGGCGACGGAGGATCCCATGTCGAATAGCTTTTGCTCCTATTCCCCCACTATTAGCATATGTAATTACTGTGGCGGTATTGTGGTTGTCAAAACGTACCATTCCTATTCCATGTGCATCCACCGCACCTTGCGATGCAGTCCCGATCACACTCATAACGGCCTTGCCCACGAGCACGGGTAAATGAAAAGGAAGAACGGTGTCGTCGCGCGAGCCGGGCTGCGTGGCTCGACTCATAGATAGCTTCCACATCATGGCCTGCAGCCACTGCTGCGTGACCAGGATATCAACCTGTTGGATCTCGAGCACCCCGTCCAGGACGACGGGTTTGGAGAGACTGGACTGGATGGCGGACGTGGGAGGACTCTCTAGGAGTCCATCTCCTCCGCCGGCGGACAGCCAATCGTACAGATTTGCGGTGAGTTTCTCGAAGATGTTGATCAGGTTGATGAAGCCGTATGCAAGAATAGGGTCTTCAGAGCAGAGCACCTGTGGCTTGTGGATGGAGCTGCGCAGCATCACTGGTTTGGCTTGTTGGAGAGCATAGCCTCTGTCGTCCTGGGAGTCAGCACGGTTCATCCGTGGGTTTCGATTCAACCCACCTTTCTGTGATAAATAGAAGCCAAAATACACGCCGCTTCTCTTCGGCCTCTTCAACATTCCACTCCGCATACGTTGACTCGCGGTGCAGGCCCAAGGTGAACGCCATAGAAGTGGCCTGGCACAGATAGAACCACGCATGATCTTGTCTATCCAGATTGCCATATGTAGCGAAAAGGAAGAATGAGGTCAACAGGCTTTCGATGTTCATACCCTCCACAACGTCACATTCGCGCCGTGCCCGCACAGCTTCAGTGAGTAGCTCTTCTCCGGACATCAAGCAGCGACCTTCGCCCATGCTTTGCAACCGGCTCGGCTCGGGAACAGGCGTGTCCCCGTCTAGCTTCAATTGAATGTGTGTAGCCGCGCACAGGGACGCCAGGAACGCATACCGCTGAGGGGATAGGCGCTCCGGCTGATGGCTGTCCCGCTGCAATTGCTCGCTGCGCACAACCGGCATGATCGGGAACAGATACTTGAGGTAGACATTGACGTGCGCGAGCAAAATCTGTGGCGATAGGCGGCGGGCGTGTGGGAGGGCATGGCTATTCGCTGACCCGGAAGTCGAGTCTGTCGAGTCCGGCGAGGAAACAAATTCTGGGGGCGGGAGCTGCGAGAATGTGTCTGAACCGTCCGGGATGGAATATTTCAGGTCCGGCACGCCGAAAACCGGCGATGTGGGTGAGCTTAAACCGTAGGTCGATACCTGGTCGGGAAAGGCATCGTTGTCGGTGCCGTACAGTCGTTGTTCCGGAGGCCGGCTGGTGCCATGGCGGGCCGAGAGTGGGTGCACGGGGGCGAGGGGATACAGAGTTCGGAATTTGGGGCCTTTGCGGCGAAGCACGTCACTGTAGGAGCAGGAGAGCAGTAGCCGTTGACATTTATCGCATGCAGGTAGTCCCCGATTACACTTTATCTTGCGTCGCCTGCAGTTATCGCATGCCTGTTTCAGGGACGATTCCTTGGACGAAGCAAGGTCCATTATGGAGTGAAGACAGCACGAATCAAAGATGGATGGAGGGTGAGACCATGGTATGTGAAGACTAAAGCCTCCTGCGAACAAAAAAGTGTTTCCGGTGGACTCAAGCGCAATTATAAAACACGATCTGGGGAAGAGGCGTGGGGCTACCAAACCCCGCAAAGGCCCCCTGCGCTGATGATGATGGTATAAGTCCTCCATTATATCTCACCCTTACACCCTCACCAGCTTATCTTTTGGGTCTCTGGGTGAGTACTGATGCTGGGACATCATCATTATTCTTCTACCGCGACCTCGCCGTCGATATGTATATAAATCAAGACAAGCCCTAACATGCGCACATGACAACAACCCACACCCTGATGCACCCCTGGCTCAGCGAACACTTCCAGAAGGGCGGATATCCTTCCAGAAGGATGTGATGCATGCACATCCGTGTTCTCGGCACGTAAGCGACGTTCCAACGCATCCATTGATTAACGGCAACGGACAGAGGCAAGCCTTGATCGGCTACGATGCCTGACATCTAGAAACTATGAGAAGCAGCCAATCCCATCTGAGCCTAGTCGTTACGGGAGGGTGCGCGATTTTCAGGCTTGGCTTGATGAATATTGGCCACTCAAGTGGACACTTCGCTAGGTTGGCATGAGCGCTCATTTCCGTCCTCATGCAGTTGGCCAATGAAGATGCTGGTTCAGCTTGGGCCAGCATGAGGCCCCAGTGCCGAGGTATTGGTGGGTCAGGGCAGCCCACGTCGGGAAGCCGATGCAGTTGCCATTCACGCCGGACTTAATCATTAATGGCATGGCTGTAGCAATAACTACATAGGAGGACTTAGTGGTATGTTCTATAGTGAAGGTGGAACTAGTAAGTGGAGAGGCTCCAGAAAAACTCCGAAATTCCCACGACGTGTTTCCCCAGGTTCCGTGATGCCATGGAGTTTCATCAATTTCGTCCTAAGATCGAAAGGACTCACCGCAGCCGTAAACTGCACATTAGAATTTATTACTCCGATCCCCACAGTTAACGGGGTATTGACTGTCCCCTCGGCCAATTATCGGGCCATCCACCAATCAGCATCTCGGAGTCTGCTGATCGGCGCTGTCCTCAGGCACAAAGCGTTTTCTGGTTTCTTCGTCATCGATCGATCAGGGCTTCTAGCCTCGCATTGAGTGCTCACTTCTGCATGGGAAACTCAATTTTGTGTATCGCTCGCTACTGATACAGCAGTAGCACAACACTAAGACCACCATCCCAGACCATGTCCGACCCCGGTGCGCATTGACATCATTCCCGGTCTGTAAACACTCTAGGCCGAGCCCCAACCCCGCAAATCCGCGGTCCAATGCAGGGCAGGTCTACGGAGCATGGGACGATCGTAATGCCCCTCGCACGGCGTCGGAGATTCAACGGAAATTCTATACCGTCGCGTTAGGCCGGGCTTGTCGGGATCCCTTCGGCCCAGTTTTTTTGCGGGGAGTTTACATCCCAGAGCTTCATGGAGATGGGTCACCAGATCAGAAGCAAATTATAAGAAGACCCGCCTGTCGCGATTGCTAAAAAGAAGCATCGGAACTTCTTTAACTGTGGGAACTTGGTCGCTATGGTTGGCTTCAGGGACATTGCTGCCACGGGGGCTTGGCTCCTGCCTGTAGCCTATGGGGCGAGTTCGACACCTGCGCCTAGCTCGACTTCGTCTGCGGCCTATTCTCAATTCACCATCCCTGCTGCCTCTGATGTCGGTGCGCAATTGATTGCCAACATTGACGATCCTCAAGCCGTCAATGCCCAGGCCGTCTGTCCCGGATACAAGGCATCGAACGTCGAACGATCTGCGAGCGGACTGAAGGCCACTCTGAGCTTGGCGGGTGAGCCTTGCAATGTGTATGGTACGGATGTGGAGTCGCTGGACCTCTCAATCGAATACCTCGCGACGGACCGCCTGAACATCGAAATCATTCCTTCTCATATCGACGCGTCCAACCAGTCTTGGTACCTGCTTTCAGAGGATCTCGTCCCTAAAGCCAAATCCGATGGCACTGGCAACAGCAAGAACAGTGATCTTGAGGTTGAATTGTCCAATGATCCTACGTTCGGCTTCAAGGTGATCCGCAAGGCTACCGGTGATGTGCTGTTCGATACAACGGGATCGGTACTCGTGTACGAGGATCAATTCATCGAATTCGTCACTGCCTTGCCAGAAGACTACAATCTCTACGGTCTCGGAGAAAAGATTCAGCAACTGCGGCTTCTGAACAACTACACCCTGACCACCTATGCATCAGATGTTGGAGACCCAATTGACGGGTGAGTTGCTAGGCAGTTTATCTTGGGTATGGATGATATACTGACCTATTTTACTGCCAGAAATATCTACGGATCCCATTCCTTCTATTTGGATACACGCTACTATGAAGTCAACGAACACGGTGCTCACTCATTCGTCTCCATCGACCAGGCGGAGCAATCCAAGGACTATGTCTCCTACTCGCACGGCGTCTTCCTTCGAAATGCTCATGGCCAGGAAGTTGTTATGCAGCCCCAGAATTTGACTTGGCGTACCCTAGGTGGTAGCGTCGACCTTACTTTCTACTCAGGCCCGACCCAGGTTGATGTCACCAAGAACTATCAGCTTAGCACTGTTGGACTACCTACCATGCAACAATACTTCACTTTCGGCTATCATCAATGCCGCTGGGGTTATCAAAATTGGTCCGTTGTGGAAGAGGTCGTTGCGAATTTCGAGAAATTCGAGATCCCCTTAGAGAATATCTGGTACGCAACTCCAAGTCACTGTTGCGTGACTAGCAGCTAATAACTCTAAAAGGAACGATATCGATTACATGCACGGCTACCGTGACTTTGATAATGACCCGATTCGATTCGGCTACAGTGAAGGCGAAGCGTTCTTAGAGAGACTGCACAAGAGTGGCCGCCACTACATCCCAATCGTTGACTCTGCTCTTTACATCCCCAATCCTCACAATGCATCTGATGCGTAAGTTTAGTTCCAATACTTACTTCATGCAATTTACTAACCTCTGATTAGATATGATACCTACACTCGGGGTGCTAAGGAGGGTGTCTTCCTAAAGAACCCGGATGGCAGCGTCTACATTGGCGCTGTGTGGCCCGGCTATACAGTGTTTCCTGATTGGCACCACCCGAAGGCTGTCGAATTCTGGGCGAATGAGATCGCTACATGGCACGGCAAGATTCCTTTTGATGGCATCTGGATTGACATGAGCGAGGTTTCGTCTTTCTGTGTCGGCAGCTGCGGAACTGGAAATCTCACCCTGAACCCGGCCCATCCGTCCTTCCAGCTGCCTGGGGAGCCCGGAAACGTTATTTATGATTACCCAGAGTCATTCAACGTGACGAACTCGACCGAGGCAGCCTCCGCCTCGGCCGCCTCAGCCAGCCAGGCTTCAGCTGCGGCCACATCGTCGTCCGACTCGACCTCTGTCTCCTACTTGCGGACTACACCCACACCGGGAGTTCGGAATATCAATCACCCTCCATACGTGATTAATCACGATCAAACTGGTCACGATCTCGCTGTGCATGCCGTGTCTCCCAACGCCACCCATGCGGATGGTGTCCAGGAATATGATGTTCACAACCTTTTTGGCCACCAGATTCTCAACGCCACCTACCAAGGTCTGTTGAAGGTGAACTCGGAGAAACGACCGTTCATCATCGGACGTTCTACATTTGCTGGTTCCGGCAAGTGGGCAGGTCACTGGGGTGGTGACAACGCGTCTAAGTGGGCGTATATGTTTTTCTCTATTCCACAGGCACTGTCGTTCTCGCTATTTGGTATCCCCATGTTTGGCGTGGACACATGTGGATTCAACGGCAACAGTGACGAAGAACTTTGCAATCGCTGGATGCAACTCTCCGCATTCTTCCCCTTCTACCGCAACCACAATGAACTTTCGACAATCGGGCAAGAACCTTACCAGTGGGCGTCCGTTATTAAGGCATCCAAGACAGCTATGGAGATCCGTTACGCCATTCTACCGTACTTCTACACCCTGTTCCACCTCGCGCACACCACTGGCTCGACGGTGATGCGGGCTTTGGCTTGGGAGTTCCCGACCGACCCATCCTTGGCTGCTGTTGACACGCAGTTCATGCTAGGCCCGTCCATTATGGTTGTCCCTGTCCTTGCCCCCTTGGTAGACACCGTAAAGGGCGTTTTCCCCGGTGTCGGTGGGAAACAGGGTGAAGTCTGGTATGATTGGTATACACAGACCGCAGTCATGGCCGAACCCGGAGTCAACACTACGATTGCTGCTCCGTTGGGTCATATTCCCGTCTACGTGCGCGGTGGCAGCGTTCTACCGATGCAAGAGCCTGCCATGACGACCCGGGATGCGCGCAATACCCCTTGGTCTCTGTTGACGGCTCTCTCCAGCGAGGGTGCTGCGACTGGCCAATTGTACCTCGATGATGGCGAGAGCATTTACCCCAACGCTACGCTCAACGTTGACTTTGCTGCCTCGCACTCCAGCCTGAACGCCTCGCCTCATGGAAATTGGAAGGAATTGAACTCGCTTGCCAGTGTGACTGTCTTGGGCGTGACCGCGAAGCCTGGTGCGGTCACATTCAACGGCAAGAAGGTCTCATCCGTCCACTACAATTCCACTTCGCATGTGCTGTCGGTTAGTGGCCTGGAGCAGCTGACAGAAGAAGGTGCGTGGAGCAAGAAGTGGGTTCTGAAGTGGTAGATATTGTGGTGAGACGGGGATGAGCAGGGTGCGGTACAGGACATGTATATATATCGCTGTTCCATCTGTTTTCTTTCATAGGCCAGCTGCACACTTGAAGCGGTCTTGGTTGCTTTTCAAAAGTGTTTATTCAGCTGCAGACTCGATCATGAGGATGCCTCGGTTTCATACTAAATCATGAACCGGGCGGTTGTATTTACAACTACTCAATAACCCGATAGCATCCCAATATAGCCACCAGTCCTGTTCTTGCAATTCCTCGTTTGCTGTCCGGACAGATCTCCCAAATATGTCGTCATCAAAGGCCTTTTTCGAACTAAATCAAGTATACTCCTGAAAATCCGTTAATCTAAACTCGGCGAAAGACCGACAACAAAGAAGCGATCGACGTCAGATCAGATAGCCAAGGCCAACATGGCTCTCCGCCCCCAATGATGAATGCATTGCAACCCCGTACGATGAACCTGAAATTTCCCACTCCGGAGTTTTCCTTGCCCTGATTGACCAGCTAGTGTTTGAGATGGTCACAAATCCCGCATACAAGGATTACACCAAATCACAGCCACCGGGCGGTACCTTGCACCTTTCAACTAGGGCCCCGTCTATCTCCTAGTGATCTTCAAACAAGAAACCCGCACAGGCCGGTCTCGGAATTGCACGGTCTCGGGATCTTGACGAATCAGCCTTGGAAGACAAGTCGACCTGCACTTCTTGCCTCTTTTGTACTAGGATCCCCTTTCTTTCTTCGCGCTCTAGAACTTCTCCTCATCCAATCCTTTCATCTTTAAATGTTACGGCCCCCAGGTTTGGCAATTTACAGATATTTTGCGCAGATTGTGAACCTTCACGTTCTTCCGGTAAATAGGACTGTTCCTGCTAATGGTCCAAGGGCTTCATTGTTCGACAACTTCCCCAGAGTTATCGGAGGGGAATCGACCTCTCGAAGTTGGAGACTTGAATCTCCATTAGCCCTTTATAAAGAGCCTACATCACTACCTTTGACTCCGTTTCTTCGAAGCAAACTGCTTTTATTCAGCCACACTTCACAGAAAAATGCTCCTCTGGTACTTCGCATGGTTTGGTTGCCTTGCTGGATCTGCTCTTGCTGCGAGTCCGGTGGAATGGCGTTCCCAGTCTATTTACTTTATGCTCACGGATCGGTTTGCGAGGACCGATAACTCGACTACCGCTCAATGTGATACCAGTGCTCGAGTGAGGTACCAATATAATTGCTTTTTGGAAAGGCTCCCATCGCTAATGTGGCTCATATGTAGAAATACTGTGGAGGAACCTGGCAGGGCATTATGAATCAGGTAATATCAGAGACGTGATTTTTTATACTCCAAGAAACTAAAAATTGATCAAGCTGGATTATATCCAAGGAATGGGCTTTACTGCCATCTGGATCACTCCAGTCACGGGCCAACTCCCACAGGATACTGGTGATGGAGAGGCGTATCATGGCTATTGGCAGCAGGATATGTGAGTCTAACCACACTCCGTGATGCTGCCAAGAATCTACTCATAGAGATGATAGCTACTCTTTGAATCATCACTACGGTACAGAGCACGATCTCAAGGCTCTCGCCAAAGCCCTGCATGATCGTGGGATGTATCTCATGGTCGATGTAGTTGCAAACCACATGGTTTGTTTTCAACAATTACAAACACACGCGCCATAGCTAACTCACATGTCTCAAAAATAGGGCTATGACGGTTCCGGCAAAAATGTCGACTACAAAGTCTTTGAGCCGTTTAACTCGAAGAAGTACTTTCATCCTTATTGCGAAGTCAGCAACTACAATAACCAGACCAACGTCCAAGACTGCTGGCTTGGCGACACAACTGTGTCTCTGCCAGACCTTGATACAACTTTAAGCAGTGTTAAAAGGGCGTGGTACAGCTGGGTTCACTCTCTGGTGTCCAACTATTCCGGTAAGCCCATCTCAACCCTACAGTGTCAAAAATAAAACACTAAGTAGGAGCAAGTGGATGGTCTTCGCATCGATACGGTCAAGCATGTCCAAAAGAATTTTTGGCCGGACTACAGCAAGGCCGCCGGGGTATACTGTATCGGCGAAGTCTTCGATGGGGATGTGGATTACACTTGCCCATACCAGGAAGTAATGGACGGGTTGCTCAATTATCCCATGTTCGTGCAACCAATCAAAGTGTCAGAGACGCAAGTTTCACGCAATTTTCTAACATCCAACTAGGTACTATCCTCTCCTTAGAGCCTTCCAGGCGACAAACGGTAGTATCAGCGATCTATATGACATGATCAACACAGTTAAATCGACCTGCGATGATTCGACTCTACTGGGTACATTTGTTGAGAATCATGATAATCCACGATTTGCATCGTAAGTTTGCCTGCCCTCATACAATTGGCTGCCGGTCCGCCAATACTCATTTTAGTCAGGTACACGGACGATATGTCCCTAGCTAAAAATGCTGCGGCTTTTACTATCATGGCAGATGGAATACCAATCATCTACGCAGGCCAGGAACAGCACTACAATGGCGGCGCCGATCCGGGAAACCGCGAAGCTGTCTGGTCGTCGGGTTACAACACCAACGCCGAGTTGTACAAGCTCATTGCAACCACCAACTCGATTCGCTCGTATGCGATTAGCAAAGGCAGCAACTATGTCACCTACAAGGTATTTTTCGTGTCATAGTTTCTGAATGAAGAGTAAGCTAATATTGTGGGCGAAAGAATTACCCAATCTACCAAGATGATACCACGCTTGCCATGCGCAAAGGATTTAATGGCACGCAGACTATCACTGTTCTCTCAAATCTTGGGGAGAAAGGGAGCCCATACACACTTTCGCTTCCAGATACAGGATTCAAGGTAGATACAGAGGTCACTGAGATCTATAGCTGCGCCACTACAACTGTCGACCATAGTGGCAATGTGCATGTGCAAATGATCAATGGTGAGCCAAGGATTTTGTATCCACGTGCTGCACTCGAGGGATCAACTATCTGCTCGTAAAGAATTGCAAATTTCAAGTTTCATGTTGTGGGAATTTGTCACTATTTCAAGGAGGAAGAATTCGATTTGTGGACAATTAAGCTAGAATTAAAGATGATGCTCACATGCGATAACAATTCAACCGTACGTTTCTTCAAAAACGACCAGAGACAATAAAGCTCTTTGCTTCCCCGTCGAAATGACATCAAGTTAGAGCGATCGACAACGCTACCAAGTTCATTAAGTTCACTAAAGATTGAAAAGATAATGACACAGAATTTTGGTCTGACATATATCGAATGCAGAGGTGTCGCTGCTGATCTCGACATCGCAACCAAAAGGGCGATTGTAAACAGAGATTGTCTCTTGCCTCACGTTTTTGAATATGTAACTACTCAAGTCTGTACACAAAAACAAGTCACCAGAAACTGGATGAATGTCGAGGAAGTCAACCAGTTCTCTTTCTGAACCGGCTCACAGGGAACAAACAACGGATAGGCCATCGCCTCTAGTGAGACATATTACTTGGTGTTGAAAGATGAGTGCCACAGCCAGTGTCTTATCTCTAAAACATAAGTACCTCGGCATCTCTCTCTCCAATTTGCGAATCTTCTGATCAACCAGTTGCAGAACCGTCCATGATCACTCGCTTCCAGTGGCCACTTTATCCATTGCGGAAACTAGCACGACAACTGCATAGCGTGAAAGACTAGCCGTTCCTGATACTTTTACCCTGTCGCGCCCTGCTTCGATAATTGGACCGGAGAAATAGAGACAGCCACCCCGTGGATCCGACTGCAGCATGCTTCTGCGGACTAAGAAAATATGTTACCCAGCCAATTAGTTACTCGTGAGGCGTATGCCTTCATCCAGGCATTGTGTAGTGCAAGCGATCCACAATTCCTCGACATTGTTTTGAAGCGGGGTGTGACTTCAGCGCCTTCAGCACCTTCTAACCGAATAACCTCCGCGGTACTGTGTATATGGACGGGCTCCTAGCGATCCCGGGGGCTTGTGGGTACAGACTGATCGACCACAATATCCATAGACACACTGAACCCGACCGCTCTTCACGAAACGCACTAGATGTTTCCAGTAAAGAAAACCCCCTTACTATGACAACAATAAAAAGCTAAATGAGGGAGGGGAGACCCACCGTGTCATGCATTATTCTTAGACGGCCGGGATGATACGAGGCCAAGCCCAAGGCGCCCGCTTTGATATTGCTTGAATCAGCCAGGTTGCCACGATCTGGACGTTTGTTTGACTAGCGGGTGTTGCCGGCTAATTCTTGGGCCGAAATTTCGGGAACAGGGGCCTCGCAAAATAACTGTGTTTACGGAGAGTAGAAAGAGCTCGGTTAGCATGAGTGAATGCAGGGAGGACAAAAGAGGTTAGCCTAGATACTACTGAATTCTCTTCGTTGGCAGTTACCCCAGAGTTAATGGCGAGCCAAGAACCCCCAGTATGACACTAAAACAAACGCTAGAACCCTGACCGCTCCTTTGTTATTTAGCCCGCGTTGGAAAAAGTCGAGAAAAAGAAGATTCCCCTCAAACGCGCTAAACTCTCTGCAGGCGAGAGTATGTCTGTTGCCTGAGACCATTAGGTGGAGAAATAGGAACAGCCTCGGATGCGTGTGCTTATTATTACGGCTCGACACATTTGGGTCACACACTATAGCGCCACTACAAACAGCCCGATAGCTGTTGAGATACATTTTAACCGATCTGGCGAACCCAAAAGAGTGCGAAACTATTCGGGTTCAAGGGCGAGATAAGGATTCGGTCATAAATAGTCCGGTACACGGCGAATCGCTATCTTGAAGATCAAGGACCCAGGAATCAACTAACGCAATTGAGAGTGTGCCTTGCGAAGGCTGCACGGCAGACGCGCGATATCAACGATGTTCGCCAAGGATAAGACTAGCGGGGGGCGGACGAATTTAGCGGCCAAAGATCCGTCGTTAGCCGGGCCCAGAAAGTTTCAAGGTCGCATTGCTTTCCCACATCCTGGTCTGCTACCCTTATCCTACGCAGGATGTCGAACAGTCGTTTGAGACAAGAGCACATGTCAGCCCACTCACTCCGAGCCGTTTTTTTCTTTTTTAATATCGACGACCCACTGTGATATGATATGTACCCCACTTGGCGAACTTGGCAAGTGATGAGCCCGACAGGAAGGGAATGGCACAATCGTCCAAGACGTGATCATTAGGTTGAAAGGAAAAGAAAGAAATAAAAAGGAGAGAGAAAAAAAAAGAAACGCAAGAATAATTGGGTATAGAAGAGTAGTTGGAATAGGAAAAAGCAAAGAACGCACCGAGGCTCCGCGTGGAAACCACGGTTTTTCGCGGAGAATATCAAGTGTAACTCAATCGAGATAGGGGCGGAAGGTTCCTGGTCGCGATAACGAACCAAGGCTCTCTCAACCCAGTTAGATTTAGCGAGTCAATCTAAAAGGCCAGATGGTCTCACAACCCCTCTAAACCGGAAGGTGGACGGTTCACATCGGGGCTTAGCAGGGACATGACACCAATGCGTGACTATCACCCCTCTTATTATGGAAGCCTACTAGCCGGCCCGGCCGCTACGTTTCTAGAAGCATTCAGCTACACGCGGATTGGTGGATGGCATGCGTGCGGCCTACTCGAGAACTTTCTTTACCCCAGGTCCGTGATGATCGCATCATGTACCTGCGCTGCTTGCGGAGTCGATATCGTCAGTAATCTGCGGCTTGTCGTAATTGGCCAACCTGGTGACAGCGATCCCGATGTTATAAGGCTTTGATCTCCCCCAAAAGGATCTTAGGCTAGGGAAGGCCCCGTTGATCACCAGGCTCCTCCGCCAACCGGTGCTTCTCCCGATCTGTTTGGTGAGATTAAATGCTACAGCACCAGCTACTACGTACTTCAATGCTATGACGAGGACTGGAACCTCTTCCTCCAAGGTGTGGGAGTCCAGCAACATCGCTATTCCTGAGGATGGCGAAAGAGCGGACTCGACCGCCGCCCAAGATTCAGGAAGGCCAAGAGGGCGCATTCGACGTTCCATGACAGCCTGCAACACCTGCCGCAAGCTCAAGACTCGGTGCGACCTAGACCCTCGCGGTCATGCGTGCCGTCGCTGTCTTTCGCTAAGGTGCGTATTGTTTCAATTGCCACTGCCATCTCTGTCGCTGTAATCGAATCAGACAAAGGCCACACACATCATTCATGTCAAGAAGCTAATTTTGATTTCATGGAAGACTTGAGTGCGAACTTCCGGAGACCTCAGATCGTTTTCAAGACAATGCGTCAACCTGGTCAGACGCCAACGCTGCAATTCCGTCAATTGAGGAGCGTCTCACTTCCCTCGAGCATACCATGGGAGAAATGATGCATATGATGAGACAGATGGTGAATCGGTCGCCCAAGGCGTCTGGGAGCCCAGTTTCCCAGGTGGCAGGAAGCAATAACATAGACGAATCCAGCTCGTGCGATGGCGGGCCGACGTCTGCTTTTACCCTCAAACCGGCCCAGTTGATTCGAGATCTGCAGGCCGAGTGCTTCGGGGAAAGAGACCAGTTCACTACCGACGCTGATCTTCTAGGCGACGTTGTCACTCAAGGAATTGTAGATTCGAAGTTGTCTGTGAAATTGATTGAATTGTGAGTATTCCCATTTGCATATATGCCACATTTGTTCAATGTTCATTTTATCACAAGGTTTGTGGAGTATTTCGGTCCATGGGTTTCGATAAATCATGCATCCAGCATTCAACAGTCAAATACTCTTCTCTTCAACACTGCATGTCTACTGGGTTCCCGCTACTTGCCCGGAATGCCTCCACATACCATACGCGATATATCGGTGCAAGTGCAGCATGTCGTGGCCAAGACTCTGTGGAAGTCTCCTCCTTTGACTATTGATACTATTCAGGCTCTAATGTTGCTCTGTCTTTATTCTAATTCGGTTCAAAAAGAGCCACCCATGGACGGCTGGTTGCTGAGCGGGATCTCGATCAACCATGCCCTTATTTCTTTCAGTCTTTTTAATGCTTCAGTGGACAGTGTCATCGGTGATGATATGTTTACCCAGTTGCGACTCTGGAATATTCTCTGCTTGACTCATTTATAGTAGGTCTTCTCATCTGACAACGGATCGGCCTTAATAACCGCAATTCTAGTTCCGCTATTGGCAACGGGCGTTCCATCAGCATTCACCCACAATATCTCGATCAATGCCCACGCATCCTTGAACATCCCAGAGCCACATCCGAGGACAGAAAAGTGGTGGCTGAAATCCAGCTATACAGAATCACCCTCAGACTCCAGCGCAGCCAACAGCGTTTGCTGCTGGCAGATTCCGAATATGAAGAGATCGAGCGCTGGAAAATGGAATGGGCTCATGTTTTCAGTACGTACCGATTTCCTTTACATTAAAATTAGCCTCGAACTGACAAGGACACTCATTCTAGCAAATGAAGAGCAATCAACCCTGGATCTCAGTCTCTGGTTCTGCCAAATGCTACTACACCGAACTGCTGCGCGCCTCCAACCGGAGATAGATCGACTCGTGCCCGAGATCTGCGGCAATGCACGGCTAATCATATCAAAATTCATGCAAGTCCGCTTTCCTCTGGCCCTGGGTCTGATTGATCACGTCTATTCCATTGTTGCCTACGCCGCCATTACATTGTGCGACTATAACGTCTCCGATCCACTTATTGACCAAGTACGCGCGCTGCTGCTTCATCTTGCTCCGAGTGGCGACCATATCTCCTACCGCATTGCGTGCATCATCGCCGAAGTTCAGCGCCGCTACTCCGATGCAGCCGCAGACTCTGCCTCCGTTGCCTCAGGAGGAGATGCTCTGAAGGATGCACTCTTCGCGACTCCGCATCCTCCACGCGCCGCCAATATGGATTTAGCGCAGCTGATGCCAGCCGCGGGAGTCATGAATTCCCTAGTCGACGAGTATGGGTGTATAAACCAGTTGATTCCGAGCTATGCAGCACCGCATCCACCGTTCTCGGGGCCCACTATCTTTCAACAGCACCTTGCGCCTGTCACAGGTGGTGCGATGCCTGTCAGCCTAGTGCCACGAGCCTTGCACGATTGGTGAATAACTGGGGTTTCGATACATTAGCTGAACTAATGTGTTGGGATGACCATAGCAGTACGGGTCACTGCTTTGGTTGAAGTCAGGTAGCCTGTGGGCGAAGGCTGTGGTGAATTAATGAACATATTTTCTTTTTTTTTTCTTTTTTTTTTTCTTTCCAGTTCAATTGGTGTTTGGGTCAGGATCAAGTTCGTTTTCTTCAAGAATACAGATTTGAAAGACATAATGAAAAGCGACATATTGTGTTGATTTGATAGGAAAGGGGGACGATATTAAACTTGGTGGAGTCGACAGGCATGGCCCTATATACTATGATGATGATGATATTCTATTAACCTGATGCTACCCAACTAGTGTCGTAATGGTAACGCAGGCGCTTCGTCCGACCGAAGCAAGAATATGGTCCGGACGCCAGTAAGAAAATCTACACAGAACAAATGACTGTCGTACAAAGGAAAAATAGGCAGTCGTGCCTAGACAGGAGACAATGAAGCTATTCCCAACGCCAAAAATCCCACAGTGAATCCCATAATGCTGCATCCCCTCTCTCATGTCACCCCCCGCATGCCTACCGGCATCGACGGTCCGTCTCACTCCTCCATCTCAATTCGTCGAGGTTCTGAATGTTTTCGCTGTCCTCGTCCTTGATCTCTTGGTGGCCTCGGCCTTGGCGGGTCCTATATACTATTTAGCAATAAATTTGGAGAATTAAGTGTTTAAAAGTCGTAAAAGATGTAGTCTCAGAATAGAGGCTTAGATTTACTATAGACCTTCCGAATGAACATGGAAATCCCAAGAATAAAGCCCATCGCCACTTCTTCTTTGCTAGGCACATTCCTCGGTGAAAAAGAAGGCAGAAAAGAAATTGCCATCTGATAAGGAACCAGGCATCTGGTATGATCAGGCTGGACAGGAGTCATAAAACATTAAGGTACCCAAACAAAAAACACTCAATTATTAGAAGATATCTATGGAAGATATTGCGCCATGTGCGGCCTCTATGCAAATGACCAACCCCCCGTCTTGTCGGCGAAGAAGTCGTCTGGGTCATATTTCCGTTTGATCTCCTTCAACTTCGAGAAAGTGGAAAACGTTTGAAGAGGGTTTTGGTCATGGTTTGCATCATTGATAAACAGAGGGAGACCTTCAGCATTGCCAGTCGCTGCAACCATGTCGCGGTAGCTGGTCTGAACAGCTTCATAATCGGCGTCACTCATGAGAGGTGGTGTTGAAATTAAATAGTTCAACCAAAACCATGGACCGTCAGGCATCTGCATTGCGTTTCCGCCTTGGGCCTTGCTTGCGTCTGTCAAGCTTTTGGGAACTGGCTGGAAGTCCAGTGACAGAAGAATATATTTGCCCTTGTTGTCTTCGGCCCAGTTACGCCATTCATTCAGGGCATTTCTGTAAGAGTCCCCCTCCGGACGGTGAACTCCAACACGGAAAATATTGTCTCCGGCTGAAAGCTCCGTGGAGAATGGAATCGGCATGTTGACTACTTCGGGATAAGTCTTGATCCCCATCGTGTTAATGAGGTGAGGAATATCGGTAAAGTTCGAAAACGCATTTCCCGCATCAGGCCCATCATAGACAAGGAACATAATGATGGCCTCGTCCAGATTTAGCTCCAAGTCCGGGGTAGGCAGCTTCTCATAAGTGCCAATAATGGCCGCTTTGGGATCGGTATTGTATTGGATGAAATTTCCAATCGCATCAATGACAGCATCTGACTGATCAAAGGCGAAGATGACATTTCCGGCATAGAACTGGCCAGCAGGGCGACTTTGGACTGTGTACTTCGTAACAACCCCATAGGCATTCCCGCCGCCTCCTCGAGATACAAAAAATAAATCAGGGTTGGATTCTTCAGACGCTGTAACGATTTGGCCATCGGGTAGAACAATTTCGAGCTCCCGGAATGAATCACAGGCCATGCCATACTGGGGAGAAAGGTAGCTCATACCTCCACCTAGAGCCAGGCCAGTTCCCACTCCTGCGAGTCGCGCTCCAACCACCGTGCGGTTATATTGCACAAAGTAATCGTAAATGTCGCCAAATACACCACCTGGTTCGTATGTGGCCAGAGTTGTATCTGGGTCGTAGGACTTTGCCGTCATCTTACTCAAGTCAAGAAGTACACCTTCGTCGACAGATGAATAGAAGGTGTTTGGATTGTGGCCACCGGCTTTGATTGCAAAGCGGCTGTCTGCTGCTCGAATCGCCTGGAGAGCCACAGAGACGTCCTGGGCAGACTCCGGATAGACAACACAAGATGGTTTGTAGGCATCTTGCTTCGTGTTCCAATATTCAAGACTCTCAATATATTGCAAACTGAGTTCGTTACTAGTGATTTTCGATGAGCCCAGTTGCGAAGTTATATTAGAACAAGCTGATGGACCTGCGGCAGCTGCATATGCGCCAACAGGGGCCAAAACGCCAGCCAAGAAAGGTATGGCAAACGATATCATGATCGATCCGCGCTATGTAATGACAAAATATAAGAGACAAGGAATGGAGTTGAAGGCTTCTAAAGGAATGGCTGGTCCAGCAAATAAATAATCAGCCCTCCTATACATTCATATGAGAAAATATGAAGGGATAACGGCCTCGGCATGTCTATACGATTGAATACGACAAATAAGCTGCCACTTTCAGTAGGGATGGACCTAAGGAAGTAACCGAGTGATGATCTTTGTCTTTTTAGGATTAAATCAGGGGGCGGGCCGAGGTTGCTCCGAAAGCATTTTCTTGTGGCCTGACACCAGCCAACTTATGTAATGGGACATTTAGCCAGTGATATTATCTCCTACTCGTAGGAATAATCAACGCCTGTTCGTGGTTGGTCGTGAAGCATTAGCGAAAAACGGCAGGGAAGATCACTAAAACGAAAGGGGAAATGCATTGTGTGCCGGGGAAAACGGCACTCACGTAGAAGTCTTGAACCCAAGCTTTCTTGACAAGATGAGCTGTGTGTCATATCTGTCAGTCAGGGGAAAAGGTGCTGGAAAATAATGGAGCCCTTTTGATACGGATGCTGCTTCCAACGTTGTTGTACTTGTGAGAGCTGCTGAGGAAGATATCTGTCTCGGAGTTTCGGAGAGGTCATGCTCATCTCTAGAGGGTCCAGGTTAAAACTAAATTCAGGAGCACTAGAGATGTCGGAACGTTAGACAAGAGTTTTGAAGTTGCTAACACGATGAAGTAGGTTACCGGGTATAGATTTGCTGCGGTAGTCGGGTAACATAAATCGGAGTTAGAGATGCATGGGCGAAAATATATCTCTTGCTATCTGTGCACTTTGCCTCAGCGATTGCTAACTTTAGCGCGTTTTTGTACAGAAATAAAATAGAGGTCCACTGGGACCAATCAAGAGTAAGGAACAAAGCAATTTATTTTATTTTATTTTATTTGTCTTTTTGCCCAGATGGACAAGAGAAACGTGGTAGCTTTTCTAATAGTATATTGCAGGTCAAACAAGTGAATTCTAGACCCCCAAAAAGAGAAGCCATAGAACTACAAACCTGTGACATTAAGACGTATCACAAAAAATGCACAAAATTAAGGTCAAGACCAGAGCATAAGGAATTTTCCACGATGAAAACACTGTAGAAATGACACATCTTCTAGAAGAGCGGTCTACACCTCTTGTGCAGGCTCTCCTCCAGGGTGGTTGTTGGGGTGCGTCCGAGGCGACAGTAAAATGAGGCAAATCTGCAGCATTTCATGTCAGACTATGATTTGTGAGATTAGGGTGAGGCAGAATATGCGAGATATACCTTGTGATGTGGCACATGACGCAAATCTGCGGTCTGAATTCCAAGATCTAACGTATATGCACACAACGTACAGACTTTAACAATAATGGGATGGCAAATCTAGCTTGCAAGACTAAGCGTATCACCTTGTCATGCCACTGTTATATGTGCATTGCATGATGAACCAAACATATTTACTTTAGGCAAGACCATACATACAATCGGAGAGTATTCTGTTCATGAGTCGTGTTGTTGACATTAGATTTCCACCGAAAGTCTGATACTTCCCTCCACATGATGCGGACTTCATGACGAATATTCTCTCTTCTCCCAGTCTGTCCAATATCGTGTTTGTACCTCTTCTAGTACAAAGTTGACTACCAAGTGAGGGATCTGCCCACCGTGCCAATGCACCATGGCCGATGATCGTCGGATTAGAGTCACCTTGAACGCCATCACTGTGATAGCTGTTTCTATGCTCAACTAGTCCTGCGACACTAACGATACCCTAACCATGCCCGCTCGACATAGAAGCTTATAATCCACGCCGGTTCAATGCCAGCGATCGCTGACCTCAGAATCCACACAAACACTCTCTAATGGGGCGCATTCCGTACCGTTGGATTGGTCGGGTCCCTCGCTCCATCTAAAAGAATTACATATCATGATGTTCACTGTTGGTCCAACACCGAGCCTGGTATAATAATCGTTGGGGCCTCAGCAATCTGCTGGATTGAAAATATCAGTTCAAACGGCTAGAAGCATCCTTTTCCTGTTGTCCGCTCTTACTCCCCTTGGTCAGCCCCTCCCCCGCCCCCGAGGTGCTAGGGCTATGTCCCAAGTCCGCACTACCTCTTTTGGGTCCTCATTAGGGAGTTTTAGATGTTTCGTAGGAGTCATATAGGGCGAGGCCTTGTTGCTCTAGGGATGTTGCAGAATGTAATTAATCCTTACGTGGTGCAGAAAGAGTACCATCCGTAATGCACATAATGCCGAAAGTGAAGCAGGACCTCTTCAACCGAGTCGTATAGTAGTTATGTCGCATCGGATGGCTCCTGGGATCGCCCAGCACTCTGTTCCAGAAACAAGGAACCCGAGGATCCCTGTCTGTTACCGCTTACAGTTAGGATTTGTAGACTAAGAGGCGCTATTGATTCCGTGGCGTGTAGAACGGTGGGTCCTCGGTCGATCATCCAGAAACAGGAAGATTCAATAGTGCGGCACGAGGTGTAGCATTTGACAACCAGT